CTTTATTCACTGGAGAGAGAGAGAGAGAGATGCCAACCAAACAATGAGATGCTAAAACCGATGCAATAGAAAGAGAGAGAGAGAGAGAGAGAGAGAGAGAGAGCACCGGTATGTTAAACTACTAGAGTCTAGTTATTGGGTTTGTTATTATTATGTTTGCAATTTGCAAATCAGTGACGGAAACTGTATTATTCAGTTAAGAGAGAGAGAGAGAGAGAGAGAGAGAGAGAGAGAGAGAGAGAGAGAGAGAGAGAGAGAGAGAGAGAGTGAGAGAGAGAGAGAGTGAGAGAGAGAGAGAGTTAAACTAATTTAGATAAACGTCTCCGCAAACTGTTTTCTAATAGGTTTTTATGGGGACCACTAAATACAACAAATAATTTGCACATTAATTTGCACACACAGTATGTGTCTATAGTTTTATCAATTATCAAACATATTGTTAACCCACACTTTCACCACACAAATAGATTTGATATTATTGTGTGTATGTTTGTGTATATATATTGTATACAATATACAAGTATAATGATATGCAAATTGGTGTCCAACAACAAAAAAACTTTTATTACATTTAACATAATTAACTATATTGTCATTATTTTTTTGATTTGATTTTCACAAATAATTGCTGAATTTTACAATTACTATAAGGATATTACTGTTTAGTTAGCAAATAGTTAACTGTATAAACAAATAATTGGTTAAACATTTTTTAAGGTGATTATTGGGATTTAGCCAACAAAATATTTATTATATTGGGTGTAAATACTATAAATATTACATAATATTGTGGTTCAAATACATACACACACACATACAAACACATTGTACCGCAAAAATTATATTCAATTGGATGGCTATATATTATATATATTACTGTATATGATATATATAAAATTTATGTAATGTAATGTAATTTTATTTTTATGTTATCGTAAGTTATGTTATATGGCTTTTAAAAATCAATCAATTACTTGTTTAACACATCATAAATGATTTTGATAGCCAGGGATTAGTTGAAAACAATTTTCAACTTATTTAATATTTATTATATTACTATATATTATATATATATACTAAAACGTATATAACAAATAATATATATATATATATATATATATATATATATATATATATATATATATATATATATATATATATATATATAACAAAACGTAAAAACGTGTTTTACGTAATTAACAATAAAATTTTATTATTGTATTTAATATATATATAATACTAATATAATTTTTTTGCGGCCAATTAATTATTTATCCTAAACTATTAATGTATGAATAAATAAATAAATAAATCTCAAAAAAAATTAGTGACTAATCATATAACCAAATATTATATATAACTTATAATAGTTTTGAAACTTTTTTTTCTGTACAAAACGAAACAGTTGTCTGCAATATATATATATCTGAATCATTGAACAAATGTCTGGATATATCTATATATATATTCTGTACCATTGTTTGTGTCATACACCCGGGTTCACGGGTCCTGTAGCTGTTTCGGGAGGGGGCCCGATGATGATGACTAACCACTATCACACACACACATACATACACACACACACACAACATACTGTTCATACAAACGGGTCTATCGGAGTGAGTATGTATGACAACTGAGTCAATTCAGTTTGCGTGAGAGAGCGGGTGAGAGTGAGTGAGTGAGTGAGAGAGAGAGAGAGAGAGAGTAAGTGAGTAAATAGAGTGACTGAATATACCGTATATACTCACACACATAGTATGTGATGGAGTGGTTGTCGGAGCAGATGTTGGCCTGTCATTGGCTGTGCGGGCATTAATTGGCGATTAGTCATCACTACTACACAAGCATTACATGCTATGTCTAAGCTCTCTCTCTCTCTCTCTCTCTCTCTCTCTCTCTCTCTCTCTCTCTCTCTCTCTCTCTCTCTCTCTCTCTAACTATCGCTGGTATTCGTGCCGGCAATTTAGTAGTTACACTTAAACTGTATATTATATATATACATATATATACTGTATGTTATGTACCGTTATGCCTAAAGGGAACGGCCTAAATATCCGTATAGTAGTATACACTTTAACACACAATAGATGAGAGAGAGAGAGAGAGAGAGAGAGAGAGAGAGAGAGATACGGTATATGTATGGGTATAGTATTGGCGCACTTTTTTTTGCTCATCCAGTGATGGGGCAGTAGTCAGTCAGTCAGTCAGTCAGAGAGAGAGAGAGAGAGAGAGAGAGAGAGAGAGAGAGAGAGAGAGAGAGAGAGAGAGAGAGAGAGAGAGAGAGAGAGAGAGAGAGAGAGAGAGAGAGAGAGAGAGAGAGAGAGAGAGAGAGAGAGAGAGAGAGAGAGAGAGAGAGAGAGAGAGAGAGAGAGAGAGAGAGAGAGAGAGAGAGAGAGAGAGAGAGAGAGAGAGAGAGAGAGAGAGAGAGTGAGAGAGAGAGAGAGAGAGGGTAAGTGAGCTTTGGGTGACGACACGACATGATATTGAATTTTTGATACCAAATCAAAGTTTTCTAAACTCAATGAATGAATAAATGAATGACACATACATACAGTTATAACTAATAACTAAATGACACATTCATTTGTGTGACTCATCCCTATCCCTATCTCTCTATCCATCCCTTAATAAATATAATACTACTAAACAAAAAGTTATTGACAATCAAATGTTGTTATCATATTATGCCACACAATATATATATATATATATATATATATATTAGGAGACAATTATTTAGCGCATAAAATGACATCACTTTTTTATAGCCCCTCATCTCTCTCTTGACTATCACTTTCATCACTTTTAACGATAGATATAAGATATATATATAAAGTGTATTTTCATGGCTATTATTACAGTACTTATTAACTGTTTATGTAATATAAAATAATATATATAAACTTTATATCCAATATTAATGGTATATTTTGTCAGTACAAAGTTTTGTCTCATAATTTTTATTAGCATTTTTTAAAACTAAACTAAACTATGATTTATATATATATTTTTTAAATGTATATTAAAATTTTTAAATCCACACTAAACACTACTACTACTACTATCCTATCCTATTCAAAATGATGCGATAATATCTATCTCTAAATATATATATATAAACTTTATATACAGTATATACTGTCTATTATTAATATATTTCAGTCAAAATAATTTTTTTTTTTAAATCTGAATCATGAATATAAAACTCATATTTCATATATAAATATTTTGTTTAACAACTTTTCACTCGACACTCACTTTATATATATATATATATATATATGTATACTAAATATATATACAATATATTATATCAGTATATGATATACATGTATACATTATATATTATGATATTATTATAATAAAGAGAGAGAGAGAGAGAGAGAGAGAGAGAGAGAGAGAGAGAGAGAGAGAGAGAGAGAGAGAGAGAGAGAGAGACTATCATTTAATCATAAATAACACTTCAAAATAAATGTTATTTTTTAAAAAAAATATATATATATACAGTAATGAAATGTTTTGCATATAATGTCAAAGTTAAGTGTCGTTTTCTACATCACATAAAATATTGATGTAATTTCCGTTTTTAAGATTTCATATTAATATATACTGTATATGTCTCTCAAAAAAAGTTTTTTTTTTTTTAAAATAAAAAGTATCAAATTGTCAATAGATTTAAAAAAATAGATAAATTTTTTAGATAAATATTTATATATTTTTTATTATTATTATACTCGGATAGAGATTTTTTAAAAAAAAAAAACATTTATTAAATTTAATAACAAAATAAAATATTATATGTATATACATGACATAAACGATTTTAATATTTTTTTTATTTATTAGCAAAAATTTTTTGAATATATAGTTTTTTTTTTTAAATTATTATTAACACTTATTTCTGGGATAGACATAGACGTATGTATTTTGCGTAATAATGACCATGCTTATTTTTATTACTTATTTAAATAAATAAAACATAAAACAATAATAAGTTTATTCAACAATAAATCTATTAAAAATCTTATTATTAATATTAATCTAATGCGATGACAAACAATGTTAAATACATTTAATAATATTACAGTATTATTAATCATCAAAAAATAAAATAAATAAATATTAATCAAAGTGTCCATGATAACTTTTATTTTTTTTTGCAAATATCATCTAGCTCATACATGATTTAGCGTAATCATTAAATAGCATTAATACCCTGGTAATTTTTTGCTTTATAAGCTGGGGGAGGGGGGTTTGCAAAACAATATTTTTATTTATTTTAATAAAATAATATTTTAATGTTATTTTTTTTAAAAATCTATTAATGCCATATGTATGTATAATATTTAGCAATAAATAAATAAATAAATAAAAATATATAAAGATATATATATATATCAATATATCTGTTATATTAAATATCAATATATATTATTAATAAAAAAAACTTTTTTTATTTATTTTATTTTTTCTATTTATTTATTTATATATATATATATATAGCCGGCTATCACTGGTTTATACACACAATCACTGAATAGTTATAAAAGTTTATAATATCTATATATATATATATATATATATACAGATTGTATATAAACTATGTTATACCAGTATTATTATTATTATTATTAACATTGGATGAAAAAATTATGTGTACATATGTTTGCTAAATGATAACACACACACACACACACACACCAACTAAACGATATCATCAAAAAAAAACAAAAAAACGATAAAATACAATATACAGTACATATACCAGTAATCAATGTACTATACATTGGTAGTAGTAGTAGTATGACTCACCACCATCCAGTACAGTAGTAGTAGTAGTTCAGCACTGGTAGGTATTGCACATGTATGTTATGATATTCTAGCGCATGTTCCTCTCCTCTCTCTCTATTCATGACCTGTTGAATAGTCGAGAAAAGTGTGGTAACTGTTCCCTCTCTCTATCAGTCTAACAGTCAGTTTACTCTCAACACTACTAGACCTCAGTTGTCGACAACAGTCAGTCAGTCAGTCATACATACAGAGGATATGCGAGATTCAATGGTAAGCATACCGTCGCTGTTGACTTTCAACACATCGACTACTAGTACTAAAAGACGAAGAAGAGTAGGACAGTTATCATATACTACTACACGTGCCATACAACAGCAACAACAAGATATGGATGTAAATACTACTACCCATACCTCTACTACACCAACTACTGATACAACGCCACCGCCGCAGCCACCAGTGGCTGCCACACCGATACTACCGTTTCTCTATTTGGGTAACGAAACTGATGCCCAATTCAAATGTCTGAGACAATTGGACATTACCTATGTATTGAGTATAAGTACCAGTGCTGGCACTGATAATGATAGTAGTGGTGGTAGTGTTAGCGATGATGACCAACACAAACAACCGTCGGGTATTCATTATAAACGGGTGCCGGCAGTCGATTCGTACCAACAAAATCTAATGCAATATTTTGACGACTCGTATCATTTTATCGGTAAGTTTCATATGATATATATATATATATATTTTTGTGGTATACATACTGACACACACCTACACTGCCCACACACTTACCAATTCAATTCAATAATTATATAATGTAACGATAGATTTTAAAAAAATAAATCTCAATAATAATAATGTAATTTTTATGTAAAAATATTTCTTATATTAATTTTTTTTTTACTAAATTACTATTTATTATTATTAACTAAATTTTCTATTTATTAATTTTTTTGTAGTCATATAATTATATATACAATAATAATTATATCTATAAAAAAAAAATATTAATCATATAAATATTTACTAATAAATAAATTTATATAGTAGTAAATATTTATTATCATATATTTTAAATTTATTATTATTATTCATACTGTAAAGGTAGTTGAAAAACTTTTTTTTTTAGATTTTTTATTTATTTATTTTTTGTTAATTTGATCGTTGATTAGATAATTATTATTTAGTACTATGAAATGTTTAATTTAATTTGCCTGTACATGAAAATATAATATTAATTAAATCTTTTATAAAATATTATTTTTTTTTAATAAAATAATTATAATTAATGATATCTATCTGTATTATAAATAGCAAACAAAAAATATCTAAATACATATACCCAGATATTATTTAAAATATTATAATTTTATATTAAATTATTATATATTTTAATAGATATTTAAATATTTTTTGAAGTATATAAATTTATTTAGAAATTTATTTATAAAAGAAATAAATTTCTAAATATTTATATATATTTAGAAAAATATTAATATTAATATTAAAAATCAATTTTTCTTATATACAATAAATAAATTTAATTAATTCATAATTAATGAGATATTTTATTGTAGTTTTCTATAATAACAAAAATATTATATATTTTTTAATAATTATAAAACAATTTTTTATATCCAACACAAACCCCAATATACCTAATAAAATGATAAACCAATTTATATATGTATATACCGTATAACTAACTCTTTTTTATTAATGTCCACCTCATAGATGAGGCCCGAAAACGCGGCCACAACGTACTGGTACACTGTCAGGCGGGCATATCCCGATCGGCTACCATTACCATAGCCTATCTGATGCGGCATCTGTGGCTCAGTTTGGTCGATGCCTACAGTCTGGTCAAAACTAAGCGGCCAATTATATCGCCAAATCTGAATTTTATGGGCCAACTACTCGAATGGGAACACCAGTTGACGACACACCAACAACAACACCATCACCACCAGCCGTCACAGTCGTTGACCATCAAATAGGATGGATAGACATATCATATCATACTATATTTGTTTGGTTTAATTGTTTTAATACATTGTTGTTGTTGTTGTCGACATCCGATTATTATTAATGACTTTCCCCTCGGGAGTGACTGACTTATTATGACCCGTATATATATACAGACAGTGATAATGATGACCACCACCGATGATGATGATGATGATGGCTGTCTCCGATACTTATATAAAACACTTATTGATCTCTGCGACCATTAATTTTGTTGTCTACCCCACCCCACCCCCGCCGAAAACCAAATATACCCGAACTACCCGATTATTATTATTATTATTTAATTACCCGATTTGATTACTACTACTACTACTATGAGAAACGTGTCATATCTATGGTTAACCTATTTTTTACCTAAAAAAAAACTAATCATTACTAGTCTATCAAAAAAATATATCAAATTATTAAAATACGAAAAATATTTCTAAAAATTTTAAACTTATTTTTTTTGAAATAAATAATACAATAGTAGTAGTAATTAGTTTTAAAATTATTGACTGTCAAAAATAAAACAAAATATACGGCAATATTGTGATATTAATAACTAAAATAATAATAATAATTTTGAATATAAATATATATAAACTTATTTTTAGTCACCAATGAGAGAGAGAGAGAGAGAGAGAGAGAGTCAGTATATAATTTTGTATTTATAAATCAATGTAAAAAAAGTTGTCATTTTTTTAATAATAAATATAATTTATATATATATTGTACTTAAAAAACAGAGGAAAAATTATATATATATAAAAAATATTTATTATTATAAACAAAAATTTATATATATAATTTATATATAATTATGTAAATATTATTAATATATATATATCATAGTATATAATAAATATATCTCATTATGTAAAACAATAAAATTAAAAATAAAATATAAAACAATTTGTGTGTGCCATTGAAACAAACAAAACTAGTGATTTTGACTAAAACTATTTATATATAAATCATTATTATATTTTTTTTTAAAAAAAATCTATAATTATTTCAATTGTTTCCGTTTTAGTAAATCATTTCAAAAATACCATTATTATTATTAGTCAATAAATACCTATTAATTATGAAAATATAATAGAAAAAAATTATTTTTTTTTGTTTAGTATTATTAATACTACACTAATAGTTAGTTCAATGGAAACGGATGACTACTAGTTAGGATGACAGTCATACTGTATATAAAAAAAATTTATTGATAATATTTATGAGGGGTCATCACCTGCCTGCCTGGCCCCGGACAGTCCCAATATCAATGCCCCCTGTCCTATATATATAAAAAAACCATATATACATACATAAGCTCATTGACAGTATGGTAAAGTACTTTATTATTAGTCATACAATACTATTATTATTATACAGTCATCTGTTTATGTATTGGTACTGTATATGAGTGGGTGAGTGTGTGTGTGTGTGTGTGTGTGTGTCTGTATGTGCGATAGGATAGGGATAAAGTGAGTCATTTATCCCAGCAGTCAGTAGTTGTTATCACAAGGTTAAGGACGACTAATAATATATATATATATATATAAAGATAATAATAATAATAACAATTAGTTTATTAATATCTATCTATTTTTTAACAAATAAAAAACAAACCAAAAAAAACTTGTTTATCGCTTATGTAAATAATTACTAATTAAAATAATAATAATAATAATAATAGAGTTTAATAATATAATATATTATTCACATAAAAAATATATTTAAATATATATACTGTAACATCACTTGTAATTTCATCCAATATTTTTTTAATTAATTAATTATTTTTTTTAAACTGTAACAAATTAATTGACAAATAATTTATACAATTAAATAATTTTTTATAATCTAAATAATTATTATGATTAAAAAAAACTTTATTGAAAATATTTGTCTCTCTCTCTCTCTCTCTCCGAGAGAGAGATAGAGAGAGAGAGAGAGAGAGAGAGAGAATAGGAGAGAGTAGTACAGAGATATAATAAACTGTATTTAAAATACAGTATTATTTAATTAGCAAATAAAATACACACAATTTTTTTTAATGTTCATAATTAATGCAATGTTTTATTTTATTGAATTGTGAAATTTTTTTTATTAATTTATATAATATAAGATTGTTTTATAAAAAAATATAGTTTATGTACAGTAGTTATAAGTTTGAAATAATAATAAACGAAAATTTAAAAAAAAATAAATCCTAAATATATTATATTATAAATTATAATTTATATAAAAAATAAATAATAATAATTTTTTGAAGAGAGAAGAGAGAGAGAGAGAGAGAAAAGAGAGCAATTGAGTGTATTTTATTAAAATTCATAAAATTATTAATAAATTTTTTTTTTTAAATATATATACAATTTTTTTTAACAAAATAAATATAAATACATTTAGTTTATTAATTTAAGGGGAAAAACAATTATATTGTCAATCAATCACTTTTCAAATAAATAACTTTTCATAAATCATTTAAAACTTTGCCAATAGTTTGCGATAATTGCAAACATTTATCCCATTTATTGACTGTTGAACCGCTGTTTGAGTTTATATTTTCCGATAAACTTAATAAATATTTCAATGTTTTTGATGATATCTGAATATAACGACAATAATTGTTGACTGAATCCGATATAAATATTAGATAAAGTGTCGCCAATACTATCGTAAATGTCTGATAAAATAGTTGACCGGAGGTCAACATTAGCTGATAGTTAGTCCGTTGACGCGATCGCAGACTCATTGCCAGAAACTGTTTGCGCCGATTGACCAAAAACCTGGTCATATTGGCCACCGATTGGCAACAATTGTCGACTATTTGCCGCATTGCTATAGTCATCGATTCGTTATTTTTATTATTATTAAATATATTTAAATTAAATTCATTTAGTTTATCACAGATAATATTTGGCACAAATTTTTTATCATTATTATCACTATTTGTTTCGTTAGTTATCATAATATTAGTTAGTAGTCCATCGTATAAAATATCAATTTCGGGTACAGTTATGACCAGAATATTTTCGATATGATTTTCCGTACAATCGGTAACTAATTCCCGAAATTTGATTAGATTTTCGGCAAAATCACACATTTTTTGCCTCAATTGTGACAATGGATGATAAATACAGCGATAGTTTGCGGCAATTGATAATAACTTATCAATTATATCGTAATCTTGATGTTGTAACCTATTGTTAAACAGTCGGCTATCGGCCAAAACCAGTGCACAAATTGCCGCACAAATCACATGATTGGCCACAAACTGCTGGACTAGATATAGGTCGCACTGGCCGTGACTTAGTTTATCTCGTATGCGCGGCCCGTCCGGTATTACGATAATGTCGACAAGCATTTCGATAAAATTATGGCCAAAAATTGTATATATTTTGTTAACGTTAGCACCGTTTCCGTCGGTAGACGAATAGTCGTCATCAAGTGTTGGCGACAAAATTTCGGCAAATGTCAGATAGTATTGTTTGGCCACTGCTGTCATCAGTTTCGATGGGATCCGATTGCAACAACAATAGATATAGCGAAGACAGGCTTCGAGTTGCGGAAACATTACGGCCAAACTGTGGCCATAGCGACCATCTTTATACAGTGTCAATGAATACTTCCAAAGCGGTAACATTTCCGTCAATATAAAAGGCGATTTGATGAACACTTTGCTCCAGATTACCGAAATGTCGTCGGCAGTCAGTATCGGAAACAGTGATCGTTTCCAGCGTTGTAGTTGTCCGGTGACGTCGTGAAGCGGTCGCTGCGGTGAACAACAGTTGCGGTACTTGTCGTCCAAATCGCGACCAATTGTGGCGCAAATCGCTAGCAATATATATCCAAATCGGCCATCAATATCGCCGTCGGGCCGGACAAATCCGTGCCATAAGATGTTACGGATGTTCACTGTAATCGGCGAACCCATTATCAACTGAAACAATCGGACCGTATCCGAGCCGACAATAGTCTTCAAGATGTCTAGTTTTAGTAGATCTTTGAGTAGCGGCGGTACAAACGATTGTTGACCACTGGCTAACACTAGATTGCCTAACGATTGTTCGCAACAACTGGTTATCAATTGAACGGCTAGAATGGTCTGAACGCCGGAACTACTATTGTTTTTGTCTTCGCCGTCGTCGTCGCCGTCGTTGTCATTGTGTCCGCTCAACAGCGCAACCGATTCCATAAGCGTACGGCTTAGGTGTTGCGTCCAACACAAGCGGTCGGCCAACACGCGGCAAAAGTGATCATAATTTTCGGCTATCAGACGCCGATAGACGGCATCAACCGAAACAATCAACTGACAAAAGCTGTCGCCAGCTATTCGTCTGATCAGTTCTTCCTCGTTGTCGACGACGACAACATTATCGGACTCGAAGTCAATGTCTTCGGCAACGGTGGGCATCAGATCCACAACTCGGCGCCAATTCAGACACAAATCGTCGACGACATCGTCAATCACGGGAATAGTGGACACAAACCGATTGACCACTCGGCGGACGTACGGCGATAAAAACGAGTCCAGATTGAGATCATTGATGTCTTTCATGTCCACCGCCGCCGCCGTCGTCGTCGCCGACGATGAGGTCATCTTCAGTAGTGATCAGTCAATCAATCAATCAATTGATAGTTAAAAACATTAATTTAAAAAAAAACAAAACAAAAACTGAAATCACTTTTTGATTTCATTATTATTGTGTAATAAAAACTTTAGTCATAAACTAGATGTGTGTGTGCGGGTAAACAAACACACATACAAGCGGTTTGGTTCCCCAATAATTATAAAAACTAAATAATAAATAAAACGGTTTAGGTTTGGGTTTTTATAAAAAAAAATCCCTAATTTTTATTTTATATATATATAAATAGTAAACGGTTTGGGTTTTCTACTAGATATTTGTGCTTAAATTTTTTTTTGGCTATTTATATATTTTTAATATATATTTTTTACTATTAATATTTGCGGTTTCGGTTTTGATATAAATGTTTTTTTTTCAATTTGTAAATACATATCTAGTTATTAATGACTATTTGTAAATATTATCATTACTTTCAAACAACAAAATACGTATAAATTTTTTAATTAATTATAAACTTTTTTTTTTGAAAAAAAACTTTTTGGTTATTATTAAGTTAGCAATTAATTTCATATAAACTTTTTAGTTTTTATTTTTGTTTTGTTTTAATTTAATGTTAATATATATATATAGATTAAAAAATGAAATTAATTTACAACTAATTAACAGTTAAATTAAATATACAATTAGTTAATAGACTTATATTTTCCAATGAGATTACAATACAATAATTTTGTGATAAAACAAATGTTTTTTTTAATTAATTAATTTATTAATTAATAATATAAAATTTAAAAAAAATTATATGTTTAAATCATATGAAATAAATAGTGTTTAATGAATGAACTATATATATACTGTATATATATAAAAAAAAATATTAAATCATCGAAAAAAATGCATATAATTATCAATAATACATATAAATGTGATATAAACTACCGGTAATAACACACAATAGGGTATTAATGTATAATACGATAAATGAGATAATAATACTAATTAATAATTTAATTACACACAAAAAATCTAATTAATTTTTTTATGTAATTAGTTTTTAAAAAAAATATCTAAAAAAATTAAAAAATTTATATAAAACTCGACAAAAAAATTTTATCGCTATTCACACACCACTAATGCTACGTAAGCTTTGGCTGACATCTAAGTGCTTCAATGTCCAAAATCTTGTTACGATTGATCAGCTTATGGTGATTATTAGTATGTCTACTACTGTTGGTCTTATGATGATTAGGTTTATCAACAAACAGCTGTTGTTGTGGCCGATGATGATGTTGTTGTGGCAGTGGTTGAACTTTTGGCGGTGAATATACTAAACCGTATTTTTCTAAATAATTTTTCGTAGCAATCGACGCATTTCTGGTCAATCCGTACGTATGAATATCATGTCGTTGTTGTTGCTGATGATGATGGTTGTCGTCGTAGTAGTCTTTAGTAGTAGGCTTTGTCTTACGCTTAGGTTTGTTGTTGTTGTGTCGGTAATCGGGCGACTCGTTGACCATATATTTGGCGGCCAATCGTTTAATATAAAGTGTTTGTTCTGATTGTACTTCGTATCGATGGTGCTCTTGTCGTAGCGGTTGCTGGTGATGGTGTGTCCGTCTCGACGATGCCAATTGTGGCGGCGATGGACTACAACTACTTCGTCGTCCGCTATCGTCCTCTTCGGTATCGTAGCTGTTGTTAAGCATCACATGTATGTCATCGATCATCCGGTCGTAGAATCTATTATCAAATGAAGAACCGCTTGTGTTATTATCACCAGTTGTTTTGCGTATCCTTTCGATACTAGAACTGCTGTCAGAACGTTGTTGTTGTTGTTGTCGATGATATTGTCGTCCAACGGGACTATTGTCACTATAGTTAAGTCGATTGCTGTCGAGTTCAATGTCGGACGGTTCGGTTGGACACTCGCTAATGGTATTCAAACGAAGCCCACGAAGATCTTTAGACGCTGTCGACGGCGTTGTTGTTGTCGTTGTCGGCGATGGCGTAGTCTTTGTCGGATTGGTAGCCATATCTCTGGTCGACGTCGTTGTTGTCTTCGTCCTATTAGTTCTTGGCTTATGTGTCAGTGGAGTTCGGTTTTGATTATAATTAAGATTATTATTATCGTCGAAAGCAATCGATGTCATCGTCTGAACCGATCGTTTCTCAATGTTTTCCGCTTTTCGGTCGTCAATCTTATGCAATGTCAGCAGTTCTTTGATTTGTTGGCTAATTCGGTGCAATTGTTGGTCCTGTTGTCTAATCATTTCGATCATCTGGTCGTTGGTCGGCGATGAGGAGTTGTTGGCCGCAAACTGTTGCTGAGTAGGACTCACGGCATGTGAAGCACAGGTATTATGATTAGTATTATTGTTTAACTGATGTGTCACTCGTTGCCGATTCTGTGCGTTGACACCGATGCCGGTGACCATTGGTTTGTTGACGTTGTTGTGCTTAACTATCTTCGGTTTATACATATTATGAGATTCAAGGGGTTTTCGGCGGCCATTATCGGCAGCAACAGCAGCAGCGGTAGGCATAAGGAGTTGTCCATTTGTAAAGACATTTTTCGGATTACAATTGACAGCCGAGTTGTCGACATTGTGATCGGTTAGTACAGCGGGAGGTCGTCGGTCGCCACCACTATTCACGTATCCATTTGTGTTCATCACTTGTGGCCGATCGGTAGCGAACCGGCTGTCGGCGAACATGTTGTTGTTGTTGCCGTTGAACGCTGTGGTGGTGGCGGCGGCAGTGGTCACTGGTGTCAACTGATTGAACGCACGATTTGTTAGTGTGGCCAACAAGTTCGGTGATGGTGGCGATCGTGCCGTTACGGGTGGCATCGGATACATTGTACGCCAGTCATGCTGCTGATGATGATGACCAACTATTGGTGAAGTGTTTGTAAACCCGTGGCCACCGCCTGCACCGCCCGTAGCCGATGGCAACCCATCGCTAGTAATGGACAAATCGGGTACCATTGGTCTGGGGTTGACCACACGCGGCGGTTCGGGAAACGGCTGCGGCAATACAAACGGCATTTCATTGTTGAATATATTGAACGCTCGCCGATTGGCAGTCATATTGTCTGTTTGTTTGTCCAATCGGTGTCACATTATTATCGGCGGTCACAACAAAATAAAAACAATAATATTATTGTAATTATAATAATAATAATAAACACAAAATCAAAACATTAATTATTGTTAATAATAATAATAATATTGAATAATAAATACTAAAAATATTTACAGTAAACACACTTTATTTGAGCGCCAATTGAAACACTATGATTGGCTATCGCTATGGGAATAAAAACGTTGCCAATAAAACAAAATACTGGTCTCTGATTGGCTGAAAAATAAATATATATATAGTATTCCTATGTATTGGCCATCTATGGGATTGAATGTATTGAATGCAAAAAAAATAAATAAATAAATAAAAAATAATTATTATTTATAATAAAAATAATTTTAAATTATAAAACAAATTAACTGTTAATTAAAACTTTAAATTAAATTATTTTTCTAAATAATAAAAAATAAACAAAAAATTTAATAATAAATTTAAATTATTAAATAATGATTTAAACATTTTTTTAAATAATAATTTTTTATTTTGTGATTATTATTAATGCAACCAAAAAAAAAAGTTATGATTAAAGTTATCGCAAATTGTGTGCCGATATGTATGGGCGGCGGCCGTGGCGGCGTCGGTGGCCATTACCGTATCATTGGTCGACTACTATCACTACCGCAGCCGCAGCCAACCAGTTGTCGACAATTTGGTAGCCAAAGACTAGATGATGAAAATGATGTCAACGATACTGTTGTTAGTCCGCCGCACAGTGTGTCCAACTTGAGACTTGTCCGCTACGGTAGCCGCCGATCAGCCGATGGTAAGGAGGAAGAGAAGGAGGAGACACCAGCCGAGAGACAGTTACGATCGAGAAGAATGTCGATTCAGTTATGGAATCATAGCTATTGGCTGAAGAATAATATGGATTTTCAGACGGTTTGTGGTATTATTTTTTGTAGTTTTTGTTTTAATTGATAAGACAATTGAGTTGTAATTTTTGATAAACTGTTTTTGTTTTGTTTTGATAGCAAAAGAAATTATTCATCGAAAACGAATTAAAGACATCATCATCAGCAACAACAACAACGGTTCCCAACATCAGTGGTGGTAATGTCGGACAACAACAAGAGTTTAAATCGGGTGTCAGTTATGACGAGTTGGCCTCGTTTTACAAGACATTCTTGGACTCTAACCATCGAAAACATATGAATTATAATTTGTAATTATAATAATAATCACTGTTTTTTTTTGAGATAAATGGTTGGATCTAATTAGGTGATGATAATTGATTGGTTTTTTATTATATATAGGGAATGGTATAAAATGCATACAAGTCTTCTATGGCCCGAATTCAAGGTATCATTGATTCGTCTCTGGAGACAACTGTCCGCTAAGTTTTAGGCGGCTTTGAAAACATAGCCATAAAATAATTGAAACATATATTACATAATACTGTAATATTTATCAATAGTTTATAAATTATTAAATATATTTTACGTTTTATATATAAAATACTCTATAGAGTTTATATTTGAATTAAAAATATAGGTATAATAATAATTATTATTATTTAATAGTAATAATCATTAAAATTAAATTAATAATATTTTGTTAAGCAATTCATTGATAATATAATAATCCTAATATCATAATATTAATAACAATTAATAGTCAATTAAAAATATTATTATTATTATTATCTGTCATTTTATAATTATTAAACAATTCAAAAAACAAAATTATTTTATATACGGTATATATATTTGTTGTTAGTATTATCATCAATCATACAGTAAATTACCGGTAATTAGCAAACAATTTATTAATTTATTTTTTAAATACAGTACTACTTTTAATATACAATCCAAATAAAAGGCTCTCATTAGTTAAAACTTATTTATATATCATTTATAATTTTTTTTTTTTAAATAATTCAATAAATAGTGGTAATAGTCATAGTATCTTAAAAATCAAACTAACAATACACACCCACCCACCCATCAATCCATCCATCCCTAAGCTCACGAGGATGTTAGCCCTGATTCGGTGAACTTCTATCTCTATTAACATTATTATCTCTGGTCATCATTTCGATGTCTAACTGTATATTCTTTGGTAAATACGATCGAATCAGTTCCTTATCGATGGCCACCAAAATCGTTAACGTCTTTAATGTTGGCTCTGTTTTATTAACAATATATTATAAAAATTCAATTAAAAATAAAACAATAGACTACTCACTGAAATCAAGAACATAGAGATCCGAATGATCCCGAAGACTGACATCAATCATCTGCGGTAATGCATAGGTTTGGCACAGGGATGCCGGGTATGGGCTATAGGAAACAATTGAATGATGTATTGATTTAAATATCAATTATCGGTAAAAATTCAGTATTCAATATATGAATAGCTTGAATACCTGGTGCCGCCAAATAAATAGAGTCGATCGCCGACAACACAACAACATTGGCGCCGTCGGGCACACGGCCGATGACGGCCGCGGACGTCGACCAGTGACCAGACTTGTCGGCGCGGATCAAACTGATACAAGTCGTTAAAGTGCTGTCTATCTAAACCATTATAACCGCCAAAAATATAGATCATATTCTGGTAGACAAACGACGAATGACTGCGCCGACCGCACGGCGGCGGCTGCGATGACGACTGATTGGTCACCGATGGTTTGATCCACGTATTGGTTGTCGTATTGAAATACATCAGTTCGTTGCAGTAGACTTCGTGCTGCGAATGATTAGGTCCCGAACGATCTGAACGGCCGCCGAATACATACATACGATCTTCGTAGGCAACGGCCGAATGAAAGTCACGCCAAGTCGGCGGCTGACCGCTGGCTGTCACGTACTTCCATACGAAGGTAGTCATGTCGAGGACATAGATATCATTAGAGAATCGTTCAGTTAGTTCCTCGTAACCGCCAAATATATACATCTTATTGTCGATCGAGACAGCTGTATGTCCGTCACGGGCACCGGGTATACGACCGCTAACTTTTGGCCTATCCAGCCATTCGCCGCTAGCCGTATCGAAACAATATAGGGTATCGTCGGCACAGTTATCATTACGTCCGCCCCACAAATATATTAGATCGCCATTGACTACAACTGTATGGCCGTAGCGTTGAAACGGTATGTTAGACTCGTGCGGATCAAACTCGGCAAACGATTGTTGTTGCAGTTGTTGTCTGGCCTTTAGTCTCGATGGCAGACACGGACGCCACCGAAGTGTCTCTAATTTTTTTTTTACATAGAAAGTGTTTGATTAGATCCCGTAAAACAACAGTACATCCAATCAGATAATAATAACAACAACAACAACAAACAAACCCGTGTCCAATATATGACAGTCGATTGGCTTACAGTGGCCATAGTTATCGCCGGTACAGTAGCCGCCAAACGAGTAGACATTGGTCCCGACGGAAACGGCCGCGTGATTTACACGTCTCGGACCGCCTTCCAAGTGAATCGTCCAATACATTTGGTTCGTGTTTGATTGCCCGTCGGGTTTTTATTTATCGGTCAGTTAGCTATCAGTTTCGCGGGTCGTGTCGGTGTCGGAACTATCTCTCTCTGTCTCTCTCTTACTTAACGGATAAGCATTTAGTTGGACCGAGTGGTCAACGGGTGGGCGGTGAGAGCGGTGATGGATATTGTGATAAATTTGGTGACCAACTAGTCTTCGGCAACAACAACAACGACAACAACGATGAAGAAGAAGAAGATATCAAACGGCGTATCGCGTCGTGTGTTGTGTTGTGTTATGATGTGAGAGATATATGTTTTCTTGTGGTCATAAATAACGTCCGATCGTCAATAAGTTCATCGGTAAAAGTCTTTATACAATTCAATAGTATATTTAGAAAATGTTTGCCCCCTTTCGGGACGTTATTTATGGGTCACTGAGTAGTAAACACTAAGTGTTTTGTTTTTAGTTTTTTTTTTTTGGCGAAACAATTGAATGAATTGATTGATTGAAACGTATCTTCATTTAAGACAAAGAATATCTCACTTTAACTGAACGGATCTATTGTTGACCAATTGGTTGGACCAACTATGACATCGGCGGCGACGGCCATCAACGACAGCCTAAACGACAACTGGAACCGATTGGCCAACAGTTTGCTGGCGTTTGAGGTAATGAATTGTGTTTTTGTTTTTCTTCTTCTTCTTCTGTTGGATGTCTTCTTCTGTTGGATGTCTTCTTCTGTTGGATGTCTTCTTCTGTTGGATGTCTTCTTCTGTTGGATGTCTTCTTCTGTTGGATGTCTTCTTCTGTTGGATGTCTTCTTCTGTTGGATGTCTTCTTCTGTTGGATGTCTTCTTCTGTTGGATGTCTTCTTCTGTTGGATGTATTCTTCTGTTGGATGTCTTCTTCTGTTGGATGTCTTCTTCAATGTCTTCTTCAATGTCTTCTTCAATGTCTTCTTCAATGTCTTATTAAATGTCTTCTTCAATATCTTCTTCAATGTCTTCTTCAAAATCTCTCATATTTTTTCATTTTCATCTAAAACTCTGTTACAGACCATCGATTGTCGGGATAGACAAGAGTCGCGTACAGATTTGGCAAATGCCGTCAAATGTCTGTCGGATCGGCAATTCTTTTCGGTACTCATCGACTGGTACTACGATCTGTTCAATACGTTTATCACCGATGAATTGGTGCCACAATTTTGGCAAAACTTTCGCTTACCGCCAGATCCCGAGTCCACTACTAATACTACTACTATCACTAGTTTGCCACACAATATACTATTCGAGGCCATCGATGAACTCTATCGGCAGTCGACCAAATGGATCAACAATCAGATATTGAATTTGGTTTACGAGTTAAGCCAACCGACAGAAACGGTCGACCAGTTGCCGAAATTGCAGACCCGTATGAAAAATCAATTACGATCGATACTGATGGCCGAAATTCCCATCAATTTCAATGAATATCTAATGAAAACCTATTCGCTAGCCTTTTCGGTAAATCAGTTCCAGAAGAATAAGCAACGTATGAACAACAACACTAGCCATGAGTTGTCGTTGTTGTCTTCGACTAACGATTCTATTGAAATGGATGACACAAACACTGATAACCATCACAACAACAACAACAACAAATGCTTTGGTTGTCATCAAATCCAGTGTTTATGTCAGCAAATTGCCGATAATTTTATCCGATTTAATCACCAATTAAGTGAACTATCTTTGATTGAAGTACTATCTGGTGATGCCATCACATCCGTAATGCATTCATGTATTGAAAAACATATTTACCAAAGTTGTAAAGGTATTGAAACAAATACAAGAGTTTTTCAAATATATTATTATTTTTATGGTTTTGTTTTGTTTTTTATAGATAACTTTGAAGTCTCTTGTATTTGTAATCTAAAGAAATGGATTGACAATACAGTAATCAATTGGATCCGATTTGTCTGTAACGATCTGAATGGTTCGCAATTGGCTAATCTTGAAGAACGATTGACACATTTTCTCTATGAAACCTATGCTGCCTGTCGTATGGATCAGATATTCGACATAACTATCCAAATGTTTCCCGAATCTGAACCATCGCTGATTGATTTGCGTGAATGTCTGGAAAAATGTGCAAATTTTCGACCGAAATTGATTCGGAGATTGAAAGAGTCGCTAGAGTCTCGACTATTACATCCCGGTGTCAGTACTACCGATATTATCGAAGCATACATATCGACCATCAAAGCCTTGCGAGTGGTCGACCCGACAGATGTTATACTGCAGTTGGTTTGCGAACCGGTTCGCAAATATCTGAAATCCAGAGACGATACGGTTCGCTGTATAATAACAGCACTGACTGACGAATCGTCGTCTGAATTGACGCCAGAGTTTGTCAAAGGAAATATCGATCGAACTGATGATACAAACGGTGGTCAGAATGGCAACGGTGGCGGCGATGACGACAATATAGGTGACAATTGGCAACAATGGGTACCGATCAATGATCCGATTGACTCGACACAACATCAACTACAACAACAACAGCAACAACAAGAATCGAACGGCTCGTCGGCAGCGGCGGCGGCGGTCAGCAAATCGTTGCGTAACTCAGATATTGTTAGCATTTTGGTTAATATTTACGAATCAAAAGATCTGTTTGTCGAAGAATATCAACGACTTCTGGCGCAACGTTTGTTGACTAACTTTGATTGTAATGTTGAACACGAACGACGAAATCTGGAACTATTGACACTAAGATTTGGCGAATCAGATCTTCACGCCTGCGAAGTAATGCTTAAAGATGTTAAAGAATCGGAACGTATTAATCAACGAATAAATTCCGGAGAAATATCTGAACATCATTTCAATCGTTTTCCAATTAATTCGTTGATATTGTCGGCACAGTTTTGGCCGGAAAAGTTAGGACTCGGAGGCGGCGGCGGCGACGATCTGAATGGTCTGAAATTGCCGCCCGACGTACAATCGGCTACCGAATGCTATACCCGTGCGTTCGAGACTATCAAAGGTTCCCGAACACTGAACTGGTTGTCGCACTTGGGTTTAGTCCGATTGGAACTGAGTTTTTCGGGCGGAAAAACTCTTCACTTTGCTGTACCACCGATTCAGGCGACAATTATCTGGCATTTTGCTGGCGATCGTACCGAATGGTCAATCAGCGAACTATCGGAAGCCATGTCTATTCCGCCATCGATTCTACGCCGACGTATAACTCTGTGGCAAAACAAAGGTATACTCAAAGAGACAACAACTGATCGGTTCGTACTCGTCGAAGACGATCGTATAGTAGCATCCAATCCGTCGGCAACTGTCGGACCAGCTGTCGGTGGCGGCAGTCATGATCTGTCAACACATATGAATATGGAGAACGACTTCGACGATGACCTAACCGATGATCGACTACAGGGATCAGCTGTCGACGAAAGAGAGGAAAAGTTGAACGTCTACTGGAGTTTTGTACTAAATATGTTGCAAAACTTGAACTCATTGACCATCGAAAGGATACATCAGATGTTGCAGATGTTTGCCATTCAGCCGAACGATTCGCACGAACTAACGGCTCACGAGTTGCGACACTTTCTCGACTCTAAAGTCAGAGAACATAAGCTCGTCTATAGTAATGGTCAGTACAGACTCAGTGATACCAACTAATGGATGGGGGATGGGATGGGATGACATACCTGTGCCGCCCACACACACACAACACATCCCACAAGTGCTTGTAGTAGTAGTAGTGGTGGTTATTGAAAATTATTATTATTAATTTTTAAAAAAATAAAAATCAAATTTTCAAATCTATCAATACTTATAAAACTTTATAAACTTTTTTGATTTGATTTTTTTTAGTGTAAATAAATTTTTAATTATATAATTATTATTATAATTTTTGTTTGTCATTAATTAATTTATTTCTAATATTTTTTTAATAGTAATTTATAACTAACTGATTGATTTTTAATTAATTAATTAATTGATTGAAACAAAATTGATTAAAATTATATATTTTTTGTCTATTCAATAGACTCTATTGTTTGTAGTATTCCTCGCATTCAATACAATACATCCCACCAATAGATGGCCAATACATAGGAAAACTTATTTTTTAATATAATAACCGGTATTTCATCTATAGATATCTATATCACTTACACCACGTGTTTAATATCAGTAATACCAGTGCTGTATGTTAGGTGGACTACCAGTGCTGGTGTGTAAGTGTGTGTCTGTCTGGGCTATAAAAACGGCATACAATTTAAAACAACCATTTAGTTTCATATTATACTTTCATTTCCTCTTTCAAAAAAAAAATACCGACACATGTGTTGGTATTGAGAGTTGCCATCACTGATGACTGACGAAAGTTGATGGCTATCGGAGTCGACGAAAAAACAGGTCACAACTGGTCCTAAACAATGACCGTTGATTGTCGTTCACCAGAAAGAGAGAAAGAAAAACTCTTTGAATGGTTAAGACAATGATTGATCCCCAAAAAAAAGGTTGGTCTGATTTTTTGTTTGTTTGCGGTGTCGGTCTATATATAAGAGAAAGAGAGAGACCACGTGTTTCTCTCCTGTTATTATCAATCATATCATACAAATTGTCTGATCAATTGATGGACACTTTCATATACCATACTTTCAGTGATGACTAAAAGATGACGAGTCATATTTTGGTTAGTTTGGGATCACTTGACAAGTGATATACCAAACATTCAATGCTGACCATTGAACGAGGCATTTGTCTGATGAAAGTGTGTTTTGTGTGATAGCCATCAATGTCTTGTGACTGAACTGACTATTGATTTTTTTGTGGTTTAATTTCATTGATTATAATCTATAACTTTCTTCCAATCATTTGTTCCCCATGTCTTCAGGTGACGATAACTATATCTATTTGTGTTGAGAGAAATGGCTAAATGTCTTCAAGCAATGTGTTTCCTGAATACACACTGACGAGGAAGGCGTGGATAACACACGTGTATTAACAACAGAAAAATAGGTATTTAGTAGTGATTTATTGATCAATTAGTTGATGAACAATAAGATATGGATGACTAGTAGTAGTAGACATTAACCACCAATTCGTGATGACCAAAGATGACGAGTCATATTTGGTTTGTTTGGATCACTTGACAAGTGATCCAAACATTCAATGCTGACCATTGAACGAGGCATTTGTCTGAAAGATATTGTGTGTCTCTGTCTTTATCTATCAATCGATAAATTTTTCATTGAATGTATAGATTATAATCTATAACTTTGTTCCCATCTTCAGGTGACGACAACTATCTCATTGTGTTGAGAGAAATGGCTAATGTCTTCAAGCAATGTGTTTCCTGAATACACAGACGTGTATTAACAACAGAAAATAATAGGTATTTAGTAGTGATTTATTGATCAATCAATTAGTTGATTCAACAATAAGATATGGATGACTAGTAGTAGTAGACATTAACCACCACTTTGTGATGACCAAAGATGACGAGTCATATTTGGTTTGTTTGGATTACTTGACAAGTGATACCAAACATTCAATGCTGACCATTGAACGAGGCATTTGTCTGAAAGAGATTGTTTGTCTGTCTATCTATCCATCAATATCTTTGATGTCAATGATTATTAAGATTTTTTCAGTTGTCTTATAAATCAAGTTTTTAATCCATGGATTTTAATTGTTGTTTACAGATAATGGTTGACTAACTTTCATACCATTTGATGATTGATTGACATTATTAGGGAACTCCTCGAGAGGTTTATACAATAAGTAAGTTTCAGTTAAATAGTTGTGTTGTCTTTGTTTGGTTATAACTGGTGATGATATCCATGATATGGTTTCGCGACTAAATTTATATATCAATTAACACCTGATTATCAATTGATGTCACACTTGGCTGTCTGATTGTTGACTAAATAAAATCAATTTTTAAATGTTAATAAAGTTTATGATAATTGATCTCAAAATTGATTTTTTTATTTGTTTGACTTAGCTATATGTTGCTGATCTGTACCGTCACTGTTGTTGATGGCTATCACTTGATTTGATCCTCTCTAAGATAAATGGTAAGCATTTGTATGATTTTTTTTTAATTTATAGTTATTTGGATCAATTATGTGATGATAATAGACTAGAGTCTCTGTAATTTACTATTGATGACTAAACAAGCATATGTCTGATAATTATATAATAATGATATTGTAGTTTAAATTTTTTAATTAATTGTATATTATATTAACATTTTTAATTGTAAATCTAGATAATGATGATAGACATACTAACCATGGATGACCATAGATAGTGTTTATGGTAAGTTATTTGTTTTTTATTAAATAATATTTAAGTAATACCCTGGTAATTATAATAATAATAATATGATGATCAATGGCTAGAGACCTTATTTTTTTAACAAAAAAATTGATGATTTCCTAAAATGTCTCGTTCGTTATTAACTCTGATTTATTATTAATTAATTAATTAGTTTTTTCAATATTTAAAGAATATTTATTTGTATAATAATTGATTCAAATTATTGTTAAATAGTTAGGCATTGGTGGAGCCGCTTATTGGTTGGCTTACAACCCTGTTGAAACCCCCCGATATTTGGGTAAGTTTTTTAAAATTTAATTTTTGTCCATTTATACAATTAAATACAAACTGATGATAATTTTTTCTAATTATACTTTTCTGACATCTCTTTTGAGAAATTTCATTTCATTGATATGTATTTGAAAAATCTGATAATTGTTTATATACTGTATATATATAATGAATAATTATATATTTTTAAAGTAATTATTGTTGTATTAGTTTTAAATTGTATTTTTTTTTTTTGATAAATGTTTTTCAGGTTATTTTTTTTCTATAGTATATCAAATCATTCAATTTGATGGCAACCATTAAAGAAAATGGTTAGTATTTTTTAAAACCCCTGTAATTGATTGTCTCTTTTTCTCAAAAAAAAATGATAATTGAAATGATGACAAAACTTAGGACACCTCCGGATTGCTTATATGAGGATTACTTTAATCATTGCCAGCAAAATCTGATTCAAACACACTTATCATTAAAATAATTTTATCATTTTTTTTAAAGATATGATAACAAATTGAATTTTAAACACATTTTTTGTGTGTATTTATTTGCTATATTTTCAGATACATTACTACTGGCACTGGTAGTCAGTCATCATCGTCAACATGAAAGACATGATTTCATATTTATGAGAGGTGAGAGTTGTTTTACATAATTTAGTACTATGTGTGTTAGAGCACCGGTAGGTTATGATTATATTAACCGATACCGATAATTGAATTGATGACAAAACTTAGGACACCTCCCGATTGCTTAGATGAGGATTGTTTAAGCTGAGCTAGCATAATATCTGATCTATTAATATTTATATATATATATATATCACTAAAAAAATTTATCAATAATTTGTTTACAATTTTAATTTATTTAATATATATTTTCCAGACACTGGGAGGTTACTGACTGTACTGGCATTGATTTGTTGTTTGATTGCCTAATTAAGGTGAGCTTGGTGTCCTAATTAAGTGTCTTAACCCGATGATGCTGATGATCCAGGTCCATTGCCACACTAATTGTAGTCATCCATGACTTGATTAGTGCCAGAAATTACTTTTTTTAAAAAAAAGTGATTAATGAGACCAATAGTAATTATATGGCTATAGGAAGCAGTTTATCACCTAATCATTGATAGGACTGTGCCGTAAATTAGCGATACAATTGTTTTTGTTATACCATATATTTAATAACTTGTAGTTTGTTATGACATGGATTTTAATACAGTATTTTTATGGTTGTATTTTCAGACATTACTGGCCGATCACTGGTAGTTAGTCGTCGTCAGCATAGAGTTTATTTGAGGTGAGATTTTATACCAATTAGTTGTACGCACCGGTAGTTACCGGGGGATCTGTTACGGTCACACCAATGATGATATATCACACTTAAAGAGAGCTGACACCTCTTGTCAGATGCATTACTGTTGATATGAGTTGTAATTATTACTATATCTGAGACCTATTTGTACCGTTAATATTGAAGTTTATTAATAAAAATTATTTTTTGAAAGTTATTTAAATGTGTATTAATTGACTTATTTTTATTTCAAGTATAATATGATTGGTAACTATCTATCGGTAATTGTGTTGCTATTGTTACTGACAGCACTCGGTAGCTACTGTTCAGTCTATTCGGTAACCGGCCGTATTGTTACCGAAACTACTACCGGTCCGGTAACTGATCAAACTGCCGATTATAATGATCTGAAAGCCAAATCACAGCCCTCGGTCTTTAGCGGACCCGAAGAGATCCAGTATTTGCTTGACATGTGTTTTGTCTATTCCACCGACAAATACGACTACCGATTGTGTCCGTTCAAGAATATGACTCAGCACGAACGTCCGCAAACTGTCCACTCGTATAACGGCGTAATCGGTGTCTGGAAGCAGTGGTCAGTTGTTAACAATAGTTTTGACCGCTTGGTGTTTACCGATGGCGATGATTGGTAGAGCATCTAATAATTTGATTGTTATGTTTGAAACTAATTGACTGATTGGTTGATTTTTAGTGGACATACAGACAGATCGGCCCAAATGTTATGGATTTGCAATCGAGATATGAATTTGACTGACGAACGGATTGTTGGCGTCAAAGAGCCGAAGAGATGCTACTATGAGATACTGTTTGCTTCGTATTTTGGTTGTGGTATGTCTTCGTAAGATCTGATCTAATTGTTTAGCTCTGTTTTAATTGATCCCATTGTCTCTGTGTATGTGTATCATCACATCCAATAGAAAACAAGTTTATCTATACCTATTTGAATGATACGGCCAAACACGATTGGGACATAATTGAGACCAACTATTACCGCAAACTTTTGACCGATTATGGTTACCAGTGGTCACTGCGACAGTTGTTCATCCGTGCGGGTATTGTTTCAAATCAGACAACGACGATGACGACACCGGAACAGCTAAATGATGATAATTTTGACGATACTTCGCTGGACACTTGTCGGCAAAGTTATCAGTCATTACGGCAACAAAATCGTGAACTAAAGCAACGAATTGAATCGCTTGAACAACAATTGAATAAAAATTGATTTTATTATTATTTACAATAAATGAATGTTTTTATTATTCTTTGCGTATAAATGGTTTGTTAAAGAATTTGCGCAATCGTTGAGCTTTAAGAGCCGCCATTCCCGGACAGATAATCAATTGGTCGTCATCAGCGTTGACAATGTTTTCCATAGTATCGAAAGTGGTCAACAATGTTACGGCATCCGTATTGTTGATCGACTTGACCGATGTTAGGGCTTCGACTAGCGATTGATAGTCACCACCAGTGGAACCGCCGGCCGACGATTGTTTACCCATAATAATATCGGGTGTTTTATCGGCAAAATGTCGATAGTTTTCGATAATTGTGGCCGCTTCCTCGTAGCTCCAGGCCAACATCAGCGTACAATTAGTACGAATGGCCAATTGGGTTAGCTCTTTAAGTGGTTCTCTGTACTCGATATGGTCGACCAAAACCAACAGTACAGTCAACTGATAGGTATTCCTGACTTTGTCGACCGTATCGTAGATATAATTATTGTAAATGACATGATATTTGAGACTAAGAAATACTGCACAACACGAATCGTACATTAGATAGTGTGCCGGCGATATGTCGGCCGACAACTGATAGGCCGATCGTAACTGTTTCAACAGTTTGTTAGCCTTTTGATTGGGATTGACAAGCAATGTATTGCCGAATACTACCCGCTTTCGGCGACCACTATCACCATCACCGCTGCTGTTGCCACTTGCTTGTTGTCCGCTAGCAGTAGCCGATAGTTGATCATCAGTTGACTGTTGTTTGGACATCGCTGACGAAGTGGTAGTCAATTGAGACAACTCTTGGCTTATTGTTGTAGTCGATGACCCGATACTTCCAGTAATAACCTTATTGGCTGAGTTGGCCACTGTTGCCGTCGACGCCGCCGCCGCTGTACGACAGTGGCCATCATCATCATCGGCCGTCGGGTCCGGATTAGTTGTTGTCTTGTTCTTCAGTATCTTTCCGGCCACGAAATACTTGCTTTTTTGCTAACAACAAGAGTTTGCAATTAAAAAATAAAAACTTTTCATATCTTATATTTTAAGAAAAAAAAACTTCATTAATACTTACATTTGATTCCTCCTCCTCGGGATCAGTATCTTTGAGTCGAAACATATCTACTGTCTTTGTGTCCGCCGTTTGTAATTAATGGCCAGCGATGGCCATCATATATGACAAAACACTTTATTACCGATGATTTGAAAATGCAATGCAAAACAATAGGTCACGTGTTTTGTGTTTTGATTTTTTTCTGTCTCTCTCTCTCTCTAAACAAATGTTTGTTTTGTTTTATACAGTATTTTATGTGCGAAAAGCCGCTGATTTGAAGCCAAGATCTGATCCCAAGAGACTCTGTGATCTCAAGAGATTTTTTTTTTATTGACGACTACTCTGTGTGGACATTATTTCTCTGACTCTGAAGGATCCACAAAAAAATGAGTTCATCATCAGTGGACAACAGTTGGCTGTCATCGGCTTACACGAGATATCTTGAAGCAAAAGACTTAAGCGATCGGCAAAGTCTTCACGATTCAGTTGACCAGCCGTTTGAATCGAAATATAAGGCCAAACAGATTCTGCAGGATTTGCTGGACACCACTGTGTCCACAGAATTGGTTGCCACCGACGATAAGGTCGACGACGGTAATGACGATCAGCTAAATTCTGGCCAACTTCTGGAGCTATTATTACACTACGAGTTGGGTGCCATCGATTTGGATACCGAAGAGCCATCAAATGCGACCAAACATTTCCAGTTGAGTCGGAAGTTATTGATGGACATCACTGGCGGCGACAGCGGCGGCGCCGCCGACACCGACGCCAACGATAATCAGAAGAATCGGTTACGATTGTCGTTGACATTGATGTCGGTTGTGGTCAACAATCAGTTAGGATTTATTTGGTGCTCCCGAAGTGACTATACGGAAGCAATCGGTTATCTACAAGAAGCAAAACAAGCGTACGACTGGTGGTCAAAAACCAGTGATGACCACTTACGGCTCGGTTTGTTACTGGATTTTGCCGATCTGTTTACATCGAAACCGTTGCACGAGTCAAACGTTAGCCGACGACTGGCCGCCGCAAACGAGACCAACAACTCGAATAAAGGCTTGAAAAACTTAGAATCGGGCCATACGTTGACACTGTATCTGATGGCACAGACCTACGAAAAGTTGGGCGACAATAGCCAATCGGCTGTCTACTGTCACTCGACACTCAAACGCCAATATCGGTCACTACAGGAGTCGTCGGAGTCGTCGTCGTCGTCACCACAAATTGATGAACCATTGATGTACGACCGTATCGATTGGGCACTGAATGCGGCCACACTATCGCAATACTTTGCGTCCAACGACGACTTCAATGCCTCCCGACATCATATCTGTTGCGCACTTAAAGTCATCAATAGTTTAGCGTTGTTGTCGCCGGCGGACATCGAGTCTGATAAATATCGGAAAGCTATGGCCGATATCAATCGGATTGTTGTCAAATACAGTATTATGCTTCTGGAGTCATCGGGAACTGCTATACGCGATAATCTGGTGGTCACCACCATCACTGAACAGACTGATGAACAACAATCAACCGGTGATCAGAAGTTCAGGTGATTATCAATTGTTTAATTTTTTTTTTAATTTATTTTTTACCCAATAGTTATAAATACTATAGTTTTTATTAATTAGAGACACGCAAAAAAAAGTTTAATATTATTTACTAAAAATAAATTTATTACTTTTTGTTAATTATTGTTAAGTTTTTAAATAGAAGTTAAATTATATACTATTATATATTATACCGGTATATATGTTTTAAAACAGTATCAAATAAAATAAAAAAATAATAATTGAATAGTTTATACAAATACTTTAATACAAATAATTAATGATATGTTTATATTTAATGAGAGATATTATTATTATTATTTATATACAATATATTGAGTGATCAATTTAATGTCAAAGATATCATATTTTTTATAATTTTTTTTTTAAATAATTATATTTTTTTGTGGCTATTTATAAATTATTTTATTTAGTTATGTTTAATTTATATCAGTATTTTTTAAAAACTACTATATCTAACTAGCTATTATTGATTTCAGCTATCATATTTTATTTTTTAAAAATAAATAAAACTTTAACTAATATTATAGTATTAATCAATGACACACTTTATACTATAGTGTATTGTATAACATATATATATATATATATATATATATTATATCACGTATTTATTATATGCTTGCTTAGAAATTCCTATCACATGATATAATAATACACTGTTTATTATATTTAGTTATATAATAAAAAAAATGATAATAATTATATTATATAACTTTTATAATATACAATACAATAGAAATTTCTCCAGAGATTTAATACTAATATACTTATTGTTAGTTAGTTTGTTTGTTTTTGGACGTATTAAACAAAAACAATGATATTATTTTACACCATATATATGTATAATATAATAAGTTTTTATACAAATATATATATATATATATATAGATTATATGGTATATAAATAGTTACAATATAATATTTAGTGTAAATAAATGTATTGATTTATAAACACACACACACACACACACACAGTGACCAAGGTAATAATCATCAACGTCATATTTATTAATAGTGATAATTTTGATATCATGATTCAATTTTATATATAATAAAGAAAAGTTTAATACATTTTTTAAATATATATATATATAGTATATATATATTATATCATAGATTTCATAGAAAATTGTTTTCATTTGATTATGATTTTTAAATTATAAAAAAATTGAAACAATGTACTCTAGTGTGTGTAATATAATATAATAAAAATATAGTTTTATATTTATATATATTTTTTTAAAAAACATATCCAGGCATATAAATATTGCTAATTATTATTATTATTATTACCATAATAATAATATGGTAATAATAATAATGATAATTAGCATTAGGCTTACAATAATTGAATAATAATAAAAATATTGTAATATTTTTTTATAAAAAAAAATCTACTAAATTATTTGATAAAAATTGATAATTATTAAAATAATAATTATTATTATTTTATTTTACAATTAAAATACATTATTATTATTTTAATAATTATAATTTTTTATTATAATTTTTATTATTATTTAGCAGATCATATGATGCTGATTACAGACAAATAAATTTACAATAAATATTTCCTTTATAGTTTAAATAAAAATATATGTATATTGTATCCAGCAACAATAAAAAAAAATTGACGCTTATTTAAAAATTTTCAAAATCAATATATAGCTGTTATATTATAAATATTTATATTAATAAAGTTTATACAGTATATATATATATATATATATATATATATATATATATATATATATATATATATATATATATAAATGATACCCTTGGTTATTATTGTGTGAAAATTGACACTTGATAAGTTATTATTATTATTTTCTAATTATATATATATACTGTATAATATAGTATATTAAATGATACTGCAATTATATATCAATAATTTTTAGGAAAAAGCGATATCATATTATAGTAATATATAAACAAATTATTATATTAAAAAAAATATTATTATTATAATTATAATTTAAATGATTTTCATTTATCATATTATATTCATTGACTAAACCAATCAATTCTCCCTCCAATCAATTGTAGACCATATTTGCTGAACGACCGGGAAGTGGAGGAATTGGAGAAAACTATCAAAACATACCCGATTAGGACACTATCGGCCGCTCAACAAGTGTTCAAATATGCCAATCAATGTCTTACCGAAGCCATGGAGTTCTATAAACTGGACGAAAGAGCGTCGGATTATATATCATGTATTCAGGACAGGAGTAAACTGTATCAGTATTTGATACCATTTGACAGTGACTACGATCGACAGTGTCGGATGCATAAGCGTCGGGTGGACGCACTCGAGGAACTGATCAAACAGATTAATCCGAAAATATTTGTCGGCCAATATCGGCAGCTGTTGTTCGAATTGGCCGAAATTCATACGCAAATGGCCGAACTGAAGACATGCATTATGAATGACAAGTCGGACGACGATTCGGCGGCCATCGATGACCGACAAATGCTTGTGGCCATCAAAAAGATTAACCTATTGTTTGCCAAATCCATTCATAATTTTGATACATTCATCAAGACATTTGTCGATGAAAAATCGGCCAACAAATTACCCGATTCGCTGCCCGCCGACTATATACGGCCAGTATTGTTGGCCGTATTTTCGATTGGCCGACTTTATTCGAAACTGGTTACCCGTGATCCGAGAGAACAGTTGCGTAATTGGTCGAAATGCGAGGACAACTATCAGCAGTGTAAGGACTATTTGGATCGTAATCCTGAACACCGATCGGAACATTTTGCCGACGAGTGGCCACTGCTTGAAGAGATGCTATCGCTAATACCCGGCAAAATGCAATTGATATTGAATTCAACGATGTATTGATTGATTGATTGATTGATTGAAAAACCAAAGAAAAACAATTTTTTAAAATTACTTTTAACTAATTAATTAGATTTATATTTATTTGATTTGATTATTTACCGATAATCATAATGTTTTTTTTTGACAAATTGATTGTTTGTGATTTTTATTTATTTATATTTAATTATCTAACTTTGTGTTTACACACCCACCCACTCACCCACTAGTCGCTAACTAATTGTTTGTTTGTTTGTTTGTTTTTTGTTTGTTTGATTAATTGTTGTTATGATAGCGCCCTATCATTATATAATTATTACTACTAAAATTACCGGTGTGTTTTTAATACTACCCGTCCCTATCGGTTATACAACCTCCCCCACCCCCTATTAAAATCTTAGTAAAAATATTTATTAAACTAATTATTAGATAATATTTTACATACAGAATTGACAACTTATTTATTTTAAGTTGTTTATTGATTTCAAAAAAGTTAATTTTTTGTTTGCATTTAAATATATGATAAAAAAAACAAAAAAAAATTTATATTTTAATAATGAAATCATTTACTATAAACAATATCAAAGTCCAATTGAATTCAATGGTTTCAACAACAAATAAAAACTAAACTAAAACTATAAAATTATTATTATTAATATTGATATTATAATCAATTATATTATTAATAATAATATTAATGATGATAAACAACTAAATTTAGTTCATTGCTAAGATAATCTCAAATAAAATGTTTAAATTTTTAAAACTCAAATATTAATAACTTTAAAAAATATATTTTTTAAAATTATTATACCTGTACTCTGCACTAAAGTTTTACAAAAAAAAAGTTTTATATATTACTTTACTGTACTTTAGTTATTATAATTAAATTTAAATTAAATTTGATAATAAGTATCAATCATTCATTCATTTATCAAATAAATAATTTTTTTTTAAAAATTATATATTGATCTAAACTACCGGTAATTATATTAAATATTTTTATTTTATACAGTAATACCTATACTTTATTTTAGTACAGTATTTCAAAATAAGTTATGTAATAATATTAATAACTATTGATTAGTAAATTTATTCTTTAATATAATATATAATAGTTATATAAAAACATTTTTTTTTAATTTTCTTCGTTAACACCAAATATTGTTATATCAATTTAATTAATTAATAATTATATAAATAAATTAGAAATTCATTGATTGTTAGGATATATATATATATATATACCTTAATTCAATTGTTTAAAATAAATTTTACGCTAAATTTTTTAGTTGTTTTAATATAAAAACAAATATATATTTTTATAATAATAATAATAATAATATCATTATCATCATTTAAATTATACAATTTTTTTTTTAAATACACAGTAAATTTGTTTATAAATTCAACTTTTAAGTTATTATTTTATCCATTTAATAAAAAAAACAAATTAAGTGTAAATTTAATAAAACTAATCAATTTTATAGATTGATTTAAAGGCAAATAACTTAATTAATAGCACAAACAAAAAATATATTTAAAAAACAAACAAAAAAAGACATCAAATTGTTTTTTTAATCAATTAGTTAATTATAATAATTACTAATTTTTTTTGTTGTTTTAAATAAATCTCTAAATTTAACTTAAAATCCGATATTAAAAAAAACATTTTTCTTTGTTTCTGGTGTTTAATGGACTGAAAAACTTGAAAACTTATATTTCAATAATCATTAATATTTTTAAGTTAAAGTAATTATTAATTTTATATCAATTATATACGTAGTGTCCGCTCGTGAGCTCACAAAAAAAATAATAAAATAAAACAATAATAATTATAAAATTAAATAAAAAAACACCAAAAAAATTAATTATTTTAAACTATTATTTTTGTCTAAATTGTGTGAATGAAAACAAATTTTAAAAAAAACAATATTTTGTTTGGTTTGTAACTCTTGGTTCACATATATATATATAAATAAATCATAATACAGTAATAATAATAATATTAACTAAATTATTAAATTAATTAAAACTCATTTTTCAGTATTAATAATAATAATAATCTAAGAGTAGATGTGATGGTCGACTAAGAGGAATAGGAGGTTTAGTAAAGAGTGGGAGAGGTATGCGATGACAGTATAGATTAAACTAAAAACAAATTATTTATTAATAAATTTTTATATATATATATTTATATTTATATTGTGATTCAATTTAAAACAAAGAAAACAAAATCAATTTTTAAATATATTTAAATATATATATAATTTTATGAGAGAGAGAGAGAGAGAGAGAGAGAGAGAGAGAGAGAGAGAGAGAGAGAGAGAACATTTTTGTTTGTTGTTGTTTTTTTAAAGTGTTTTAAACATTAAAAATTTGTTATGTTTTCACAATTAAATAATTATATATTTAAAAAAAACAACAATTTTGAAGAGCAATGTTGTGATTATATATATATATATATATAAAAAAAACAGTCGCAGCTATTAAGGTAAGCATTACTTTTTTTTTTAAAAAAAAAACAATTGATTTTTTTTCCGGTAAATTATTTTTAAGAGGTTTACAATAGATATTGAGAGAAATTACTATTAAATAATTAAAAAAAAAAAATTACTGTAATTTTGTTGGTAAAACTGTTTTGTTGTGTTTGTTTTTTTTATTACAATATTATAATTAATAAATTTTTTAAAAGGTGTGTGTGTTTTGTTGTTGTAAATTGAATTGTAATTATAATAATAATAATAATTTCATACATTAATAATAATAATAATCAATTAATTAATTAATTATAATAATAATAATAATAATAATAGTTAAGACAGAGAAAGAGAGACTAAAAGTAGTGGTCACCCGAAACATACACACACACACACACACACACAGTGTATACATACACACGGGTGCGGCGGCGGTGGCGGCGGCTGCGGGCGGTATCGGGTGTGTGTAAGGTTCGGGTGAAAACTGCTTTTATAAATATTATTCGGGTATTATTATTATTATTATTATTAATATTTCTTATGTTGTTGTGTTGTGTTGTTATTAATAGACGTCCACATCGATCATCACATGGCGTACTTTCGGGTCCACTCTCTGGCCAACTCGTTGTACTTTTCCCTATCAGTCTTGTAGATTCGGGCAATTTCGGGTACCAGCGGATCATCCGGATTGGGATCGCATAACAGTGAACAAATTGATAGCAATACTTTCGATATGGTCAGCGCCGGTGACCATTGGGATCTCAAGATATCCAGACATATGCTGCCGTTGCTGTTGATGTTCGGATGATAGATCCGTGTAGTGAACGCCACTTTTGGCGGCTTAAACGGATAGTCGGTCGGAAAGTGGATCGTCAGGAAAAACACGCCGCCCTGATAGGGACTATCCGGCGGTCCCATTATGGTCGCCTGCCAATGAAATAGATCGTCGCCGACGGGTCCGGCCGAACACTGTGCCGGCGGATCGCGTTTCAAGTCTTCCAGTTCTTTCTTTATCCGTTTTAAAGCCATTTTTGTTGTCTGTTTTTGCTGTTGTTGTGGTTTTGTGTTGTAATATATGATATATTTTTTGCTTACTTTTAACAATGACGACGACCACACACTCACTGTATGTATGTATGTATGTATTGACTGTGTTATAACAGTGATACTCACTCTCTAAAAGGTGTATAGTGTAGTATAGGGGGCTCTTCACACATTACGTTCGCCGAACTTTTCACAGACCCCCTCTCCCACTCCCTCCCTCCCTCCCTACTTTATGTTAGCAATTGTTCGTTCGCATGTTTAGACATTTTTTATTTTAAAAAAGAAAATTACTTTTGCATGTCCCTAACCGTTACCCACCCCTCCTATAACCCATCCCCCACCCGACCACCACTGCTAAGAAATAAATGGTGAAATCTATCAAAAATGCGAACGTTCTTTTAAAGTCCTGCCCTCCCCTCCCCCTCGTTCGCAAAATAAGTTCGCTTTGGCCAACCAACCAACCACCCAACCCCTCACTCTCCCTTCAAGTGCGAACGTACTATGTGAACCACGCCTTAGAGAGAGAGAGATAGAGAGAGTATAGTAGAGCGCAATCAATAGCTAATCATAGGATTGCTATGTGTATTGTGTGTGTGAATAGTATACTAAAAAAAAAGTTGCACTATGTATGTACTTTATGTACGGTGTGTGTATGTGTATGTGTATGTGTATGTGTATGTGTATGTGTATGTGTATGTGTATGTGTATGTGTATGTGTATGTGTATGTGTATGTGTATGTGTATGTGTATGTGTATGTGTATGTGTATGTGTATGTGTATGTGTATGTGTATGTGTATGTGTATGTGTATGTGTATGTGTATGTGTATGTGTATGTGTATGTGTATGTGTATGTGTATGTGTATGTGTATGTGTATGTGTATGTGTATGTGTATGTATATGTGTATGTGTATGTGTATGTGTATGTGTGTGTGTTTATATATATATATATGTGTGTGTATCTATGTATGTATGGTGTGTGTATGTATGTATGTATGTATGTATGTATGTATGTATGTATGTATGTATGTATGTATGTATGTATGTATGTATGTATGTATGTATGTATGTATGTGTGTGTGTGTTTGTTTCTATGCAATATCAACCGGGTCGTCAAATCTCTAACCCCCCCCCCACGGGAGGGGTGGTTACTTCACAATATAACCGCACCGCCGGTTATTATTTTTAATATACAGTATAATAATTATAATAATTTAAATATAAAATGTTTTTTTTTAATAAATTATTTATATATTAATTCTACTTTTTTTTGTAAAAATATAACTTTTTGAGTACATATTATAATCAATTAAATAAAAACACTTATTTTAAGTTTTTTTCATTATTGTTTAAAAAAATTAATATATTAATTGTATTAAAATAATCTCAATATATATTTTTTAAAAAAATTATGATTAAAATTATATAAATATTGTCCGATCATAACAATTATTTTTAGGTTTAGGTTTTATTTTTCCCGGGTTTGGGTTAGTTTTGTTATTAACTTTAGTTTTTAAAAAGCGCATGTGCTATTCCCCCCCACCCCTCCATACCAGTGCTCTACAGTACTACACACTGTAGGATCCGATACTAACATAACGTTACGCTTAGTACCGGTGTTTCATAGCCTGACTGTCCCTTTCATTTAGGTTTTGCAATAATTGTTATACAATTTAAACATAAATACAGTTTTTTATTAAAAAAAAACAATACTATAATAATTATATTAATAATTAATTAATTAATACATTAATATTTATTATTAATAAAATTGAATTATAATTATTGATTTTTAATGTTTTTTTTAAAATATCAAGTTTATAATAATAATAATAATGTAAATATTAAATTAGTTTATAATTTTGTTTTTTAAAAATTAGTAAATTTTATAGTTAAATTTTTAAAAGCTCACATAAATATTATTTTACAAAAACATGATTAATATATTAATTAAATATATATATATATATAAATCAATTTTTGTTTAAAAATAAAATTGTTTTTTTATTATTATTCTAATATTAAAATTATATATTTTTTTCTACAACAAAAAAAAATTATAATAAATGCTATATAATGTAATATAATTGTATTCAAAATTTATTAATTTATATGATATATTTTATTTAATTTAAAAAAAAAATTATTAGTCAGTCTAGATTGCATTAAATGCATTAAACAATAATTAATTTTATTAAATTAATATTAAAATTGTTTAAATATAAGTTAATTAAATTTACATTTAGTTTATTTTAGTAGTCAATATTTATAATACACTTGTTATATGCTATATATATATTAGTAATTTTATTATTTATTAATTTTATTAATTTAATTATAATAATAATAATAATAATTTTTATACATATTTAATGTGTTATTACAGTATTATTATATATTTTTTTAAAATTATAAATGCATTGACAATAAAAATTTAAAACTACTGTACAATTCAATTGAAAATAAATAAATACTACAGTATTTGTGTGATAAACATAAATATAAAACAAATGTTGTGTTACAATGAAAACATGGTTTACTGTACATTACATTACAGTTTTGTACTACACTTTGACTTTACAATACATGTTATATTAAACACACGTTTATATTATATATATATACAGACAGTGTGTGTATAAACACGTGTTTAGATTTAGATGTTTTTTTGTCGACTGTTTTTTTTAAACCATACATACAATTAACAAGTGATTTGTTGACCCGAAAGATAGACCATCCGAGATAATGAACTTAATGGCCAATACACCGGTTGCACTGTCCGATTGTGGCCAATATTTCGGCTACTGTACACTGGATGGCCAGCTAAAAGTATGGGACACATCGTCGGCTATATTGAAACAAGAGTACACACCGACGGCACACTTGTCGACCACATGCGTGACAATTGCCTGGCCAGACAAGTATGTGCCGCCGCTGCCGATGTCGGCGGACAATAACAACGACAACGACGAGCAACTAATTGTAATTTAATTGATCGTCCGATTGACTCTTTGTCCGCTAGAAAACTAAATAACTTTTTTTTATAATTTTTCGCCGCCCGTAGACATCGCCCCGAAAGAGACTCAGACGCAGCAGTCAATTATCATTGCAAACACCGATGAAGTCTAATAGTAATAGTAATAATATCAATAGTAATGATGTTGGCCAAGAAGTACACGACCTGGAACTGGTAGCTCTGGGAACAGTTAACGGCGATATACTGTTGTACAGTATAGTCAAAGGCGATCTTCACTGTCGTCTAACGAAAGCCAACGGCGGTCACGACGATCGGGTTAACGATATTTCGTGGCTAACTCGTAGCGATTCGTTGTTCAGCTGTTCCAATGATAAACAAGTAGTCGAATGGTGTATATCGACTCATAAAGTGAAGAAGTATGTGTGTGTGTGGTGTCTGATGTGTGGCCACCGATGACGGCCTATAATAACGAAACAACTTGTTTTTAATTCACTAATTGATTTATGTCTTATTGTTGTTATCCATAGAAAATGGTGTCCAGACAAGAGTCCTGTCTCAGCTATTTGTGCCATCGATTCGACCAACTTATTGATTGCCGGAAACTCTATCAAATGGTTAGACTGGACCAAGAAAGTAGTCCTGCAAACCTATTCCGGTCACGGAAGCGAAATAAATCGATTGAAACACATCCGACTTAGTAACGATTCGGACGACTCGATTGTCGGCTCGTATTTTATATCATCGGCCGTCGGCGATCGATTGGTCAATGTTTGGCAATTGAAGACCAAAGGGTCAGCTGATGACGACCAGCAGCAGCAGCGGCCAAAACTCAGAAATTCGACTGATATATCGTTAAACTCTTTAGCTTCGCTTTCCATTGATGACGAACCCATTAGTCTAGACATAACACCCTTTAAAGTCAATAATGTAAGCGATAGCATCACCTTTTTAACTGATCCCATGATGATATCTAATGTCATTTGATAATTTTTTTTCAGCCCATATTTATAACAATAGTAACCAAAAGTGGTTTTCTATATATTTTTGAACACGTTTTGAATGGTCATCGGCGGACACCGTTGATGGCGAAAATCAAACTACAAATCATAACACAAGAACCATCGAAAACGCCCCGAAAAGCCAAACGATCACAGTTTCCATCGAAACAGTTGAACATACTATCGGCTCAGTTATGTACCGCTAATGAAGTGCTCGTCACCTATGGTTCACTATTAGTGCCAGTCTTCGAACGGATCCCCTTATCTGAGTGTTCAAAAGATACTGTACTCATCCGTAAAGACATAATCCAAATGAATAGACCGTCGCAGAGTGTCGAAGCCGGCTATAATAAAGTTAAGACACCGTTGAAGTCGCAAAATCCGACTGTTGTCGGACCGGCCGGTATGCTTGCGACCCGACAATCGGTTAATTCGACACCGACTATGAACAACAACAACAATATAGACATAACTGTTCCCAATAATAATGATTTAAAATCCGAAAACAATTGTATTATTGATAATAACATCTCATCTTCTACTTCTTCTACTGTTGTTGTTTCTGAAAATAAACATTCAATTAAGAATAATGTTGACAATGATGATGATGACGACGACGACAAAGAAATGGTGGTAAACGAAAAGCCGGCCCCCAAAGAGCGTAAAGAAAAAGTGAAAAAAGTTTTTCCGCCGAAAAGCGAGGCCACTATGGCTATCGCCGATCGGCTAGTGATGGCTGCCGAGGGCACGGATCTTGGATCAGCTTCTCAACCACTCAAACGTCAACTACAACAGCAGCCAAGCAGTGATAGTTTAACACATGTCTTAGTCCAGGGACTGCAGAGTCGCGACAAGAAAATGTTGGACACTGTGTTCAACAATACCGACGAACTGGTCATCAAGAATACCATCAAAAAGCTGCCAATCGATTGTATTTCTCTGTTTCTCTACGAACTACAGAGTTGTTTGTTTAGCAAAAGTGAACAAACGGTAACATATCTGAAATGGTTGGAACAGTTGCTCCAATTGAGGCTAACATTTCTCATGTCTGTAAGTATCTGTTTGATTAGTTAGCTATAGTTTTGTTAATTAATTAATAATTTTAAAAATATCTTTTCTTTTGGGAAACAGTTGCCAAATGTCGAGAAAGAGTTCGGACCACTTCTTCAACTACTCGAAGCGCGAACACAAATATTAGAACGAATTTATAGATTAAAAGGACGATTAAATCTAATGATGTCTCAGGTATTGATTGACTGATAATTATCTTCTAATTCGATACAATCTAACCGTTATATATCACTTGTATTAGATCCATACACAGACATTAAGTAGTATTGACACCAGACGATTGACTAGAAAGTTGGCTCCGATTGACTACGAATCTTCGTCGTCGTCATCCGATGATGACGACGATAACGAAGAGGATGTATTGGACGACGACTTTAAAGATATTTTAGAAGATTCAGATGATGACGACGACAATGAAGATGATGTCAATATAGATAACATTGACGGCGGCGAAGGTGAAGACCATATGAGCAGTGATGAGAGTATCGATGGCAATGATTTGATGAGCGAAGACATCGATGATGATGATGAAGAAGGAGAATCAACAAACAATTTAAATGATATGGAAACTGATTGATGGGTTAAAATCATAGATTTTTTTTATAAAAAAAACAACAAAAATATATAATTATTAAATTGTAATCATAAAATATTTTAATAATAATGTGTTTAAATATATATATATATTGATATATAAAATAAAAGAAAAAAATGGATTTAATTTTTGGTGAAAAAATTTGTTATCTTTTTTGTCGTCTGATTGTTGTTGTTCTCCTTCACTGACGACGACTTACGCTGTCGTTTACTACTACTACTACTTCTTCTACTCTTCTGTTGTAACGCATTCTTCGACCATCGTTTGCGATCCAATGCGTCCAACTGTCGGAACTGTTGTTTGGCTATTCGTATGCAATCGTCTTCCTCGTCAACATCCGAATTGTCGTCACGAATCCGGGCTCTGTTTTGTTCGTAATAGTACTCAAACGCTTGTCCATCGCACGACTCGCCATCGCTTTCATTGTCGTCGTCGTCATCACCATCGCTGTGATGAACAATCTTTTTGCGTTTCATCTGCTGTTTGGTCGTCGCCTTCTGTGCCGTCACTTTAAATGGATTACTGCCTCCGCGAGACTCGGCTTTAGTTATCTGAATCTGTTTTGGCTTAAGTGTCAGACTATTAGAGTTGTCGTCGTTGTCGAAATCATCGCCAACTCTATTGTCGCCACCATTTGAAACAACTGAATCATTGTCGTCGCTGATCTCTTCCTCAATCGTCTCAACAGTGGTCTCTCCTCCTCCTCCTCTTTTGCGCAATGATTTAGGTCGCAAACGAATATCATCTCTTGCCTGTTGACTCTCCAGCGACTGAATTCTATACGTGGATGACGTTTGCGTATTAACTTCAACTATCTCTTGAACCTCTGCTTCTGCTTCCTCATCGTCCGATTCGCCATTCACTTCTTCTTCGTGTTTTTGTAGCGCAATTTCCTTCAGTTTTTCAATCAATGTCATCCGCTGTTGTTTCTGTGCAAATCGAATGGCGCCGACAACGCTGGCCTCGTTCGGCATCAGTCGGCTAACCTCGAGAGCCAGTGATTCTCTATCGGCGGCCAAAGACATCTATACATCCAAAAAAAAAACCAAAAAAGTTTATTAACTAATCGATGGAGTCATTGAAAAGTGGGGGTAAAGTAATTGATTTTATTTATTTTTTTTGGAAAACTAACCGCAAATAGCTTGACGAGTGCATTGACCCGATATCGTTGACACTCTTCATAATTTGTTTCGACATCAAAACCATCTTTAGATAACTTCTTCAACAGTGATGCCAACAATTGGTTTCTAATGTTTTCCTCCTAATAATAATAATTATAAAACTTTTAATAATTGCATTATTACGGGTGTAATCTATAAAATCTAACCTCATTTTTGCCTTTAGCCGTATGCGACTCGCATACGGGTATCTGTAACGGTAGTGTATTGACGGTCGGTTTGGGTACAGTAGCCGGATATCGGCTACCCTTACAAAATAAACAACGAATTTGGTTCTGGATTTCGCTCAAACCGATGATAAAAAAATTATCTGATTTTCCTTTTGCCTGAAAAAAATGTAAAATTAGTTACCGGTAATTGCTTATAATTTCAGTACTAATTTTTATACTCTAACTGATCCCAATAACATACATGATCTTTAGTATTGGCCACCGGTATCCACATATTGCCGTAGCCTGTCTTAAACAGCCGTACCTGACCATCAAAATCGACAACACATGGCGTACCTTCGTCGGTAAAGCCGGCCCAGTAGACCGGCGATTTGGGCGTCAACGCTACGGGTACTGGATTGGGCACCGGGTGTCTAGCAGTAGGTTTGTGCACGACTCGCAACACATACATCGACAGACTTTGTTCGTCGGGCAGTCCCGACGCCGAATGATAGACAATCATCAGCAGCTGTTCGAACGAGGCCAGCGATACGACACGGCCGGGCAATGATAGGACATTAGTTTGAATGCCGCCGACTGTGAATATCCGTACAAATCGTTTATCAGTGGCCGCGGCTATAAATCCGGTACCACAGGTAACCGCTTCGATAAACTCGCCACTGGTCATGTCCACCGACCACTCTTTGGTTGCGTCCCATATGTTAAACAACCGACAATAGAGTTTACCGCCAGTGGCCCTTTCGTCTCCATTGGTGGCCATAATCAGCGATTCGGGTGACAGATCAGCCATCGTATAGTTAGTGTTTTTGTTGGGCACATGAATCGAGTGATGATAGGCCACGTCGTGAAACTCGACATCTATGGAGCTTTCGTTTTCGGTATTATAGCATCGGACTATTCCAACGGAATTCCAGACCATAAATCGTTGGTCATAGTGTACAGGTGTCGAACCCGATTGAAACGGTTCCTGTCTTAACGGTGGCGGTTCTACATCTTCTTCTTCTTCCTCCTCTACTTCCTGCACCACCTCTCGAGACTTTGACTGATGACTAAGCCGTGAGTTTGGCCGCTGTTCTGATGGCCTATCTTTCGGCGCATCGCTGTTGATCTGCGACTCGTATCGCGCCTTAAGGGCTCCGATATCAAACTCGACGTCGTCATCATCATTGACATCATTACCATCATTGGTATTCAAATTATTATCTTCATTGATACTAACGATATCCTTTGTCGGTATATATTTCTTGTTGAACGTAATGTTAGGCAATTCAATGTCCACATCGGCATTATCTGCTTTTGGGTCGTCGTTGTCGCCAAAGTCATCGTCGGATAGATCGGCAAACATATTATTCATCTCTTCCTGATTTAACACCAATTTGTTACTATTATCGTTAGTATTGTTATGATTATTATTAGTACCGGTAGTAGTATTAGTATTATTAATATTATTACTGGTGTTGTTTGTGTTCTGCAAACTATGCAATGACTTAACACTGATAACACCGAAATGTCCGCTAATATCGCAAAATGCTAGTTGCGATTGGCGCGGACACCATTTCAAACAGGTTATCTTTGCCGAATCTTTATGAAAATATTTGGCAATCGGCATCGGACTGGTATTGTCCAGAGAAATAGTACCGTCGGCGGCGGTAATGTTCCAAATCATTATGACACCATCACTGCTGGCAGCGGCCAGATAATTGCCGTCCGGCGAATATGAAACTATCGATATCTGTTTAAGCAGATCGTGTCGAATAGTGGCCACCAATTGCCAAGTATCGCGTGCATGAACATCGATTCTGTCCATTTTGGGTACGGCCAGTCGCTGACCATCCGATGGCTGCCACGACATGCGACACAAAACAGGCGATGTCTCAAAATCGTTACTTTTCGGTAAACAGTCGGTCCAAGACTGGCAACAAGTTTTCGTATCGACATTCCAGACCCGGACAGTACCGTCACAACTGGCCGATGAGATGAACTGTTGTCGCGGATCCAATGAAACACTAAGCACTGGTGCTTCGTGTCCTTCGTAGGTCTTCTGCAGACTTGTTGTCAAATCAATTGATTTCAGTGTAAAATCTCTGCAAAAAAAAGTATTTATTTATTTTTTTAGTTATTAATCAATCACTTCATCAAATCAATTAAATCTAATACTAACGCCGCCGACGCCACCAATAGCTGGCCATCGTTGCCGCCAATGTCCAAATGGGTGGCATTAGTAGTAAAACGGCAAACAGTGTCGACTTCTTCGCCGTCGGACAGCCGAAACGATTTAACACAATTGGTGTCGCAGGCGATAAAAAAGTTGGTCGACTGTATGGATCAGATGTATGGATCAGTTATATTCTATAACATCATTATGGATCAAAACATGTGCGGATGTGAACATACATTGGCCACAATGGCGTAGGCGATATCCTCGACGGGAAATGACGAATCAGATTCGTCGTCATCTTCATTGTCGTCTTCAACTTCGTTTACCGGCCATCTTCTGATCTCCGAATCGACGCCACAGGTCAGCAGTCTGTATGTCAACAAAACAACAAAAACAATCACTAAATTTTGGATCAAACTCTTCTGAAAGCAAACTTCTGTTTTGATACAGACTTTCGGTCGCTGACGAAGAAACAATCGGTGTGTCCCTCGCAGTGACCAAAACGGATAACACAGTCAACGTTGTCGTTGATCTTTTCAGACATTTGATTGATTGATTGATTAGTTTACGTTTACAACAGTTATGTTTGGATCAGATGAAGTGATTATATAAGTGTTATGTCAGTGAAAGAGAGAGAGAGACAAACAAATAAAAGACACCAAAAAAAGCGCTTTAATTGATATTTAGCGCAACTTTTTTTTTGTAGCACAACACATGATTATGTCTCAAAAAGGCCTATATTTATAGACATTAACAATGCTTGAATTTGGGCCTTTTATTGACTACTGATGACATCATCAACCCATGTGTGTCTCTATGATTATTGAGTGTCTCTCTCTCTCTCTCTCACTCTCTTTCTAAGCGCTGATTGGCTAACGATTTTCATTCATCAAAAAAAATCACACACACATATATCGTGTGCGTATTAGTGCATACAATGTTTAGACGTGTGTGTGTGTGTGTGTGTATAGCAGTTAAGTGTCACAATACATTAGAATCTAATGATTAGATTATATTATATTATATTATATTATATTATATTATATTACATACACACACACACACACACAATGTTGTATTAAACATCTATCGATGTGTATGCCTATGCGCTCAATGTATGGCACTCGCATATATAATGGCTTATAATAGCTATGAGAGTATAATGTAGTTTAAGAGTATATATGTTAATCCCTTTAACACATAAACAGTGTCTACTGTACTTCAAATACAGTATAATGTAATAGTAGTGATAGTGTTTTATATAGTGTGTAGTGAGTATAATATAATGAGTGAGCACTGTATCTCTACACTCACTCACTCACACACAATGAACACACAAATTGTATAGCAATTAGGTTTACAGTACAGTCACTGTGTGTGTGTGTGTGTACTGTATGTATGGTGTGATTATATGAGTGTATATTAAATATTATAATATATTATAGTTAACTAAATAAATAAAATACACTGTTTTCTGTGTGATTATTATATATTAATAATATTATTGTTGTTATTATTATTATTATTAATACCATAAATAGCCATCAAATAGACTGTCAAAACACACACACACTATACAAGTGTATGTATATTATTATTATTATTATTATTATTATTATTATTATTATTATTAAGCCATTGATTTACACCACTATATAGTGTTTAGTAGTAATCACTGGACATTTGATTTATTAAAAATAAAATAATTAATTAATTATTGTATTAATTGTTTTATATATATTTGTTAAGTGCTGTGATCTCTCCTATTATTATTATTATTATTATATGTGTTGTAAAATATAATTAAATATAATTAAATATATAAATAAAATAATTGATTTAGTTGTGTGTGTCTATTGTATAATGAAAAACACATTCAAAATAATTTAAAACCAAAAAATTTTATTTTGTTTGTTAACAAAAAATAACATTTTTTTTATAAACACATACACACAAAATGGTTGTGTATTTATGTTTAGGTTTTTTTTATTTATAAATAATTAAATACAATATATACATATAGACAGTAATAATAATAATAATATTGTTTAAAAATAAAAATTTTATTTTTAATAATAAATTTTAAACATATGATAATATATTGCGTGTATAATAAAAAAAAAATTGTCATATTTTTGTGTTTAAAATAATACATCAATTGATTGATTGATTGGATTTTATGTTTTTAATGATAATATCTAATAGTGTGTAAAAAATATTTTTATTTTTAATCATTAATAATAATAACTAATTTATTATTATTATTATTATCATCACAACTACTATTTATGATATATATTATTCAAATGCACCCATTGTTTCTGTAAGTTATTATTATTAATAATTTCAATTAATTATTATATATATTTTTAATTAATTAATTTAATTAATTAATTAAAAAGATCTGTCTTTACTTTTATTAGACATAAATCTATAATCATATGATAAGATATTATAATATATTGATAATCAAAGATATAATAACAATAGGCTATATATCGTATAACAAAATAAAGTCAAATATTTTATATATTAATATATATTTATTTATTTTTTTATGAATGAATTGTGTATTTAATTAATGAATGATTTTTAATATTTATTATTATTATTATTATTAGATTTTTTTCTTAATGATCATTGCGTTAGATATCATACTAAAAATTTATGGTTTATATCCCCTATATATATATATATATATATGTATATAATATTTATTTTCTATGTCTAGTACTACTACTAAATAAGTGATAATTAATTTTGTTTTTATTAATGATAATATAAATACTGTATATATATCATATATATAGGTAGACATACTGTATATGATATTTAATTTTTTATATGACTTTTTTTGACGACAATTATCGCTAATCTATGTATATCTCGGTATGTATTTAGTGGTGTGTGTGTAATATTAACGTCAATATTGTTATCAGTTAATGATTATTAGTATTATTATTATTAGCGTATGTTTTATGACAAAAAAATAAATAAATAAATAATTGTATTTGACTTTTGAATATTTTTTGGTGTATTTATTGTTAGTTAGCGACAGTGTGTGTGTACTCACACACACACACTGTATATCAGTAATAAAAATCTCTTTAATAAAATCAGCCAAAAATAAAATAATGTTAAATCACTTTCAACTAATTCAATGCCCGAAAAAATATTTTTATTTATTTATTTTTTGATTTATTTTTATGATTCATTGTGTGTTTAATTTAAGAAAAAATCTATTTATATACACGAATATCATATAATAGTCAACTGTTTTTTTTGTATGTATTTTTTGACAACAATTGAATGTCTTAAGAAAGAGAGAGAGAGAGAGAGAGAGGTTAGACATATAAATACAAGTGTTTTTTTTAAGTTAGTAGTAGACTATTATTATCATCATATGGTTTTCATGTGTAGTTAGAGGAGAGCACATAAGTTTAGTAAAATTGCCTACTCCTCCACTACCATCACCACCAACAAAAAAAACTACCAGTCCCTACAACTATACAGTAGGCCTAGTAGTAGTAGTAGTAGTTAGTGTGCAAAAAAACACTTGTGTCCTTATCATCAATTGGATGTGTGATGTGTTGGTACTTAATGATATAGTAGTAGTAGTAGTCTAGTATAGTGTCCTTATTTTTTTTACGGTAGTTACTCTGTTTTAACTATACACTGTACTGTATAACTATATCTACCAGTGCGCCCATGTATGTATGTACACTGACCGACCCCATATGTGTATGTGGTGGGCCCAGCACTTGTATCCCATTAAAAATATATATATATATATATACTATATATTCACACATAGTTTTTTGTATAACAATTTTTGTTGGAGTGGTTTTTTAGTTGTATTGTTATTTAGCAATATATTTGTTTTAAATAATAAATTGTGTAATGTTTTAGTTATTATTATTATTAATATTAATAATTTATAAGAAACAAAACATAAAATTATCTGATATTGTAATTATAATAATAATAATAATAAGTGAAGAAATAAGTAATTTTTAATATAATTAATGTTATAATAAATTTTTTTAAGCAAAAAAAATAAATTTTTAATTAGCTATTTCCATGTATGTGTGTGTGTATATGTGTGATTAGCCAATGAATAGTATTATGTCATATAATTAATGGTATATTATATTATAATTTATAATATAATATGTATAATAATTATTATGTCTGATATTTTATGTCTATGTTAGCTATTTGTGTAATAATTTATTTTTTTTCAAAAATTTTATTTAATTTTTTGTTGTAAAACTGATATCCAAACCTAACTTGTTTTGACTGAAAAATTTATTTTATTTTTTGAGACGACATGTCCTCAACATATGTGTGTGTATTATTGTATTATTATTATTATTATTACTGATATTATAGTATTTTATATATATATATATATATATTAGATATTTAGGTGAAAATATGTGTGTTTGAAAAATAAGTATATCATATTATGTCTGCGAAAAAATAGTTATTTTTTTATTAAAAAAAATAATAATTTATATCTAACTTTATATATAAATTTTTAGCGATTAAAACGGTTTATTGGTTGGCAATTATTGTTGAAAAAAAAATGTTTTTGTTTTATTATTAGTTATATATGTTGTTGTTTAAAGTTAAGCTAAAATATATTTTTATTTATTTAAATAAATAAAACTATTTTTTTTTAAACATTTATCAAACATTTAATAACAAAAATAATAAATATTTTTTTTCTCATTATTATAAAGAGCTGACAACAATGCATTAATTAATACTATAAATTGCTATAAATATATTATACAGCCATGAGTTAGTTAGTTAGTTATGAGTTTTTTTTTATTATTTGTAAGTAATTTTTGTTTCACTGTAGTATTATTGTGTGTAGTAATTAAATGAGAGACAACAACAACAACAACAAAAATGTGAATATATAGAAAAGATTTTATTATTATTATTATTATTAATAATTATGACTTAATTGAAAGTTTTTTTTATATGAAAAAAAAGTTATTATATGAGATATCTGTGTTGCGATTGACTGACAGCTATTGCATACGTAAGAGACTTACGAAACGTACAATTGAAATGAAAAATGAGGTCAAATACAGTCTCTCTCATACTCTCTCTCTCTTTCGTCTCTCTCTCTCTCTCTCTCTTTCTCTCTCTCTCGTCATATGTATGTTATAATTGCTTTTTTTCTCTTTACTTCTCAATTAAGGGTTTGTCGTAATGTCTTAATCGCTAAACATTGCGTACAACATATGAAATGTTTGTATTATTAATAGTTTTGAATAACTCGTATTATTTCATATTATTAACAAAAAAAATAATAGTTATTTATAATTTTTGTTAATTAAATATATATTTATATATATATTTTACTCTTTCTTTTTTGTTGTTGATTTTTTTTAGTTTTATTTTTTAATGAAAGTTTTGCCAAACAGTTTTGAAATTTTTTTTTAAAAAATGTTTTTAAATATCCATAGAAATAAATTGTTTAATATATATATACAGTATGTATGTGTGTTTTACCCAATTTAATTACATTAATAATTTATAAATATATTTTTTTATTTTATTTATTATTATATTGTATATAAATTTTTATTAAAATATATATATATATTACATATAATGTGTGAGAGAAAGTGTTAAATGTTGTTATCTATTAGTAGTACAGTATATGTAATGTTTGAAAAAAAAATATGAAAAATTTTTGTCTTGAAATTTAATACTACACTGTATTTTAATTGAGTTCATAAAAATGTTGAGTTAAAACTAAAAAAAAAAATTAAATGCTTTTTTTTAAAAAAAAATAACTATATTTTCTACACACATATTATGATTATGATATCATTTACTGCTGGGATTTCATGTGATTTTTTATTTTTTTTAAAAATATATATTAATTTCAAATAGCATTTCAATTAATAAATTATATAAATTTTTATTGAGTTTTTGATTTTTTTTTTGCTATCATCTGTAGATACCATTTGGTTTGCAACTGAATATTAAATAATAAAAAAGTTATATTCAATCCGATTGTGAGAACCGATTAAACCATTTAAAGAGGTTGTCCTCGAAAGCAACAGATATGATGGAAATGGATGCCAATATGGATGTCAGCGGCGATGAGCCGTCTTCGTCGTCGTCGTCGATAACAACAAGTCTGGAGTTGTCTTCGTCGTCGTCGTCCTCGTCGTCTTCCGCTACTAATAATAATAATAATAATAATAGTAATTGCAAAAGTGATAACTTAGAGGAAGAGATCAGCAGCAGTTCATCGTCATCAGCGCCTTCATCAACATTATCCTCGTCGTCGTCGTCATCCACACCATCGGCCAACACTACTACTATCACTACCACTGCTGCCAGTAGTGTCCGCAGAAAGTTTCGGTCGCTGACGTTTGGCCGGAGAAAAAAGTCGTCGTCGTCGTCGTCATCATCATCGTCGGCGGCGTCGACTCTTCAATGTTTAGCAAACACTAAATGCAAACAACAATCACCACAACAACAACAACAAAAAACCACCAATACTTGTGACAATTGCGGTCACAATAATAATAATAATAAAACAAATATCAATCATTCGTCGGCAACAGTGGTGACCACTACCGCTACTACTAATGGACGCAAGAAAAAGAGTCTACCCGGTTGGGTACCGTTTAAATTGTGCGCCCGAACCGAATCGTGTGCCGATGTTAGCCAATCTGAGGACCAGACATACAGTAAAAACAATAACAACAACTCGTGTATCTGTACCGCCTATAAGAAGACTACGGGCAGCGACAATGGATCAGCTGTTGTAACGCTGTCGTCGTCATCGGCAGTAGCCGTAACAGACAGTCGCGGCAGCGGCGGCCAACATCATCGTGGAAATCGCAATAATTTGGATCATCCGAATGGCCATCAATCGACTGGCGGCGGCGGGTTGGCGGTAATTAAAGACACGATTGCTGGCGGCATATCGACCAGCGATAGCTATGTCGATCATCTCTTACCAAACAATCTGGACGCCAACAACGTACAGCCGCTTCATGTACCGCCATCGGTATCGATGAGCGAAGTTCGTTCGGTTCAGGTTCGGGTATCGGAACTGGCCCTAGCATTGCGTAGTCAACTGTCGCTGACTGTTAATCCGCACCCGTATCTGGCCCGTTGGGGCGAAATGTCCGAACTGACACCCGGTTTTTTCAATCGTTTCTGTGTACGCAGCGATTCGGCTGCTGTCAACTCGGCGACGGCTGCCCTGACCACCGATGGCCAACAAATTCACACACAAATCGATTACATACACTGTCTGGTACCCGACCTGCTAGCCATTACCAACTGTAGTTTCTATTGGGGCAAAATGGACAGATACGAAGCGGAACGGCTGATCGACAACAAACCCGAAGGTACGTTCCTGTTGAGGGACAGCGCACAAGAGGATCACTTGTTTTCGGTATCATTCCGCCGGTTTGATCGGTCATTACACGCCCGCATTGAACAGTGGAACCATAAGTTCAGTTTCGACAGTCACGATCCGGGAGTCTACTCGTCACCAACGGTTTGCGGCCTAATTGAACACTACAAAGATCCGCAGCACTGTATGTTTTTCGAGCCGATGCTAACCATACCATTGCATCGAAATCTAACCTTTTCGTTGCAACACCTGAGCCGTGCGGCCATTACATCCCGTATATCCTACGACAACATTAACTCAATACAACTACCAAAGCGTCTCAAAAATTATCTCAAAGAATATCATTATAAACAACAGGTTCGCGTCCGACGGCTCGATGGCGACCATTGATTGACTGATTGATATTATATATATATATATATATATATAGTATATAAAATATATTTGATATATCTTTTAAATATTATTTTTTAAATGTGTAATAATAGGTACCTAATAATAATAATAATGAATAAATTATTATATTAATTAATATTTAAGTATATATATATATACTATTAATTAATTGTAAAGAATAATTGTTATATATATATATATATATATATATATTGATTTATAATTATTATATTAATTATTTGTAAACTACTACTACTACTACTACTATATTTGCAATTGAATTTTTTTTTCTCTCTATATATGTATTGTATTAATATATCTCTCTATCAAAACCTATTGTTGTGTTATTTTTTTATATTATATAAAAAAATCAAACAAAACAAATTGATACCCATTTTTTATATTAAATGTCAAATAATCAAAATTAATAAAAACACAAAAAATATATTATATTTTTCTCATTAACAATACACTATGTATTTATAATAATTATTATTAATAATCATCATAGTAATAAATTTTTAACAAATTTCTATATATATATAAATAATTATATATTTTATTAATGTATTGTGTATTCAAAGTGATTATTGAAAAGAGAGAGAGAAAAAAAAATAAAAACTAATAAAAAAAATTATTATATCATATATTGAAATCAAAAAAAATAATAATAATAATAAAAATAAAACAAATTATTTTATGACCTCTATTCAGCATTAAATTAATTAATTATTAAGTTATTGTTTAATAATAATATATTTTTATTATTATTATTATTATTTTAGTATTTAATTATTACAATACCTATTGTCTGTGTGTGTGTGTGTGTATGTGATTAAAGACATGTTTAGCACTTATAAGTATTATTTTAAAAAATCGTTTAGTAATTGTATAATAATTGTATTGGTATTTAATATAATAATAATAATAATATTATCATTAAAAAAAAATTGATAGTAATAGTAATAATATGCAATAATAATAATAATAATAATAATTTTTGTTGTTTTTATTAAAACCTACTATTGCTTTAGGAAGTGAATGAATGGGCAAATCGTAAATATTTATTATTATTTTTTATATCTCTTATATTAAAATATATATAAAATTATATATTATTTTTCTCAGTTTAATTGAGAGTGACTTTGTTTTCAATAGGAAGTTATAGTTTTTTTTATTATTACTATTATGATTACTACTACTACTACTACTACTATTTAGATATATTATAATTTTTATATAGTTGATGATAAATGATTATACTTAACTGTATATATACAGTATATTTTTTATGTGATATTTAAATTTTTAAAAAAAAATTTTTGTTGTCAAATTGATTTTTTTTTATTAATATAAATAAATAAATATATATATATATTAAAATTTATACTATAATTTTGTTGGTGTGTATAACTATATATTATATTAGTATACAGTTAGAGTTGGCACCAAAAAAAAAACATGAGAAATTTTTTTATACAAAAATAATAGATAAATTTCTGGAAAGTTTCAACTGAAAGAAATTCATGTATATTATACTGTTATTAACTATTAAAAATATTAACAAAAAATTATTATTTTATTAGTAGTTTAATTAATATTCAAAGTAAACACAAAAAAAATAATTAGTAATTCATCTAGTTAAATTCAATTATTCAATAAAATTTTCCAAAAAAAAACTATAATTATTAAACTGAGATAATTATATTAATTTTTTTTATAAATAAGAAAATTATATTTAATATAGTATTATATATTATTAATATATTACTAAAATAGTTATAAATATAACTCCATAGTATATTAATAAATTAAAAATTTTTATAGAAATTTATTACCTGAGAAACTTTCTAGAAATTTTCTAAATCTATATATATATAGTATTTAGACTAATCATATCAATTGTTGTCAAAATAATCAATTTGACAAATATGTATATATATATTGTAAATATGATATTTTACTTTATAATAATTTCCTATAATTATACGGTATATGTATTATTATGATAATATACAGAATATTTATACAATATATATATTTATATATGATTTATTATTTGTAATATGCTGTATAAATATAAATAAAATTTGCATTTATATACATATATATACAAATACTAATCAACTTATATGGATATATTATATGATAACAGGATATATTTTTTTTAAATAAAATAATAATAAAACAAAATTTATTTTTTTTAATTTCTAAATTTACTGTATTAACTGTATTATATATTTTAAAATAATATATATATATAGTATATTAAATATTTATTTATATTTATACTGTATAATACCAATAATTTATTAGTGTATGACTAATACTTGTATATAAATATTTATATATATATTTTTAAAAATCAGTTTTTTAAATTAAATTATATTTATATAAGCCATCTGTCAGTGTGTGTGTGTGTGTGTGTGTGTGTGTGTGTGTGTGTGTGTGTGTGTGTCATATATTTATAAGACATTAGTATATATAAAAAACCTAAAATAAATATTTCACTGAATCCTTAAAATAAATAGAAACAAACAAAAAAAATATTCAAATCATCCGATTCTTGAGTTTTGAGATCCAGAAAAATAAAATTAATTATTTAAAAAATAAAATAAAACGAAAACAAAACGAGAGTAACAAAAATGCAAAAATTAATGATTCATACATTTATCATAAAATATAATATTAATTTTAAAAACTTTTTTTGTTTGTTTGTTTGTTTTATTGATAACAAAAGTTTTTTTATTAATCATATTTTTTTCAATCAATTGACTTTTTCTTCTGGTAACTTACATACCAATTGGTATTATTATTATTATTATTATTATTAATAATTTGATAGTATTGGTACTCAAGATATTATATAACAACCATATCTCTCTCTCTATATTACATAATAGAGTAAAAATAACTTTATTAATATATATATAAATATATTTCAAAAAATTAATGAAACCCAATAAGTTTATATATATATTGATTACCATCATATGATTCATATTTTACGTATATATACCGTATGTATTATGTAATACTAAAGTAATAATAGTTTAAATTGAAATATACAGTAATTTGGGCGCAGAGAAAAAAACCAAAATTAAATTTGCAAATTTTATTTTATATAATATTCTAATAATAATTATATTTTATATTAAATTTTATATATAAATTTATATATATATATATCATATGTATTAATAAATTATAATGAATATGGTTTCGCTGGAAAAATGATTAATTATATGTAATATACAGTATATATATAGTATAATAAGTGTATATATAAATAGCATTCAATATGCAACTAAATGTAGATTTCATGTAAACCATAAATTTCATATTCAAATTATGACCAAAAAAAATAATAATATTTAATATGAAATGATGTATAGTAACTGAAAAAAACAAATAAAAAATAAATTTAATATATATTTTTTGCTGTAATTTACTTGTACTGTCACTATATATATAGTATAGTATATTATATACATAACTTATACGGTAACCGATAATAGATATTAAGTTATAATTTATACGACAATATTATTATTATTATTATATGAATATCAAACTAAGTATTTATATATTGATTTTTTTGTTGCTTATATGATTTGTTTACACGACTATCCCATTAATACTAATAATAATAATAAATGATAAATAAATTAATAGTTAATTAATAGTCTATTTATAAATAATAGAAGAATAGGTCCCACATATTATTATCGGTACAAAACAATTAATATTATTATTTATTTTTATATATATATATGTATTTTTAAAAAAAACCTATAGCAACATTTGTTAGTTTAATTATTTGTATTTTAATATAATATATATATTTTATAATAATTTATTTTTAACAAAAAAAATATATATATATATATCGTTAATATACTAGTTAGTACAAAGTAATTATAACTACTACTACTAATGATAATAATAATAATAATAATAATAATAATAATAATAATAATAATAATAATAATAATAATAATAATAATAATAATAATAATAATAATAATAATAATAATAATAATAATAATAATAATAATATACTGTACTTATAAATTATAATTACTAATAATACTATACAGTATATTATAATTTATAGATTATAATATATTGTAGTATTTTTAATATTATTTCAACAAAAATTTTTTTTACTAGTATTTAATATATCAGTAATTTTTTATTATTATAAATTTATAGATCGTATGACTCAAAAAAAATACTAATAATAATTAAATAAAATATATACGAAATAAAATTTCCAACTAAACTCAATTTAATAATGCATTAGTTAATGTATAAATTTTTTTGTTGTTGTTTCTCATACCGGTACCTTTAAACTAAAAAAACTACCTGTGCTGTGATAAAACTTTTTATATGTATAAAAATTAATTATCTAACAGTATCTACACATGTATGTGTGTGTACATAAATAATTTAAATTTTTTTTCAAGTTCAATTTACATATATTTTTTAATAATATACATGTATAGAAAATCTATTTATATATATATTAAATACATAAAATATTACTTAAAATTTATGATTTTTTTTTGTTGAAACATACATTAAAATTTATTAAATTAAATTAAACCCAAAAATTTCCATTGAAAATTAATTTACTGAAATTTTATTTTTTTGTTTTTTTTGAATTGAAAAATTTATTTTATTAATTTAATTATGTTATGACTATGAAAAATACTACATTTTGAACACTAAAAAACATTTATCAAAAAAAAACCTCACAATCTAATTATAGACATTTTCAAATATGGTAATCAATAAATTGTTTATATAGCTAACAAATATACGGTAATATATATATATATATTTTTGAGACACTTATTATTAATATATAAGATTTAATTATATATATATATATATAAAATAATTGTGAATTATCTCAACACAAAAAATTTTTTTTAAACACTTTTTTACTTTTAGTAAAACAATTTATAAATCTAGTTTTATAATTATAATAATAACGATAATTACGGTAATAATAATAATAATAATATGTATGCACTAATATACTGTAGTAAATTATATACAGTATATATATATATATATATATATAATATATAGAAAATATAAATGAAATCAATTAATAATTAATTAATTATATAATGTTATTTAGAAAATATTCATCCAATTTAACAATCAATTGAATTGATTGATTGATCCAATTGATACAATAGATATTATATACGGTAATGGTATTTTGACACAAAAAAAATAATAATAATAATAATAAACAGACAAAAAAACCCGTTGTTCTCGAGTAGGGTAGTATCGGTTGTCGGGTGTTGTCCACCTACTCAACGTCATCCTCGGCCAGTGTTTCGCTTATGGTTACCGCTTCCGATGTCGACATTGATTTCGAGATTCGCTAAATTGTTTTGATTTTTAGGGATCAAATCAAAAATGAATTAATTATTATTATTATCTGTATATCTATTACTGTATTATAATCATTGATATACCTGCGAAACAATCGGCAATCTCTGGAGCAACATATGAAACACTTGTGTGGGTAGTGTCTGCTGAAGTACTTGAAGCAATTGCTGGGGTTGACCGCAAACAGCTACAGCATTGGTCAGATGCTCGATACCGGCCTCGACATCACCTAAAATAAATAAATCAAAAAACAATTGTTATCAATCGGTTATTATTATCAATTGTTGGACATATCAATTACCGCCGGCCAATAGTTCTTCGCCCAACTGGACCTCTTTGATGAAAAACTTTTGAACAGCTTCGTAGTCGCGAAGATCTGGCAAATCCATGGACGAGCCGTCAAATGAGTCGCCCTTTTTGGCCGATTTTGATCTCTCTGTTTTTTGGATGGATCAGTTAAGAAGAAGATAGAGATATATGAGATAATAAAAATTGATAGACAAACGCATGGATCAGATCTCTTATATATATAGTCTGTCTTAAGAGAGAGAGAGAGAGAGACAGACAGAGAGAGACAGAGAGAGAGACAGACAGAGAGAGACAGACAGACAGAGAGACAGACAGAGAGAGACAGAAAGACAGAGACAGACAGAGAGAGACAGAGAGAGAGACAGAGAGAGAGAGAGACAGAAAGACAGAGACAAACAGAGAGAGAGAGACAGAGAGAGAGAGACAGAGAGAGAGAGAGACAGAAAGACAGAGAGAGAGAGACAGAGAGAGAGAGAGAGAGAGAGAGAGACAGAAAGACAGAGACAGACAGAGAGAGAGAGAGAGAGAGAGAGACAGAGAGAGAGAGACAGAAAGACAGAGACAAACAGAGAGAGAGAGACAGAGAGAGAGAGACAGAGAGAGAGAGAGACAGAAAGACAGAGAGAGAGAGACAGAGAGAGAGAGAGACAGAGAGAGAGAGACAGAAAGACAGAGACAGACAGAGAGAGAGACAGAGAGAGAGAGACAGAGAGAGAGAGACAGAAAGACAGAGACAGACAGAGAGAGAGAGAGAGACAGAGAGACAGAGAGACAGACAGAGAGGATTAGACGAAAACATACTTTCTCTTAGTTTCTGTTTGAATAGCGGATCGTTTCGGCGCTTTCGGTCAAAATAGACACAATAGGCCACAAAGCCGACCAGTCCGGCGGTCACACCAATAGTTGTCTTGGATATCATTATTGGTTAGCGATGTTTGGCGACGGCGGCGACAGTGATAATCAAATGGTATATCTTCGGCCCTCTCAACACAAAAAAACACCCGAAATGGTTGGTCGCGGTTATCTAATAAACAAAAAATTAATAAAATATATTATACGAGTAAATCAACAAAAAATAATTAATTAATTAAATTGTTTTACGTTTTGAATTGTTTTGTTTGTTTGTCTAAAAAAATTAATTAATTAATTAATTAAAAAATTATTATCAATTCAATTGAATTATTATTGATAATTGAATCCAAATGTTAATTAATAAACCGGAAAAAAATTATTTATTTTTAGGGATTCAATGCTTGAAAATATTTTTTTAATCTAAAAATATAAAATGTTTACATATTTTTTTTAATTACTGTATTATAATCAGGGTTTTAAGGAAATAAATGCCTGCCCTGGCAATGCCCAAATAGATGCCATAAATGCCTGGCATTTTGGGCATCTATTTTATTTGTCTGCCAAATTAAATTGCTAAAAAGCAACTGTATTTATAAAAAATAATGTAATTTACTGTTTTTAGCTTGTTAATTAAATTTTCAATTAATATAATTAATTCCAATGATATTACCTTTTAAGTAAAGATATACAAAACAAAAATACAAACAAATATCGATAAAACAATGTTTTATAGATAAAATAATAATATATAATTAAAATAATAGGTGTCACCACCTGAAAATAGATGTCCAGGGCATGGCAGAGGCAGGGCAGGCATTTGGCAAAATTGGCATCTATTGTTAATGCCTGCCATTTTTAAAACCCTGATTATAATACATATATATCTATTCAAATAGTTTGTAATAATTTTTATTTATTTTTTTTGGGGTAACATTGTTTGTGAATGAATTTTTTAAAAACTTGTTCCCATGTATAGTTTAGTAGAGGTGTGTGCGTGTGTGTGCAGTGCACTACTATAACTATTGTTTACTACTAGAGATGTGTGCCGCCCCACACATTAAAATTGTTTATTATTATTATTATTATTATATATTAGTAATAAATATACAGTAAAATTGTTTTCTATTTATTTTTTAGACTCTAAAGCGTAACGTTTACTACAGTATAACAGTGTGTATGTGTGTGTGAGTACAGTATAAACCATATACACTGTATATTACTGTATATAATACAGTGTATAATATCAATAATAATATTATTATTTATTAATAATAATAATAATAATAATAGAAAACATGATTTTATATTTACTGTAATAATAATAATAATCATAATAATTGTGTTTTTAATTATTAGGCAAACAATTGATTGGTAAGTGTTTTGTTGTTTGTATTTGTGTCCCCAAAAAAAAAATAAAATAAATTAAATTAAACTTAATTTTTATAATAATTTTTTTTTCGGTGTTTACGTTATGTATATAAAACCTTATCTCTATATTACTCATACTATTACTCACTCACCCACTCATTGATTTCCTCACTCACTCACTCACTCACTCACCCACTCATTGATTTCATTCATAAATTTATTGTTTTTAATATCAATTATACTATTAATTAATTATTAATTATATAATGATTTGAATTTTAAATATTTTTTTTATTAGTTATACAGTATATGATAGTTATATAACTATTAGTGTGAAGAAACTGATCCAACAATTTGTTTGTTTGTCTTTTGATTTTATTTTATGTCCACAACAACAACAACAACAACGACCTGCAGGTTGTCGTTCAAACAAACAAACGAATGGATCGATTGCGCCGAAGTCTTCGGGACAGCTTTCGCCGTAAACCACCTAAAGATCATATACCCGAAAGTAGTAAACCTCATCAGTGGCAGTCGGATGAAGCGGGTGTCAAACTGGGCACTTGTGTCTTCCCAGTCAAATATTTGGGATGTGTTGAAGTGTTTGAGTCAAGAGGTATGCAAGTATGCGAAGAAGCACTCAAAGTATTGCGAGTAAGTCCTATCGCTATCCTATCCTCCGAAACACCAAACACTTAACACGACTATCATCTTAAGTGACCACTACTTAAGAGATATTCATTATCATCAATTGATCTCATATTATATATGTCTGTGTTTAACCATTTTTTAACAGAGCTCTAGACGGCGACCAACTAAAGGCACACTATTTGTTACCGGCGATGGTCTTCGAGTGGTCGACGACGAGACAAAAGTTAGTGTCAAAAAAATGTGTTGTATTTTATCAATCAATTGATACAAATATATATATATATTTAAATTTTTAGGGTCTAATTGTCGACCAAACTATCGAAAAAGTATCGTTTTGTGCGCCCGATAGGGGTCACGAACGTGGCTTCTCATACATCTGTCGCGACGGTACTACCAGACGCTGGATGTGTCACGGATTTAATGCCAACAAAGATTCCGGTGAACGCCTATCCCATGCGGTTGGCTGTGCTTTTGCTGTCTGTTTGGAGCGCAAACAAAAACGCGACAAAGAAACAGTTTCGATGAACTTTGACCCGAAGACGTCAACGTTTACCCGAAACGGTTCATTCAGACAGTCGACACTGACCGAGCGTATGCAAGACCCGCAGGTGGCCAAAGCCATCGGTGAGTTTCCCGCATTTCCAACCCCATTGTTTGGGTGACTCTAATACATATATGTCTTGTCTATCCTCATCAAACATACATACATACAGAGCCGCCACCCGTCAAACAACCCGTGCACAACCCGTTTGCCGTCGAGCGGCCGCACGCCGCCCCAAACCTACTACAACGACAAGGCTCTCTACGGGGCGGTCCACTCGACACTGCCTCGCCATTCAAAAGGCAACTATCGCTTCGGGTTAATGACTTGCCATCTAATCAGGAGCGCCAAAGAGCACATTCCGTTGACTTTACCACTACTTCCAGAAGCAGCAACCGTTCCAATGGTAAATGTTTATAAGCCATCAATTTGCTAACTTTTAACCGGTAATTAATTAATTGTATTACTGTATTTGTCTGTCCGTCCAGTGATGCCAATTCCCGAAAGTTCTCCCGCCGAACCTACCGATTCCATTAGCGCCATGTGTCAAGAATTATCCAAAGGATTGACTATTTTAAGCAATAACGACGACCCGTTTTTGTCGCCACCAATACTATCGCCAACTCCCGTAATGATGACGACAGCAGCTAACAATACCGGTAAATAATTAATTAATTACCCGTCAATTTGATAATAATAATAATTTTGATACCATTACCGGGTAATTATATATAGAGGATAAATGGAGTCCATTGAAGCAATTGGCTAACAATACATTTGCCGAAAAATGGATTACCGATAGTTCGACAGCTCCCACCAACGATTCACGTGTACCCATAAATAATAGGTCGACAACTCCAAGCCCTTCCACAATACAAGTTCGACCGTCAGCTACACCACTAGCTCAGCCCAAAGTAGTGGCAGCTCCCAGACATAACACTCCTAATCTATCGCAACTGAGAAGCCTGTCGTTGGGCTCATCGGACGCTTACAACGATACCATAAAATCTTCGGCGGCGGCGTCGTCGGCAGCAGCTTCTTCATCATCATCATCGTCGACGACGACGCCGACGCCTTGGAATAGCAGCCAAATGACAGCTATTTGGCGTCAAAACGGCGGAACAGCAACAACAACAACGACGACAGCATATCAAAACAATTCATTGCGCAACTCCTCATTATCAACAACGACAACAACAACTTCAGCATCGGATCCGTTTGACGCCGAATGGGCAGCACTTGCCACTAGACATCAAGAGTCACCCACAGCGATGATGATGGCGGCGGCAACACATCAAAAGAGTACGAATCCATTTACACAGACAGGAGGTGTTGTTGTTAAAGCATTTGAAGTGCAAATGTGAATAATATAATGTTTTCTTGAATTTTATTATTATTTTTATAGACGAAACAAATTAAATTAATAGTTAATTATTATTAATATTATTATCATATACTCTAATAATTATACCGTACATTACATAATATTATTAACTTAGGGATAGGTGTGAGTGAAAGTTTAGGACCTATCTATCGTATCTATTTATTGTCGATATCAATGAATTTTTTATTATAAATAATAACTGTTTTATTTGTTGAGAAATATCATCATTAAATTTATAATCATTAAGTTATTAAGTATATTAGTAAAAAAAATTTTTATAATACTGATTGATAAGGATTGAAATTTTTTTGTTTGTTTTTCTTTTATATATATATAAAATACTGAAACTGAAAAATAATTGTTAGTTTTTTTTTAATAATGTAATGAAACTGTCTTACCAGTAGTTTATTATTAGTATTAGTATATTAGAAAAAAAAGTGATAAATACGACAAACATATTCCCTCAAAAAAAAAACTTAAAACTGTTTAAAAATAATTGCTGCTTATAATTGATATTATTATTATAAACAAAATCTATTGATACACACAAATTGATACTAGAAATTATTTGACACTAAAAATAACTAAAAATTACATTTCAATTATATATATAGGTATATATATGAATAAACCATGATATTATTGAATTATAATAACACAAATATATATATATTTATACTAATGTTTTTTTTAATTAGTATAAATATGTAACTGTTATTATAATTTAATTATATTTGATTTATATATATATATATATATAATTTAATGTAATAATTCTAGTTTGTGTCAATTGATTTTGTTTTTTATATAAAATGAGAGCTACTGTATAAATATATATATATAGATTTTTTTGTTACGTTTTTTTATAATTGAAAAATAATATGATAATTAACAACAACAAATAACATATTGCATACCTATATTGTATTGTTTATAAATATATAGAAATTTATAGATATATATATATATATATATTTATTTAATTTTAACATGATCATTCCATAATTTTTTTTTTAAAAACTAAAAAATAATAATATAAATAGTTTTATTATTAAATCTAATTATTAGCTACCGATGATTATATATATAAATAAATGATCAAAAATTATTATTATTAATAATAATAATAACGTTAACTATTTAATATATTAATTAATAAAAAAAAATTTATAATATTATATAATATATTTATTATATGAGTTTATTATTATTATTATTTAAAAGCTAATTGTAATTTTTTGTTTGTTTAAAAAAACTCAATTTATATATTTTTAATTAATGTAAAATAAGTTTTTTTAATGAGAAAAAAAGATAATATATTTTTTAATTTAAAGGCAAGGTTTTTTTTTATTTAAAAATAAATAAATAAATGATTAAAATTTAACATTTAACATTTTATTTCATAATTTTCAATCTTTTATTTTAATAAATTGTATTTATTTTTAGTACTTTCCTGTATTTCCTTAAAAAAACTATAATAATATAATTAGTAAATATCTGATAGAAAATTATATTTTTTAAAAAAATTATAATTAATGTTTGCAGGGATTTCATTGAATAAATATTATTATTATTATTATTATTATTATTATTATTATTATTATTATTATTACTAATAATTGTAACGAATTTATTAACTTATTATAATTAAAAAACAAATAAAATAAACAAAAAAAAACAAATTTATTACTAAAAATTTTTGTATAATAATAATTAGCACAGAATTTTCATCAACAAAATTAAGAAAAAAATAAATAAATTTCTTTGTATATCTCATTAATAATATAATTTAATTGTTATGAATTAAATAATTAATTTAAAAAAATATATGTTATGTTATTATAAAATTAAATAAAATAAAAAAATTTAAATGATAAATTTGAACAATTTTTGACTAATTTAAAATTTCAATATTATTATTAAGTTATATTTTAGTTTATTTTTTAAAATAGTTGTGTGTATGTGTATGTGTGTGTGTGTGTGTGTGTGTGTGTGTGTGTGTATGTGTGTGTATGTGTGTGTGTATGTGTATGTGTATGTGTGTGTGTGTGTGTGTGTGTATGTGTGTGTGTGTGTGTCAAATGTTTTAACATCTATTTTATTGAATTAAAAGCTTTACTACTGTATTATTATAATAATAAAAAACATTGTATTTATTTAGAGGAGATATACAGTGTATTAGTAGAGATAGAAAGCCACACAAAAAAGTGCATTTGATTTACATTTTGTATTATTATTACTACTACTGTATTAAACTTTATTTGCATTAAGTATTTACACAAAAAAACAAATAAATGTTTTCAATAGTTTATATATATATATATATATATATATATATATATATATATATATATATATATACTGTAGTATTATTGTATTATGATTTTTATAGCAACTTTTTGTTGTTAAGTTTGAACATACAATAAAATACATGATTTTTGTTGTTGTTGTTATTTATAAAGGATTTTTGTTATATCTTTTTTTTAAAAAAAATAATAAAAATAAAAACTTAAAAAATAAGAAAATACTTTATATTTTTAGTGTAAAAAGATAATACACATAAAAATACTGTATATTTAAATACTAAACTAATCTCTCTCTCTCTCTCTCTCTCTCTCTCTCTTATGTTTTTTAGTAATAATGTTGTTTAAAGTTTTTGTGTGTATTTATATTTTCTAATATTTAAAGTATATATTGAAAAAAAAACGAAAATCTAGTTTTTCGTTGAAAAATATATAATATATATATACATAAAAAAAAGTTGTTGTCCTCCAAACAAAACACTGGTGTGTAATGGTATGTATGTATGTATGTGTAGTAATGATAAACTAAAACTAACTAAAACTTCAACAAAAAAAACTTATATAAATGTTGTTTAACTGGCACTGGTATTACTACTTGATGGGTGCCCACACCACTCTGGTATTAGAGAGAGAGATAGAGAGAGAGAGAGAGAGAGAGAGAGAGAGAGAGAGAGAGAGAGAGAGAGAGAGAGAGTCACGCCTATTATATATGTTTTATTTCAGAGATGCCTTTCCCGATCTGATGCCTCTCAGAGCTCTCAGAGGAGTTGGTAGTGATTGACTGACTGACTGACTGTTGAGGGAAACCATTAAATAAATATATTGAATATATATATATAAAAAGTTTGACGTTTTATTTTAATTAAAAAAAATTAATAAATAATAATCGCAATAATATTGTTATATATATGTATATTTGAATTTAAGAGATTATTAATAAAATAATATATATAATTATTGAAATTAGTTTTTATTTTAATATAATTGAAAACTAAGATACTCAACAACATAGCAACTAACTTATTATTATTATTATTTTTTTGTAATTAAATTATTATTTTGTGTTATATCATATACTATTAGATCTGAAATATTTATCTATTCTATGGTTATAATGTGATTAATAATAATAATAATAATTGTTTAGTAGTAATAATAATAATAATAATACTTTTTATGTATTATCACACAGTATTTATAATATTAAAAAAAAAGTGATTGCATAATAACGCATAGTCTAACTCACTTACTCTCTCTCTCTCTCTCTCTCTCTCTCTCTCTCTCTCTTTCTACTAATACACCTGTGCTATTGTATTGTATGTGTTGAGGCGTTTATTTTTTGTACTTTTATTTTTTAAAAAAAACTATCGGTGCTTATATGTGTATGTGCGTGTATACCAACCAGTACAGTACTGATTAGTTTTATCATTGGCATCAATTTATATATATATACCAACAGTAATGGTTTTCAAATATGTGTGTGTATTTCAATGAGTATATGCAAACAACAAACAAACAAAAAATTAATAAATCTCAGTGTCTAATATTTATATATATACGGTATAGCTATTTAAGCCAAAAATTATTATTATTATTAAAACTAATTTTTTCAATAATAAAAATAGCTGAACATTAATAAATATCAGACATTACTAATAGTATTAGTATTATTATTATTATTAAGTTTGTCTATGTTTTTGTGTGACCAATATATTTGTGTGGGATTTTATCATAAAGTTTTTTTTGAAAAATTTATTTTACCTGTATATATGTGTGTGTATTTAAAATATTTAAAAACGACTCATCATTTTTGAGACACTATGTTTGACACAATTTTTTAATACATATATACTATATATTTGCTAAGTATTAATGATATGCCTGTTTGTCTGTCTGTATATGAGTTTGAATATCAATTTTGAATATCAATTTTTGTTATAAAGTTTTAATCGTTATAAAAGTGAATAATAATAGTAATAATAATAAAAAGCAATTGGTTTTTAATATATATATATCCGGAATAATAAAACTACCTATAAGTCTATGTCATATAATATATATATATATATATATATTAAATGAGATTTTAAATTATTTTTGTGTGTGTCGTGTATAACAACGATCTTAAAAACTTTTTTTTATAAAATTTTATTTTTTGAATCTAAACTTTTGATTCTAAAGTGTAGTATAATAATAATAAACTGAAATAAAAAAACAAAAATATTTATATACATATATAAATATTTATTGCTAAAAATAAATTTATATATATATATATATATATATTCAATATAATTTAATTTTATATATATATATGTGTGTGTGTGTGTTTTGAATTTTGATTAATATTGATATATATATATATATATATTGAAAAATATTTATGTGTTAACATTTGATAAACATTGAAAAACTAAATATATATATTTTTTTCAACGATAAATTAATTAGTATTTTATATAATAATAATAATAAAACAAAGCGAAACTCATTATACAGTAAAAAGTTATTATTATATTTTTAAATACATAAATACAGTGAGAGTTAAAGTGAAATAATTTTAAATAAATAAAAAAGTGTGACATATATTGAAGGTCTCTCCCAATGAATATGAATCCATAGTTTGTAACCAAATATTTCATATATTTGGTAGTTATTTATATTAATTATTATATTTAATTTGTTAAACTATTAAAATGTTTATTATTATATAAGAGACTTTAATAATAATACTATAATATATATATATATATATGTTTAAAATTATTTTTAATTTGATAATAATTTTAACCGACAAATAACTAAAATAATGGGTAATAAACATCCGACTCATCTAACACTTAATAATAGCCATAATAATAATAATAATAATATCATACAAAATGATAATTCATTAATAAATGAGTCTCAAAACCAAACCAATAATGATTTGAGATCTAATAATAATAATAATAATAATCGCAATCATAATAGTAGTAAAAGAATTGGTAAGAATATATATATACAGTATATATATATATATATTATATCATATATTTTTGTGTCCAAAAAAATAGTAATATTATTAATAATAAAAAACTTTTTTATTTAAATAATTTATTTATTATTTATATAAAAAAATATAAAACAAACAATTTTTCCGGTGTTTAAGTACTTTCTCTTTAATCACTCACTCACTCACTCACTCACTCACTCACTAACTTCACTCATAAATAAAATTTATATCAATTATATTAATTAAAAAAATGTGTTTATTTTGCTGTAGTTGTTGTTGTTGTTGTCGACAATAATTTATTTATAAGTATCTCTTTTAATAATATTAATAATAATAAATTATATTATATTTTCCTATTTGTTTAGACAACGAAACCCTTGTTGTTTAAAATTTTAAATTCAAGTGCTCTCTCTCTCTCTTTCTTTCTCTCTCTCTCTCTCTCTCTCTCTCTCTCTCTCTCTCTCTCTTACTCTCTCTCTCTTATTCTCTCTCTCTTTCTTTCTCTTTCTTTCTCTCTCTCTCTCTCTCTCTCTCTCTCTCTCTCTCTCTCTCTCTCTCTCTCTCTCTCTCTCTCTCTCTCTCTCTCTCTCTCTCTCTCTCTCTCTCTCTCTCTCTCTCTAACTATCAATATTTAGGTCATTCAAGTATTTTATTATTTTTTTTTATTTGAAAGTATTATTTAGTTTTTCAACTTTTTCTTCTTCGTGTTTCTTCTTCTTGTTTTTTTTCATTAACTGTTCCCAAACTAAATGCATTTGCATTTAGTTTTATTAATATATATATATATATATATATAATGTATTTGTTGTTATAGTACCTTAAAAAACGAGATATTTTACAGTATAATTATAAATAGGTTTTTTTTTATTAAATTTAACGTATTTTAAATGGTGTTTAAAAACCAAAACCAAAAAAAACTTAGTTTTCATTTTCATGTCTTATTTTTATTCTTCTTCTTCTTCTTCGTCTACCAAACAAAATATTTTTTAGGTAAACGAATGGATCGATTGCGCAAAAGTCTTAGAGGAAGTTTTCGACGAAAATCTAATAAACATCAATTGGATCAACACATCACCGAAAGTAGTAAACCTCATCAGTGGCAGTCGGATGAAGCGGGTGTCAAACTGGGCACTTGTGTCTTCCCAGTCAAATACCTGGGATGTGTTGAAGTGTTTGAGTCAAGAGGTATGCAAGTATGCGAAGAAGCACTCAAAGTATTACGAGTAAGTCCTATCGTTATCTCCACAAACACCACACTTAAGTGACTATACCTCTTAAGTGACACCACTTAAGAGATATTCATTATCATCAATTGATCTCATATTATATATGTCTGTGTTTAACCATTTAAACAGAGCTCTAGACGGCGACCAACTAAAGGCACACTATTTGTTACCGGCGATGGTCTGCGAGTGGTCGACGACGAGACAAAAGTTAGTGTCAAAAAAATGTGTTGTATTTTATCAATCAATTGATACAAATACAGTATATATATTTAAAATTTTAGGGTCTAATTGTCGACCAAACTATCGAAAAAGTATCGTTTTGTGCGCCCGACCGGACCAACGAACGCGGCTTCTCATACATCTGTCGCGACGGTACTACCAGACGCTGGATGTGTCACGGATTTAATGCCGGCAAAGATTCCGGTGAACGCCTATCCCATGCGGTTGGCTGTGCTTTTGCTGTCTGTTTGGAGCGCAAACAAAAACGAGACAAAGAAACAGTTTCTATGAACTTTGACCCCAAGACATCGACATTTACCCGAAACGGTTCGTTCAGACAGTCAACTCTGACCGAACGTATGCAAGACCCGCAACTGGCCAAAGCAATCGGTAAGTTTTTACTTAGCATTTCCATCACCCCATTGTTGGGGTTATGTATGACATGTCCGGTCTCCTACAGAGCGGCCACCCATCAAACAACCCGTGCACAACCCGTTTGCCGTCGAGCGGCCGCACGCCGCCCCCAACCTATTGCAACGACAAGGCTCTCTACGGGGCGGTCCACTCAACACTGCCTCGCCATTCAAAAGGCAGCTATCGTTGCGCATCAGTGACTTACCATCTAATCAGGAGCGCCAACGATCACATTCCGCTGACTTTGCCACTACTTCCAGCAGCAGCAGCAGCAGCCGATCCAATGGTACTGCAAAAAAATGTTTAGCAACCAATAGCTGACCATTTTATTTTTTGTTAATATATCTTTCTGTCTGTCTGTCCCCAGTGATGACAATACCCGAAACCTCACCCGTCGACGAACCTACCGATTCCATTAGCGCCATGTGTCAAGAATTGTCCAAAGGATTGACCATTTTAAGCAATAACGACGACCCGTTTGTGTCGCCGCCGATACTGTCGCCAACTCCCGTGGCAATGATGACAACGACAGCTAACAATACCGGTATAGCTATACTTAATTACCCGTAAAATTATTAGCTATTTGTTAAATTGATTTTTATTTTGTTACCGTAATTAGAGGATAAATGGAGTCCATTGAAACAATTGGCAAACAATAATACATTTGCCGAAAAATGGATTACCGATAGTTCGACAGTTCCGACCAACGATTCCGTTGCTGTTGCTGTACCGATAAATAGGTCGACCACTCCAAGCCCTCCGACAACTACACCACTAGCTCAGCCCAAAGTAGTGGCAGCTCCCAGACATAACAGTCCCAATCTGACGCAACTGAGAAGCCTGTCGTTGGGCTCGTCCGATGCATTCAGCGATACCACCACAAAATCGTCGGCATCGTCATCGTCATCATCATCATCATCATCGCCGACGACGACGACAACGATGACCTGGAATAGCAGCCAAATGATGGCCAGTTGGCGCCAAAACGGCGTAACATCAACAGCGACGGCGAAAACGACTACTTTAAGGTCGGATCCGTTTGACGCCGAATGGGCAGCACTGGCCACTAGACATCAGGACGAGTCGCCGACGATGATGATGGCGGCGGCGGCGGCGGCCACACATCTTAAGAGTACGAATCCATTTATACAGACAACTGGAGGTGTTGTTGTTAAAGCATTTGAAGTGCAAATGTGATGAATATTTTTTTAGATAAATACTTGAATTAAATTAAATTAATAGTTATTATAATTAAATATTATTAGTAGTAGTATTAGTATTAGTATTATATTATAATTTTATAGACTCTATAAAATACATTGCATATTAAATATCAGGGATAGATAGATAGATAGATAAATAGATAGATAGATAGATAGATAGAGAGAGAGAGAGAGAGAGAGAGAGAGAGAGAGAGAGAGAGAGAGAGAGAGAGAGAGAGAGAGAGAGAGAGAGAGAGAGAGAGAGAGAGAGAGAGAGAGAGAGAGAGGTTAGGCCTATCTATCTATTGATGAACAATGAATTCATAATAACTTTTTTTTTATCAATTCATCAAATTTTTTAATAATTAAATTATTATTGATATTATAATTGAAACAACAAAAAAAAAGGTTTGAATTATTATTTTTTTTTATTAACACAAACAAACAAACAAACAAATGGTTAGTTTTATTAAATCATTATTGTCTTACAAGTAGTTTATTATTATTAGATATAAATATGTGATAAATACATGTTATCGTAATTATTAATGTTTTCTAAAACTGTTTGAATATTTGATACTTATATTTGACACATACTGTATATAGATTTTTTTTTGTTAAGTTTTTTTTTGTATTAAAATAATTGAAAAAACATATATAATATACCTATTATATATATATATAAAAAAATCTATTTTAATTTTAACATGATCATTCCATTGATTTTTTAAATAATAATAATAATAATATAATTAATGTTTTAAATTGAATTTTTAAAAATAACAATATTATCAAAATTATTATTTAATATTTAATTAGTATCACCTTTATATAAGTCTATATATATGTTATATTATTATTAATTATTATTTAAAAGCTAATTGTATTTTTTTAAATCAATTTATATTTAAAAAAAATTTTTTTTTGTAAAATATGTTTATTTTATTTTATGATAAAATGATAATATACTGTATTTTTGTAATTTATAGGTAAGGTTTATTATTTTTTTTATAGAAAAAAAACTGATAATAAATTTTAACATTTCATTTCATAAATTTATTGTGTGTGTGTGTTAGTAGACTATGTAATGATTTTTCAGTAATTTATTTTCAAAATGATTTTTCAATTTATTTTTATTACTTTCCTTATTGGTATTATATATTTGTATTGTATTTCCTTCAATCAAATATATTATATTAAGTGAATATTATTTTTTTTTATTTTATAAATAAATATTTTTCAGGGATTTCAATGTTATATAATGGTATATAATAATAGTAGTAATAATTAAGTAAAAAATTAGTAATTATTATTATTATTGCTACTAATATTTCTAACAAATTTAACAACAACAAAAACAATTTAAATATTATTAAAGTTTTTTTTGTTTTGTTTAAATAACATTTAGTTTATTAATATATTAATCTTAATAAATAGTTGGTTAAAAATTTTTTAAAAAATAATTATTAAAAGATTAACTAAATTATTTAAGACTAATTTATAATAATTTTTAAAATATAATTTATCGCAATATATATATATATATATACTGTATATATATGAATGTCATAACCCTTTCATTTACAATAAGTTTGTCGCCGACAGTGTCTTTCAAAAAAACAACAAAAAAAGTTTTGTATTGTCTGTATCCCTATATTTACTGTATTTATAACTATAATATATGTATACAATATGTGTTATATAATGTCTTTTTTGTAAATTTTGTTTTTTTTTCTCTCTCTCTCTCACAAATTGTTGTCTTATGTGTTGTCGTTGTCTTATATATACAGTATATATATATATATATATATATATATATATATATATATAATACAGTGTATAATATATATATATATATATATATATATATATATATATATATATGAGTTCATCGACAGACACCTACCTACCTATAGCTGCTGCTGATGATTATAATAATAATTTTTTATTATTATTGATAATACCTGTGCCATGACTGTACCTACACCTGTGCTGGGATGTGTGTGTGTGTGTGTGTATGAGTCATCCCTAAGCATGAGAGTGACATAATGTAAATTTTATTTATTAGGTACTGGTCTTACAATGCAGTTGTCTGCAACTTACAAAATAATAATAATAATAATAATAATAATAATAATAATAATAATAATAATAATAATAATAAATAAATAAATTTTAATGACTATACTATAACTATTAAACTAAACAAAGTGTCCCATATTTTTTTTGTATACAATATTTGATTGATATATACAATATATATAGAAATTATTACTTTTTTTGAAAAATCTAATGAGTTGTTTGCCTGTATTTCTAATAATAATAATAATAATTATTATTATTATTTATAAATAATACTATTTTTTGTTATGTATTTATTATTCTGTATATTAGTATTTTAATAGATTGTTGCATAAGTATTATATACTGTATATTAGTAACTGTTTTGTTATTTTCTCATTTTTTTTAAATGAAATATTATGAATAATTTTTTTTCCAGTTTAATATTAATTACTTATAGCTCTATAATTATAATTAATGTCTATAAATATAACAATTAAATCCATTTAGTTTTAATTATGTATAGTACCGGGTATCAGTATGGTATATATATAAAATATTGATAATATAAACTATTAATTAACTATATTTTAATTTATTATATAAATATATATATATATATATAATCTACTGTACAGTACTGTATATAATGTATATAAAATTATTATATAAATATATAATATACAGTATTATTTAAAAAATAAGATATTTTAGTGATTAATATTTTTTAGCCAATTATTTCTCGGTAACAAAACAAAAACAAAATAAAAAAATAATAATTTTTAATGATTAGGTGTGGACTCAAATTTTATAAAATATATATAAATTTTTCTTTATTTTAATTTTTCAAAATAATAAAAAATTATTATTATCTAATTAGTAACTAAAGGTTAAGTTCATTGTAATTTAAAATATGACAAAACAGTATCTAAAAGTTATTAAATTGACAAACAATTAGTTAAATAAAAAAATGAAAACATATTTTTAATTTCCCAAAATGATAATTTTAAATTTATTTTTTATCACAATTATTATTATCAATATTTTTTTCTATTGACTATCGATATCCAGATATTTTAATTAATATTTTAAAAAAATAATAATTTTCCCATATTATAAATAAAAATTTATTTTTTAAAAATAATATCTATTAATTTTTATTAATATATTAATTAAAAAATAATTAGTTTTTCATAATAATAATAATTTTTTAAGAAAAAACTTAATTAAATAAACATTAATGATTGTAAACATGATTTTAAAATGTAAATAATTTATTAGCAAATATTATTATTGATATATTTAAAATAAATAAATAAATAAAATAAAAAGTTTTACGTTTGTTTTGTGTGTGTTTTTGTACAATAATTATATCACATGTTTTTTTTGATTACATACTATCTTATCGATCAGTAATAGGTATAAAACATTTTTATTTGTTATTTGAATACATAAAAATAATCTCAAAAATAAATAAATATGATATCCAAGTACAGTTATAAATTATATATATATATATATATCATATGTAGTATAAAAACAATAGCTTTTTTGAAAACAATTTTTAAATATAAAAAAAATATTTTTAATATAAATACTACTAATAACTGTATAATACTATATGCATAGTAATAATTAGATAATTTTTGTTAAATAAATTTTTTTTTGATTTAATTTTAATAAATATATATATAATGTTTGTGTCATCACTATTGACGCTTAGTTATTGCTGGCTATGTTGGCTGCATACCTGTGCCGCATACCTGCAAACACAACCGGAACAAATTCATTTATCCTATGGAGGTATGGATGTCCTATCATATTATTATTATGATATACCAAAAAAAAAAAAAAAAAATTTATCACATTTTATATGGTTATCCTCCTCATCGTCCCACCATCACATTATAGTTGGTCCGACACAGATGATAGTAACCTGGGTTACAATGGATCCGACGCCCGACTCGCAGTGCGAGTTCGGTCAACTGCCCACCCGATTAACATCGGTGGCCAAAGGCTACGCCAATCGGTTTGTCGACGGCGGCAGCGAACAGCGGGTCCTGTTTATTCATCGGGTAGTGTTGGACAATCTGGCGGCCGGTCAGATGTACTGTATGTGTCTGATTGTGTATTAAGTGTTTGTTTGTTTGTTTGTTAGCTAACTAACTGTCCTCCTATTTAGTCTATCATTGCGGCAGCGATACTGGCGGATGGAGTAGTGTCTACTGGTTTTCGGCAATGAAATCGGGTACCAATTGGAGTCCAAAGTTTGCCGTCATTGGCGACCTGGGCAATGTCAATGGCATATCGGTGCCATAGTTAGTGCCAACTATTGTTGTTTATTAATTGATAATTTAATTTTTATTTTAAATATGTTTTAATTAATTAATTATTTATTTCCAGTATTCAAAAAGCCATATCTAAAGGACAATACGATGCTGTACTGCACATAGGTTTGTATATTATATATTGTTTTTACAAAAAAAAGTAAAAGTTTTACTAATAATAATCAAAAATAAAATTAATCATATATTAAATATTTATATATATATAAATATTTAGGTGACTTTGCCTACGATATGGATTCTGTATGTAAATTCTGTATTAAATATATATACTGTATATAAACAGCATATATACTGTATATATATATATATAATTGTAAATTAAATTTAATTAAATAACTTTATTTTTGTGGACAATTACCCGATCAGGACAATGCCAGGGTTGGCGACGATTATATGAGACAAATGGAACCGGTAGCTGCGTAAGTATACTACCACTTGTTATCTACCTGTGCCCACCCCCCAACCAACCACCCACCCGCCCATCCTCCAAATAATAAATACTAATTAAATTTAATTATTCAATAAAAAAAACTTGTAGGTATGTGCCATACATGACGGTAGTTGGCAATCATGAGGCCGCATAGTTAGTAGAGATAATTGATTGATTGATTATGTTGGGGTTATCTTAAATATTTATGTTTTGTGTCTGGGGGTTAATTTTTTATTTTATTTAGCAATTTTTCCAACTATGAAAATCGGTTTACAATGATTGACCATCGGTCGGGCCAATTGAACAATCATTTCTATAGTTTCGATGTCGGACCCATACATTTCATAGGGTTTTCCTCAGAATATTACTATTATGTTGAGTACGGCTGGAATCAGATCAAAGTCCAGTACGAATGGCTGGAAAACGATCTGAAAGAGGCCACCAAACCCGAGAATCGGGCACTGAGACCATGGATTATAACTATGGCTCACCGGCCCATGTATTGTAGGTTAGTTAAGAGATTTTAACAGTTTTACTATTAATTAATAAAAAATTATTGCAAAACATTATTATATAATAATATATTATCAAAATTTTATAGTACCGATGATAGCGATGACTGTACACATAAGGAAAGTATTGTAAGTAATAACTATTAATTGCTAATTACTGGTTAACTATTTATTTTTGTTGTTGTTGTTGTTTATAACTAATAAAAAAGATACGAAAAGGTCTGCCAATAGTCAAAGAGTACGGTCTGGAGGATCTGTTCTACAACTATGGTGTCGACATCGAAATCTGGGCCCACGAACACATCTACGAGCGTATGTGGCCGGTCTACGACCGACACGTCTACAATGGTAGCCATGACCAGCCCTATACAAATCCGAAAGCACCCGTCCATTTCATATCAGGATCGGCCGTAAGTGTCTCACCCTATCATTACCCTACCCCGCCCCGCCACCCCCCGGTTGGTCATAATTTTAATACACTTTATAAACACACTAATAGGGCTGCCAGGAAGACATCGACCCGTTTGTCCCGAACCCGGCCCCGTGGAGTGCCGTACGTATACGTGACTACGGCTATACGGAAATGACTGTCTATAACAATACGCACATTGATTTCGTACAGATTTCAACCGATAAGGTATATAAATACAGTATATATACTGTATATTGTAATTGAAAAAAAATGATTTTAATATTATTACAACAATTTAATGTTAAATATTTGCATTGTGTGTGTATATATAGGGAGGCGCTGTTGTCGATAAATTTACGGTAATTAAGGAAATACACGGTCCGGAAGCCTGGCTATGATTAGTAGGAGGGGGGGTTGTGAACAGTCATTTATAAAAAAAAAATTTTCAAATTAAAACTATTATAATATTACTGTGAATAAAATATGTGTACAAATTATTTTAACATTACTAATAATTATCAATTGTTTAATTAACTAAATTTAATAATTAAATATTGATTAAAAAATATTTTTAAATAATTTTTTTTATTAAAATAGTAGTTAAATTAATTTTACACAAATTTTTTTGTTTGTAAATAAATTATCAAATTTTTATTGTCTATGATTGCAATTAGTTCCCAGTAATGGCTGATAACTATGTCGACCGATAAGTGTCCAGTGATTGATCCATTGATTACCTGAATAGTCATATAAATATAAAAACAAATTAATTAATCAATTAATACATAACTTATTAATAAACTTCAATATTAACGGTACGAATAGGTCTCAGATATAGTAATAATTACAACTCATATCAACAGTAATGCATCTGACAAGAGGTGTCAGCTCTTTAAGTGTGATATATCATCATTGGTTTGACCAAACAAACAGATCCCCCGGTAACTACCGGTTACTATAAATAATTAATAAAAATAATTCTCACCTCGAAATACATTTTATGCGGACGACGACTAACTACCAGTGCTCGGCCAGTAATGTCTGAAAATACATCCATAAAAATACTGCATTAAAATCCATGTCATAACAAACTATAAATTATTAAATATATGGTATAACAAAAACAATTGTATCGCTAATTTACGGCACAGTCCTATCAATGATTAGGTGATAAACTGCTTCCTATAGCGATATAATTACTATTGGTCTCATTAATCACTTTTTTTAAAAAAAAGTAATTTCTGGCACTAATCAAGTCATGGATGACTACAATTAGTGTGGCAATGGACCTGGATCATTAAGCCATATATATATATATATATATATATATATGTAGCACCCAACAAACTACATACCCCGTTAACTATCAATCCCAGTGTCCCAATCAATAGCAGTCAATGGACACTCCCAGTGCTTGTATTAATCTAAAAATACATCAATATATTCATAAGTTTTAAAAAATACAAAATTAATATAAAATGATTTAAATTATTTATTTTAAAAAATAATTTAGTGATAAATTAAATCAGATACTATCTAGCTCAAAATAAACTTAAATTGCTCATCATATAAGCAATCAGTTAGGTTAGGTCCTAAGTTTTATCCATCATTGACATCACTAAACTACTGGTGCGCTAACCCCACCAACAGTAATAACTGATAGACAACTCACCTCTCAAAATATCAACCACTTGACTATCCATGAACTACCAGTGATGATCAGTAATGGGTCTGAAAATATAACCAACAAATATATATTAAAATTATTGTCTTAATTCGTTTAGTCATCACTTGTATAAACCAGTAATAAGAGATCAGATATAATGCTAGCTCTATATAAGTACTCTTCATCTAAAAAAAACTATCCGAAGGTGTCCTAAATTGTCATCATTTCTCTCATATATACTATATATATATATAAACAAATTAATTGCTAAAACAATACTCACCAATAATGTTGAGGACGACTGATTGACTACCGGTGCGCTGTAAGTAATGTGTGTGAAAATATATAGCAATTAAATATCATTAAATATATTTAGTTAAATAAATATCTTAATATATAAATAAAATTCAATGATAAATGTGAATCAGATTTTGCTGGCAATGATTAAAGTAATCCTCATATAAGCAATCCGGAGGTGTCCTAAGTTTTGTCATCATTTCAATTATCATTTTATTTATTTATCACAAAAATCAATTGTTTTAAAAATACTAACCATTTTTACGTTGTTATCAAATTGATGGATACAATAGATTTGATAAAATCATTAATGAGGCGAAAAAAAACCTGAAAAACAATTCAAAACTTAATAAATACAATAATTAACTTTTCTAAAAAATAGCAATAAATAAACCAAACAAATATCAGATTTTTCAAATACATATCAATGAAATTAATTAATTTCTCAAAAGAGATGTCAGAAAAGTATAATTAGAAAAAATTATCATCACTTTTGGTGAACACATAAATATAATTACAAAATTAGCCGTAAATTTACCGATAAAACACCAATAGAAACCAACTACACGGACATCCATAACTGATACGACCGACCCATTATAGTGGGGGTTCCCCTCACCATTGCTCTGGTCAACTGTATGTACATAAATAAATAATTATAAAATTAAAAACAATTTAAAAAATAAATAACAAAATTTTTAATTTAATATTATATCAAATGTCAGTATATGTTGGTAATAAATGTCTTCAATTATAATTAAGACCCGAAAGATAATATCATCAATCATTTGATATAATTTATATTATAATTAACAAAAACTAACCCAAAAAAAAACAATCCGATAAAGCCATCCAAATGGGGGGGGGAAGTCAACCGTATGTACGCGTTGTAAACCATCCAATAGGGGCGGCACCTAACTATCTAACAATAATTTGAATCAATTAATATACAAATAAATATTTATTAAAAAAAAATTAATTAATTAATAATAAATCAGAGTTAATAACGAACGAGACATTTTAGGAAATCATCAATTTTTTTGTTAAAAAAATAAGGTCTCTAGCCATTGATCATCATATAAATAATTATAATTAATTACTTAAATATTATTTAATAAAAAACAAATAACTTACCATAAACACTATCTATGGTCATCCATGGTTAGTATGTATATCATAATTATCTAGATTTACAATTAAAATACAAATGTTAATATAATATACAATTAATTATAAAATTTAAACTACAATATCATTATTATATAATTATCAGACATATGCTTGTTTAGTCATCAATAGTAAATTACAGAGACTCTAGTCTATTATCATCACATAATTGATCCAAATAACTATAAATTAAAAAAAAATCATACAAATGCTTACCATTTATCTTAGAGAGGATCAAATCAAGTGATAGCCATCAACAACAGTGACGGTACAGATCAGCTACATATAGCTAAGTCAAACAAATAAAAAAAATCAATTTTGAGATCAATTATCATAAACTTTATAAACATTTTTGCAAAAAAAAATTGATTAAAATTTTATTTAGTCAACAATCAGACAGCCAAGTGTGACATCAATTGATAATCAGGTGTTAATTGATATATAAATTTAGTCGCGAAACCATATCATGGATATCATCACCAGTTATAACCAAACAAAGACAACACAACTATTTAACCGAAACTTACTTCTTGTATAAACCTCTCGAGGAGTTCCCTAATAATGTCAATCAATCATCAAATGGTATGTGAGTTAGTCAACCATTATCTGTAAACAACAATCAAAAACCATGGATTAAATACTTGATTTATAAAACTGAAAAAATCTAATAATCATTGACATCAAAGACATTGATGGATAGATAGACAGACAGACACTCTTTCAGACAAATGCCTCGTTCAATGGTCAGCATTGAATGTTTGGTCAACACTTGTCAAGTGATCCCAAAAAACCAAATATGACTCGTCATCTTTGGTCATCACAAAGTGGTGGTAAAATGTCTACTACTACTACTAGTCATCCATATCTTATTGTTGAATCAACTAATTGATTGATCAATAAATCACTACTAAATACCTATTTCTGTTGTTAATACACGTGTTATCCACGCCTTCCTCGTGTATGTATTCAGGAAACACATTGCTTGAAGACATTTAGCCATTTCTCTCAACACAAATAGATATAGTTGTCGTCATCTGAAGACACGGGGGAACAAATGATTTGAAAAAAAAGTTATAGATTATAATCAATGAAATTAAACCAACAAAAAAAAATCAATAGTCAGTTCAGTCAAAGACATTGATGGCTAACACACACACACTCTTTCATCAGACAAATGCCTCGTTCAATGGTCAGCATTGATTGTTTGGTCAACACTTGTCTAAGTGATCCCAAACTAACCAAAAATATGACTCGTCATCTTTTAGTCATCACTGAAAAGTATGGTATATGAAAGTGTCCATCAATTGATCCGACAATTTGTATGATATGATTGATTAATAACAGGAGAGAGAGAGAAACACGTGGTCTCTCTCTCTCTCTCTCTTATATATATATAGACCGACACCGCAAACCAAAAAAAAAATCAGACCAACCTTTTTTTTTTGGGGGATCAATCATTGTCTTAACCATTAAATTTGGTTCATTTCTCTGGTGATGGTCATAATCTCTAGTCCAGTAATGCTATCCGAGGACAGTCGTGTGTTGTTTGAGTTCCCAACCCAACCATATCATTATTATCATAAGTGATGGCAAGTGTCTAACAACAACACATGTGTTTGGTGTTTGATAGTAAAAGAGGAAATGAAATGAAAGTTTATGAGAGAAACTAAATGGTTGTTTTAAATTGTATGCCGTTTTTTATAGCCCATACATACACTGTGTATTACATACACTTACACCAGCACTGGTAGCCCAATCTAACAGACAGCACTGGTATTACAAATTGTATATACATTGGTAAACACGTGGAGTAGTGATATCTATAAATGAAATACAGGGTTTAAATACAATTATTATAAAGTTTTTCCTATGTATTGGCCATCTATTGGATTATGTATTGTATTGAATGCGAGAATAATAATACAAACTTTTTTTTTTTTTTTAAATAATTTAATAATTTTGTTTCAATTAATTAATTAATTAAAATCAATCAGTTAGTTATAAAATTAACACACACACACACACACACACACACATACATACACACACATACACACACACACACACACACACACACATACATACACACACACACACACACACACACACACACACACACACACACATACACACACACATACACACACACACACACACACACATACATACACACACACATACACACACACACACACACACACACACACATACATACACACACACACACACACACAACATAAATTGCTATTAAAATATTAGAAATAAATTAATTAATTAATGAACAAACAATTTATAATAATTATAATAATCAAAATTTATTTACACTATCAAAAAAAAAAAAAATCAAATCAATCAAAAAAAGTTTATAAAGTTTTATAAAACTTAAAAGTATTAATAGATTTGAAAATTTGATTTTTTTTTTTTTTTTGAAATAATTAATTTTCAATGACCACCACCACTACTACTACTACTAACTACAAGCACTTGTGGGATGTGTTGTGTGCGGCAGCGGCACAGGTATGCCATCCCATCCCATCCCCCATCCATTAGTTGGTATCACTGAGTCTGTACTGACCATTACTATAGACGAGCTTATGTTCTCTGACTTTAGAGTCGAGAAAGTGTCGCAACTCGTGAGCCGTCAGTTCGTGCGAATCGTTCGGCTGAATGGCAAACATCTGCAAACATCTGATGCTATCCTTTCGTTAGACTCCAGTAAAACGTTTCAAAAATTTTTTTTCTCCCTCTTTCGTCGCCGACAGCTGATCCCTGTAGTCGATCATCGGTTAGGTCATCATCGAAGTCGTTCTCCATATTCATATTCATATGTGTTGTCAGATCATGACTGCCGTCGCCACCGACATCTGGTCCCCAAAAGTTGCTGACGGATTGGTTGCTACTATACGATTGTCGAGAGAGAGAGAGAGAGAGAGAGAGAGAGAGAGAGAGAGAGAGAGAGAGAGAGAGAGAGAGAGAGAGAGAGAGAGAGTTACGATCGAGAAGAATGTCGATTCAGTTATGGAATCATAGATTTTGGCTGAAGATTAATAAGAATTTTTTTAGACGGTTTGTGGTATTATTTATTAACAATTGTTTGTTTCATAAACTTTTTAATTGTTTTGTTTTTATTTTTTTTTGTAGCAAAAGAAGTTGAAGACATCTTCATTAACAACAACAACAACAACAACGACAATAACAACGGTTTCCAACATCAGTGGTAATAATGTCGGACAACAACAACAACAACAAGAATTGGATATCAGTTATTCACGAGTTGGTCACAAGTTTTACAAGACATTCATCATTGGACTCTAACCATCGAAAAATAACACATGAATTATAATTAGTAATAATTATAAAAATAATCAGAATTTGTTTTATTGAAATATATTGTAGTGTCCACTACATTACCTTAAGCTAATTTAGTTATAAAGTATTTTTGTATTTAAATTCCCAGTAATTTTGTATACATTTATTTTATATCCTATTTTTGTGTTAAATTCTTAGTATTGCTTTTCAATCGGTTATACAGTTCCTTATATTTACCGGTTGCTGACCTCAGACCTCTGGCACCAAACTAACTGTTCAACGGTTCCCACATTCAAACTATCCAATGATAGCTAACCATTCCCTATACCTACCCGTCCTCTCTCAAACACTATAAATACTGTACTACAGTATACACATACTTTAGTACACTGCCAGCCGTCATACACAACAGTCATACCTGACTCTCACCTATCATACTGTACTCACATCATACATGTGCTCCACTGATAGCACCATTTTAACCATACAATCCATTGTATCCTCAATTGTCTTAAACTAATCAATAAATTGTTATAATTATCTTATACCTGTGTTAATCATACCATTCATTACCATCGCTATTATCATCATTGAAACTATCACTTCAAGAGTCCAACCGGTTGTTCACATCATTCAAGACATACATACAACCCGGTTGTCCATCAACTCTAACCTACCGTTCCGTATCGCGTGATATCAAGAGATAGGACAGACATCCAGATTGGAATCAGCTCTAGCTTTACGCTTGGCCACCACTACTGCAAGTGATCTACCCTTTTATCATCCGATAGGTCTCATACCGACCCTTCAGGTGATAATCTATAAGGAATTAGTTGATACCATACCGACCCACGCATAACAACCGGTGCTCTCCTATTCCTCTAAGTTGTGGACAAACATACAAACCCAGGCACAACAATATATATATATATATATAATTTAATATAATGTATATAAAATTGGAGGATCTATTAGATGATGATAATTAATGTTTTTGTTTAATAATTATATAGGGAATATATATTATAATTATTATGAGATATTTATAATATATTTGCTAATCTTATTCACACTTAAAAATAAAATATATGAAGACTATATAATATTAATATTAATAAATATAAAGTTAATTATTTATTTATAAATTTACAGATATTAATCTATTATATTTAATTAAATAAATATCTGCTTGCTTAATTTAATTGATTCATTAAGTTTTATTTGAATAAATGTAATATAATAATAAATAAATAAAAATTGTTTTTGACATAATATATATTAATTTATAATCATTTATTTAATGTTTTTTAATATCTTATTAATAAAATATTAGATATTACATAAAATATATGGAAAAATATGTAATAAAATTTAAGTAATACTAGAATAACTTTATGTAGAATTAAAACAAATAAATAATAATAACTATTAACTTTAAACTAATTTTTTAAAAAACAATTACTTATAAAACATACTTGTAAAAAATATAAATAAATTAGAATAAAACTATAATAAACATTGTTTTTTTAGTTTTGTTTGTCAAATAATATTTAATTTTATTTAATAATTTTTATAATTTAATTTTGTTCCCAATTAATATCATAATAAATTTATACCTTAAAATTAAATTCAATTACCTATTATATTTAAATTTCAATAAGTTAATTTAATAATTATTTTTAAATATTAATTTAATTAAACAAACACACATTTATTTAATTAAATAAATCAATATATTTAAATTAGTTTTTCTTAAATAATTAATGAAAATAAGCAATTATTTTTTATTGTAAACTTTAATATCTAAAAAATAATAAATAATTATCTTAGAAAATATAATTATTACTAATATATAATTGTTATTATATACCGTATATATATATATTAAAGGGTATAAACTAAACTAATTATACAGTAGACACAGTATTTATTATATCATACTTATTATTATAAATATAAAAAAATAATATATGATTTATTTATATGATAATACATGTACAGTATTATTCAATAGTAATAAGTAATGTTTAAAAATTACAAAAATATAATGTGTTTATAATTAATTTTTTTTAAACAAACTATAAAATTATTTTTATTAAATTTCAAATAAAAGTTTATATAAATATTTATTATTATTTATTTAATTATTATTTTATAAATAACAATGGTTACATTATTTAATTTTTTTAAAAAAAAATAATTTAGCATTATTTAGGAATTTATAGGTAGTTTCTGTAAATTAAAATAACACATAATGTAAAAGTGATTATTCAAAAAAAAAACACGATTAAAACTATTATGCTTTACATTTATATATTTTATTGTAAATATTTTTGTTTTTTATTTGTTTTTGTATTTTAGTTGCAATTATTATCATCATTTGATTGACAACGTATTGACATTTGCCTAAAAAAGTTTTACCACTAGTTTTCAAAAACATCAACAAAACAATATCCTGTAGACTATAAATATATATTTTTTTTAAATATATATTTTAATATCATTTTTTTAGTTAATAGTCTATTATACTGTATATATATATATATATTAAAGGGTATAAACTAAACTAATTATACAGTAGACACAGTATTTATTATATCATACTTATTATTATAAATATAAAAAAATAATATATGATTTATTTATATGATAATACATGTACAGTATTATTCAATAGTAATAAGTAATGTTTAAAAATTACAAAAATATAATGTGTTTATAATTAATTTTTTTTAAACAAACTATAAAATTATTTTTATTAAATTTCAAATAAAAGTTTATATAAATATTTATTATTATTTATTTAATTATTATTTTATAAATAACAATGGTAACATTATTTAATTTTTTTTTAAAAAAATAATTTAGCATTATTTAGGAATTTATAGGTAGTTTCTGTAAATTAAAATAACACATAATGTAAAAGTGATTATTCAAAAAAAAAAACACGATTAAAACTATTATGCTTTACATTTATATATTTTATTGTAAATATTTTTGTTTTTTATTTGTTTTTGTATTTTAGTTGCAATTATTATCATCATTTGATTGACAACGTATTGACATTTGCCTAAAAAAGTTTTACCACTAGTTTTCAAAAACATCAACAAAACAATATCCTGTAGACTATAAATATATATTTTTTTTAAATATATATTTTAATATCATTTTTTTAGTTAATAGTCTATTATACTGTATATATATATATATATTAAAGGGTATAAACTAAACTAATTATACAGTAGACACAGTATTTATTATATCATACTTATTATTATAAATATAAAAAAATAATATATGATTTATTTATATGATAATACATGTACAGTATTATTCAATAGTAATAAGTAATGTTTAAAAATTACAAAAATATAATGTGTTTATAATTAATTTTTTTTAAACAAACTATAAAATTATTTTTATTAAATTTCAAATAAAAGTTTATATAAATATTTATTATTATTTATTTAATTATTATTTTATAAATAACAATGGTAACATTATTTAATTTTTTTTTAAAAAAATAATTTAGCATTATTTAGGAATTTATAGGTAGTTTCTGTAAATTAAAATAACACATAATGTAAAAGTGATTATTCAAAAAAAAAAACACGATTAAAACTATTATGCTTTACATTTATATATTTTATTGTAAATATTTTTGTTTTTTATTTGTTTTTGTATTTTAGTTGCAATTATTATCTTCATTTGATTGACAACGTATTGACATTTGCCTAAAAAAGTTTTACCACTAGTTTTCAAAAACATCAACAAAACAATATCCTGTAGACTATAAATAATTTTTTTTTTTTAAATATATATTTTAATATCATTTTTTTTAGTTAATAGTCTATTATACTGTATATATATATATATATATATATAATTTAAATTACTTGTAGACAACCCTTGGCTGATCGTTCAACATTAGGGCCATCACTTGCCGTACAATTACAGTATTGATTGGTAGTAACACCTAATGAATAGACAGTCCTATTGTCTGGATTTTGTTCAATTTGAAACACTCGGACTAAATCATCTTTAGTCCAAATATTTATCGGCAATATTTGTGGCCAAAATGGCCGCAAAAGTTTTTTTTTGGCATCACTTGAATTGGTATTTAATTTTAACCATTTGTTGTCAACGGTTGCAAACTTAATGCAAAAATATCACCGCTATTGCCGACAATGTTGTTAATAATGCTAAACATTTCATTATTATTACTATAAATTCTACTTTTTATTACTATTATTATTGTTATAAGTTTACTAAAAATAATATTTCAGTGTTTTTAAAAAAAAAATTATATTATATAAAATTAATTAAATTAATGGTTGTTTTTTTTGCAAATATGTTTGCAAATAAATTTTCTATTAAATATATATTTATTATATATATGTAAGACTAGCAGTTTTTTTAAAGTTATAATTATTATATAATAAAAGTTTTGTTGCAGTCGTATGTTAACCACTAGTCCACTAGTTGGTGATGATGATGATGATGGTGATGATGGTAATAATTTGAGACAATTTAATTGATTAAAATAAGTTTATATTTTATTAAACTAATAAAACAATTGGATTAAATACAATGATTATAATATTATAATATTAAAACACAATTAGTTTATAAAGTATTAAAATAGGGTAATAAGTGGTGTCAATGAGTGGATCACTTCTATTGAATCAAGTATCTGATCCTGTGATCTCATGGACAATAGGTTTTATACTTAATTAGTTTGAGGCGTATTGCTATAGAAGTTACCAATCAAAAGTCAGATTTGTTGTTGCATTAGTACTCCATTGGAGTACTAAGTATTGATGCAACAGTGGAAGGCCTAACCATTATCTGTAATATCTTGGAGGGTATTGACCGTGCAAACTTGGTACCAATTAATTATGATTTATTATTAGATACTTTACTCTGAAATCAAATTTGGCTTCAATTAGCGCGCGGGAAGTGCTTTTTATTTGGCATTATATTTTGTGATATATAGGGTTTTATAAGTAAAGTAAATATGTCTTAGAATGAAGGAAACTGTAATTAATGCCAGTTGTCTCTAATAGTGGACAACATATATAAACAAATATATTTTATGTGAGAATGTTTTTTAAGTAAAAAAATATAACTATTAAATATTTAGATTAAATATTTTTCACATGTCTTACATATATATATATATATATATATATATATATATATATATATATATATATATATATATATATATATATATTATTTTAGATTTTAGTATTTATAATAATATATAGTATTATATAATAAATATATGTACTGTTTGTAATTTTTATATTTTATTATAAAATAGTTTATGAAATAAAGTATACATTATAATTATTATTGTAAAATAGAAAATATAATACTAATTTTTTTAAATAATAATGTTTAACATAAAAAATAGAAATTTAATTATTGATTTACAAATTTATAGATATTAATCTATTATATTTAATTAAAATTATTTTTTAATAAATTAATTTTGAATAAAATAATTTATATAATTGTAAGGTATACATTTACTAATATATAAAACAATTTTAATTGGATATATTTTATAATAATAAATAAAAAATTGTTTTATCATAATATTTCTTAAACAATTTTTAATTATAATTTATAATTATTTATTTAATATTTGTAATATTTTATTAGTAATATTAGTATAAATTTTATATTACATAAAATATAGAAAGTCATTTTTATATATTTAATAAAATTCAAGTTAAAATTATTATAATAACATTATGTAAAGATAAAACAAAACAAAAATTATATCAAAATAACTTAATTTAAAAACTATTATTTATAACAGATTAATTGGTTTTTAGAAAATAAATAGTAAAAAACAAATAATTTTTATTGTTTATCAATAATACAGTATATATTTTAGAAATTATTTCAAATTTAATAATATTAAAATTCATTTATAATTTATACTAGTTTTTAAAATATAATTTATTGTTTAAGTCTATTGCTTAATTATTTTAGTTTATAAAATAATAATAATAATAATATTAAAATTTTATTATGTAATGGAAATTATAAATTGATTATCATTTTATTATTACAAAACTTATAATTGCTATTATTTTTTGATTATTTTTTAAATTTTTCTAAACTATATAAACAGCTATCTATTAATTCAATTGTTATGTAGTTTTTAAAAAACAGTAATAACTAAAATATAATTTTGATTTTTAATATAAGTTAAATAAAATAAATTGCATTAACCAAAATGTTGAAATTAATTACTATTTTTTTTATTATAATTTATGTTTCAGGTAATTTAAAATTATTAATTTATTTATATATAATATATATATATATATATATAATTAATTTACTAATCAAACAAATGTTGTTTCAATTTATTTAACATTAAATTATTAATTCAATTGTATTTTTTTTAAGATTCCATCAGTAAAATAACATTTACAGATACAACGGATGATGACTTTCAAAAAGATTGTTTGAAAACATCAAACAACTATCGAAACCGTCACCACTCACCACAACTATCCCTCAATCAATCTGTAAATATATAAACAGTATATATATATATATATATATATATATATATATATATATATATTAAATACAATATTATATATAAGATTATAAAAATTATTTTTTTTATTTATTCAAAAACCTTATTTAGCTAATATCTTATGCAAAAAATCGATGCAAACACAGGTATCTCTTAATGATAAGCTTATCCATCCAAATGATAAGAGTATCGGTGAAAACTTAAGTCGAATATCTACTAATACTAATAGTTGTAATCGGGCTGTAAATCGATGGTTAGTATACTGTTATATATCTATATATCATATTTATACTAAATATAAATTTTATAAATTTATCCAAACAAACAGGTATAACGAATCATTGGCTTACAATTATAATAATTTTGTATTTAGTAACATTACCGGTCATTTTACTCAACTAATTCCCTATAAATTCCCAATAAATTCTCTAAATTCCCAAAAAATTCCATATAAATTCCCAATAAATTAACTAATAAAAATATTCTCAGCTTAATTTCTCAATACTCAAAATATTTTCTAAATATTAAGAATTGCATAAATATATATATACAACTATTATAATAATAATTATTAAACAAAAATATTATTGTTTTAAAAAAATAGTTATCAATTAAAAAATTAATGATATAGTACTGTATTTATTATAACGTTTTAATAATAATAAGAAAAATAAAATTGTCAGAAATAATTATTAATTAGTTCTAAATAATTAATTTAATTTAAGAATATATCTTATTATAGTATTTTAAATTGAACCATAACTAACACATTTTAATATAGATTCTAAATTCCCACTAATTTCTTATAAATTCCCACTATATTCTCATTAATTCCTTATAAATTCTTAATAAATTTCAACTAAATTATCTATAAATTAACTAATAAAAATATTCCCAACTTAATTCTCAATACTCAAAATGTTGTCTAAAATATTCATTTTTACAAAAATATAAAAAATAAAGAAATGCATAAATATATAACTATAATTATGATAATTAATTAAAAATACAATTATTTAGTTATAAAATTGATTATAAAATTAATGATACAGTACTTTATCTTAGTATTATAGTACTTAGTGATATAGTGTTTATTATAACGTCTTAATAATAATGTGAGAAATAATTATTAAATAACTAAATAATTAATTTAAGAATATTTTTTTAGATAGTACTTCATATTCAACCATAACTAACAAATTTTAATAAAAAGTTTAAAAATATTAAAATATAATTATTTTAAAATTTATGCTAAAAATTTGTTTTCGACTTTTAATATGAAATAATATATATATTCATTTATAAAGAGCTAAAAAATAAAATATATTTAATTATTTTTTTTTGAAAATTGGTGGGAATTTATTAGGGAACTTTTTTTCCTTTGTGGAGTGCCCCAACTTTATTTATGTAATATTTATTTAATATCATAATTATTATTTTTAAAGCACATAACTAACACATTTTAATATAATGTTTAAAATATTAACATTAATTTTATTGAAAATTGGTGGGAATTTATTTTTCCCTTGTGGAGTGCCCCAACTAGTGTAAATAATGTTAAATTGACGTAATTAAGCATTTTTATCTATTTATTTTCTATACATAAGCTATTAATTTATATTAAAACTAATTTAATATTTATTTTTTTGTTTAATATTAAATTTTACATAGTTCAAAAAAATTTTCGGCGCCTTCGGCGCCGAAAATTGGTAGGGGGCCCCCTAACTTTTTGGCTTCAGGCCAGGGGGGGGGTAAAAGCCAAAATTTCTCCATCTCAGGGGGGGGGGGGTAAGACGTCTTACCCTACCCTACCCCCCCTTTAGCAACCCTGGTTTAAATATATAAGTTTATTATTATTATTATAATTATAAACTTTTATTTGAGACTAAGTATTATAATAATAATAATAATATTCTTGTTTGTTTTGAAAAATTGTTTAATCATAATATTGCTAAAAACAAAACAATAATTATGATTTATAATTATTTAATTAAAACTTATAAAATACAGTAGTAATAATAAAATAATAATAAAATTTCAATGAAACAATACGAAAAAAAAATTACAATTACTAAATTATTTTTAAAAACAATTAATTAAAATATATATACTGTATATTTAATTTGTTTGTCAATAATATATACTGTATATACCGGTATATATATATATATATATATATATATATATATATATTAAAAACAATTATTTAATTTAATATTAAAATTAAATAATTTATACTATTTTTAAAATATATATCTTATATTATATAATACTTAGCATAATTTTTTTAAAAAATAAATAAAACTTAAATAATTATTAAATTAATTTCTAGATCACAACAAATTCATACAAATTCAATAATTAATTAATATAATGAATAATAAAAAATTATATGATATATCATAATAGTTGGTATTTATAGAAAATTATAATTAATTATCTAAAAATTTTTCAAAAAAAAAAATATTATTTTAATTACTTAATTTTTTTTCAAAAAAAAAACTACTGTAGTATTAATTATTTTTTAAATAAACCGCTCTATAATTATATAAATATTTTATACTGTTTTGGGCCTATTTGTAATTATAAAATTATTATTTGAATATAATATCGATTGTAAAGTCATAAAAAGGTACCAAACTATATAACTAATGCATTGAATCATGTTTTATTAAATGTATTGTAAACTAGAGAGTCATATGTACTTTAAGTTATTATTATTATTATTATTAACTAAACTATTAATTACCCGAATATAACATTTAAAAAAAAACAGTAAAAAACAATATTATTTATTTACGGTTTGGTTTTTTACATTCAAAAAAAAATTACAAAAATATATAATAAAAAAATATAATAAAAATTAATTACCGGATTTTGCGTGTGTGTGTGTGAACCGGTTGGACGAACCGTTTTTTTTCTCTCAGTATTATTCTGTATATACATTAATATACTGTACAGTAGAGTAACCGTACGGTTCGGTTCGCATACAAAATATAGTTTTAATACTTTACGAACACATCTCTACTGTTACGACACATAATAATAATAATTGACAACAAAAACAAATAATAAATAATTTTTTAAAACAAAAATCGTTTTTTTGACGACAACTTCAATGAATTGTTTCTTTAAATTAAATTTAATTTAATTTTAATGTTTTAAAAGACATTTAAAAGACCCGCCGATTGTTTGTTTGTTTGGCCACCGATTGTTATGCCGCGACTAAAGTCTCAGCCGACACACAAACGATCGCTAATCGATAGCGTGAACAACGATAATGAAGACTTGGATGACGTTATCATTGATTTAATTGATGACAATAGTAGTGGTAATGAAGAAGAGCCGCCGTCACAGCGATGGCCAGCGAAACACCGACAGCGGCGACGGCGCCAACGGAAACGTCAGAAAACCGACTACGAGTTTGCGGTCGACAAACAGTTTGAACAGTTTATAGCCGACGCCAACCTATTCCTGACCATTCATTATCATCAACGACAACAACAACAACCATCAAATCAAAGTGATTATTAGTTTTTTAATTGATATCTTAATCTTGATTTTAACTAAATTATGATCTCTTTTAAAGCCACCGCTGAAGAGGAAGCAGATGTTTCATCTGTTGATAGGCCGTCGCCGCCACCGCCGCCGCCCGACTCATGTCATTGCCATTTGTGTAGTTTTTCGGTACGGATTTCACCGCCGCAGCCATCACTACCATCTACGGCGTCGTCGTCCTCTTCATCGTCATCATCATCAGTATCACCACAACAACAACAACCATTAAATGATATCGACATCGATTCGGTTAATCAGAAGCTGTTCTACTTATATGTTAAACACAAACCACTTGAATCGTGTCTATACTATGAGTGTAATCATACAAAAACTGGTCGACATATTTTCGGTAATAAGTTTAAGACCAACAACACCAACAACAACAGTGATAATAATAAAGAGATCAGCTATGAGTTGATTGAATCGTTGAATACAAATAGTTTGTTTTATTTAACAACCAATTTGGTCACCGATAATGACCAGTGGCTAACCATTGATGTCTGGCTAATCCGATCGGCCGTACATCAGTTGGACTATCATTCGCAGACCGTTGGTCCGCCAAACATGAATATGATGACAGTTATGAACCATTTCTATGGCTATGAAGAACCGATTTATGGTGACAACAATTTGCCGAAAGGTTTTTTTTATAAATTTATTAATTAATTGATTTATTAATTTATATTTTAAAAAATATTTTTATTTTTTTAAAATTTGTTTGTTTTGTTTTACATATAATAGATATCTCTAACGAATTTATCGGTGATTTATATGCAAAGATTAAACAAAAACACAATGAAAATCAATACAAACTAATCGATTATGATGTCCAGCATCGGTCACTGTATCCTAAACTTAGACAATATCAAAGAGATGCTGTAATATATATATATAAATATTTATTATTGTTATTAACCGCTTACCCGGGTAATTATATTGACATTAATTTGATTTTTTTTATTTATCAATTTTTTTTAGGTCCAATGGATGCTGAATAGAGAACAAAACAATATGATTCAACCGTATCAGCGATTATACGAAACAGTGGTATCAGTTGATGGCCTGCAAACTAATTACAATAAATATCTGGGATTTTTCATCGACGACAACAATAGTTCAATAGATAACTATGTTTACGGTATATCTCGTAGCGGAATATTGGCCGATGAAATGGGTTTGGGAAAGACTATCGAAGTTCTTGCAAATATTCTATGCAATCCTAAACCGGTCGGCGGCGGCGGCGGCGATGATGACCACATCGATGAAGACACCGGTAGTTATGATGCAGACATTCAACAAGAATCTCTTGACGATGATTATGATGAATATGATGGTTATTATTATCTTTATTAGCGATTTATATATATATATATATATTATTAATTGATCCATTTTTTTCTCAAAAACAGATGAATGTTTTGCCTGCGTTTGTGGCGAGTTATGTAACATCCGATGGTCTCGAAAACGGAATCTCATTCTCAATGATAATGACGACGACGATGACGACGATGTTGTTGTCGTAGATGATGATGACGTAAACAATGGCAGCGACACTGAGATTGAGGACAATAATGTTGATAATGACGACTGTGTTGATGATGATGATGACGACGACGACAAACAATTGCAAGAATCTCCATATAATAACAATAATACAAAAGATTTACAAATGGATAATAAAATTAGGAAAATAGCTGTCCATAGGTTTGTCAATCATAAACCAGTTGTCGAAATAATTGACAAATCATTGTCGTCGTCGCGAGGATTAAAAAGAAGAAAAGCTAAACAACAAAAACAACGACTCAAGACATTAGTCCGGTGTCGTGTTTGCCGATCCTATCAGCACTCGTCGTGTGTTAACTATAGATACGACGACGACAATGATAGCCAAAAGCCGCGGCGGCGTCGGCGCCCATACTATTGCGGTCATTGTTGGGTACGGCCGGGTATGAAACGAGTCGAATCGCGGGCAACATTGATAGTAAGTCCCCGATCCATAAGCCATCAATGGCAGGACGAGATTGTCAAACATGTCGACTGTTCCGGTCTGAGTGTCTATGTGTACGAAGGAGTCAAATCGAAAAATGGTTTATTTTTTAATAGTTTCGGTTAAACTGATTGATTGACTAATTTCTTTGTTTGTTTGGCTGGCTATCAAAAACAGGTTATATCCAGCCGTTTGATTTGGCCGACAACGATATCGTATTGACCACCTATGAGACTCTGAGGTCGGAAATCGATTACGTAGATCTGCATCACTCGAATCGATTTCGTTATCCAAAACGATTCAATTCGACCCCATCGCCGCTGGTAACCATCGACTGGTGGCGGATCTGCTTAGACGAAGCCCAGATGGTCGAGAGTGCGCTGAATAAAACCGCCCAAATGGCCCACCGATTGTATGCCCGACATCGCTGGTGTATAACTGGTACACCTATTCAGCGATCGCTGAACGATATCTACGGTTTGCTATTGTTTATCGGCGAAGAACCCTATCATGAACGACACTATTGGCATCGTATGCTATACTGGCCGTACACTAGCGGTATAACCGCGCCTATGGTACAGGCGTTGAGCCAATGTTTTTGGCGTCAAACCAAACAGGATGTCTGGCAACAGTTGGATATACCCGAACAAACTGTTACCACCAAAACCTTACGGTTTTCACCAGTCGAACAGCACTTTTATTTGAGACAATACTGGGAATGTAATCGTAAACTCAATGATAAAATCAAACGCTTCTCCGATCTGTCAATTAAACTCAAAGATCTCGACAGGAAAACGGTTAGCCTATTGATGACACCGATGCTTACGCTAAGACAAGTAATTAATTGGTTATTATTTAGTTGATATGATTTTTTGATTGTTTGTTGTTTTGTAGGCCTGTTGTCATCCGCAAGCAGTTCGCGGAAAGTTTTTACCGATTTCTAAGAAGACGATGACAATGGACGAGGTGTTGAAGACAATGATTAAGAGTACACAATACGAGTGCGAGGAAGAGCATCGAAAGTTTATAGCGGCACTCAATGGACAGGCAGCCTGTCATATAATACAGGTGCTCACAGTGTCAATATATATACAGTATATTAGTGTTTATTTAAATTTTTTTTTAAATTGATTTTTTATTTTAATTTTTAGAAAAATTACGAGAAAGCCATCGAACAATACCGGCGGGCATTGGCTTCGATGGTCGACTACAAGGCTAAAGATCTGTTCCGTACGGATAAGTTGCAACAAATTCATACGTTACACAATTTGGCCGACATTTTCGACCTGTGCGGTATCAGACAAATCGATAAGACCAGTGGCCAACGTTACGATCAGGTAATTATTAACCCCCCCCCCCCCACCCACCCGTCCGAGCGGTTAAATATGTTTTAGTACACTTTTTGTTTATTTGTTTGTTTGTTATCAATAGACTAGAACTACCGAAATAACGGTCAGCATTGAAATTATTGGCCGTACACTACGCGATGAGTTTATGCGCTACGAATCCATTCAGTTGCGCGACGAATATCTGGCCAAAGGTTTGGCCACAGTTACCGAAGTAACTAAACAATTGGATCCATTGATTGAAACTGTTGGCCAATTGCAAAATGTTTGTTTGTTTTTAAGTTTAGTTTAAGTTAAGTTTTGAGATTAGTTTACCGTAACATTAGTTGTGATTAATTTTTTTTTAAAATTAGTTATTTAAATCAAGCAAACAATTACCATGGTGGAAATTTGTTTTTAAGTTTTATTTTTAAAAATAAATTGTTTTGATTTGATTAGTTTACCGTAACATTAGATGTGATTACCCCGATTAAATTTAAAAAACAATTAGTTATTTGAATCAAGCAAACAATTACCATGGTAGAAATTTGTTTTAAATTTTATTTAAAAAAAATTGTTTGTTTTGAGATTAGTTTACCGTAACATTAGATGTGATTACCCCGATTAAATTTAAAAAACAATTAGTTATTTAAATCAAGCAAACAATTACCATGATGGAAATTGTTTTTTTAAGTTTTATTTTTAAAAAACTGTTTGTTTGTTTAGATTAGTTTACCATAACATTAGATGATGTCAGGGTTGTGAAGACCCCGATTAAATTTTTTTATAAAATTTAATATTTTTATTTTATTTTTAAAAAAAAATTACAGTCATTCGAATCAAGCAAACAATTACCATGGTGGAAATTGGCTATCGATTATTTTCGGACCAACAATGACGATGAAATCAATTTGATTCAACGGGTCAAAGACGTATTGGAAACACATTCACTGAAAGGACGGTTAGGTGAAGAACATCTGTCGACGTTTGTATCGATTGCCGACGATTTTCGCGAAGCTTCGGGTCTGGTCTACGTACTGGACAAATGTTTACGGGAATTGCATCACTCGCGTAGTGTACTCCAGCAACGAGTTCGGTCGTTGAGTCCGAAACCCACCGATCGGGAACTGAACGAAGCCATTGATTGTCATCTGAGACCCGAAAGGGATAAAGAGGGTAACCGTGCGAACAGTGTTGTCAGCTGTAAGTACTGTCGTATACACGAACTGTTCAATGACTACGAAAAGAAGTTGTTCTACTTTAGTGTTGTGGAGAAGACTGAAGAGTCTGCCTGTAAGTCAAACGCACTCATGGAAAAGGTATGTATGGATTACAACAACAACAAAAAGAAAGAAAGTCTAGTTTACAACCCATACCCTAACCTCTCAGGCTTTCCTCTGTCTCTCTGTCTCTCTGTCTCTCTGTCTCTCTGTCTCTCTGTCTCTCTGTCTCTCAGTCTCTGACTCTCTCACTCACTCTCTCTCACCATTGATTGCAATTTTATGGCAAGAAGTGTCTACTTTGCAGCCCAATCCCGGCCGCCCGCCCGCCCCCTCTCTATGATTGAAATTACCGTAAATGAGTTATAAATTGACATTAAGATTAAAGCATTATTTATTATTATTATTATTATTTTCAGCAACGAAGAGGCAATTGGGGCGACAGTGAACTGGAACAGAGTCTCAAAGTTATTAACCAATTGTTTCGACAAAAAGCATCGGCTAGTAGTCTACCTCAACATCGGATGGCTGTCGATGACGGCCAAACACATATGAAACTGTTTGACGCACTCAAGAAAGAGTTTCGCGGTCTTCGGGCCGTCTGGACGACGACCTATGATTTTGTGTCACAAATCGACGAACTAAATATGGCTACCATTCGACTCAGGGAACGACTACCCGATGAACCGAAACCTAAGGAAACGATTACCTATATTCTCGAACCAAACGAAGTCGGCGTACAATTGATTACATTAAACTCGGATGAAGTGATTGCCAAAAGTTTGCTAACAAAACGTTTATCGCATTTACATTATCTGAATAATCTATCCAATGATGAATCGACTCGTAAAGGTGGCCGTAATCCTGAACTGTGTCCCATATGTCAGCATCGGATGGGCCAGCAATGGGTTGTCCTACAGTGCGGTCACTCGCTGTGCGTCAAATGTCTGGATATACTGATCAACGAGTATTCCCGTAAAACATCGCAAGGTGTGACCATCGGGTGTCCGATGTGTCGCGAATTGTGTCCACTGTCGGCCATTCTCTATGTTAACGCTACGGAAACCGACGACGACGATGACATTGCCGTCGCCGGCATTGAAGTGGCCGGCAGTTGGTCGACAAAAGTCGAAGAAGTAGTCCGATGTTTACTCGAGATTATATCCGCCGATTCGACCGCTAAAACATTGGTATTCTCCACATGGGTTGATGTCTTGCAGTTGATATCGACAGCAATGGACGACAACAAAATAAGTCACGTTTTTATTAGAAATTCGGCGAAATTTAGCCAAAAAGTGGATAATTTTAAAACCAATCGGGAAATCAAGGCCTTACTAATGCCTATGGATTTGGGTGCCAAAGGTCTTAATCTAATAGAGGCCACACATGTAGTATTGGTTGAGCCGACACTGAATAGGGCTAACGAATTGCAAGCCGTCGGTCGTGTCCATCGAATCGGCCAAACAAAGTACGGGTTGAAAAATTAGCGATAATTTTGTTGTTTGTTATAAATGTTTTTATTTATTGTTGTTTTTGTTTTGTAGGCCAACACTAGTTCATCGATTTGTTGTCAAAAATACTATCGAAGAGCGCATCGCCTACTTGTATGACAGTCCCGTCACCGCTACCGCAGACGCCGGTAACGAGTCGACCAAACGTTTACAATTGGCCGACCAATCGGAGTACGCGTACATCACTTTGGATCAAATGAAACGATTGTTTGAAAATTATGAAAATTAATTTTATGTTTATTTTTTTATTTATCCTTATATTATGTTGTGCTATATGTATATATTTATTATTATTATTATTATAATTATATATTTTTTAAATATAGACAATAATTGACACAAAAAAAATTGACTGTATTATACTAGTATATATCTAATTTTTATTTTAATTATCAACTATTAATTATTTATAATAAATATTATATAATTATTTTAATTCTATAATAATTAATCATTGAATTTGTTGTGTGATTGTAATAATTAATTAATAATTATATAAGTTTTATAAGTTTTTTAAAAATAAAATAAAAATTCTAATTATTATATAATAAAAATGTCTTTTTAATAATTTCTATTTTTTAATATTAATGAATATTATTACCGTAATTATTGATAATTTATTTTTTTTTCATCTTATTATTATTAGACTTATGAAATAAAATTTTTAAAAAATACTTATAAAACACTTACCGGTAAACAAACAAACAAATAAAAAAAATAATTTATATGTTTTTGCTATTATTTATAAATAATACTTTTATAATTGAATTTATATTGTTTTCTTTAAAAATAATATGATTTGGTTAAACTATTTTTTATATATACAGTAAGTAGTTAAGACAACATGGTTCACGAGGGGAAGGCACAGTGCTATCCCCCATATAACTGTGTCACGGAGAGGGGGTTCACGTGATCACGTGATCCAACCCAACCTAACCTAAGTGTACTACACCAATGACGTCACCACTACCTCTACCCAAACCTAACTGACCAACTAACCGAACCTAACCTAACTGACCAACTACCCGAACTGACCAACTACCCGAACTGACCAACTTCCCGAACTGACCAACTACCCGAACTGACCAACCCTACCCAACCTAAGTGTACTACAACAAATGACGTCACTACTACCTCTACCCGACCTGACCAACCAACCGACCTGACCAACCACCCGTACCGACCAACTACCCGAACTGACCACATACCCGACCTGACATCACTACTATCACTACCAGTACTACCAATGTTTGGTATTTACTTGACTTGACTTTACTTTACATTTGTAACAATCATTGTTGTCATTGTTTTTATGAAAACTAAGTATAGGTATAATATAGGTATAGTATAGGTAGAGTATAGGTATAGTATATGTATAGTATATGTATTGTATAGGTAGAGTATAGGTATAGTATATGTATAGTATATGTATAGTATATGTATAGTATATGTATATGTATAGTATAGGTATAAGTATAAATTGTTTACTAGTTTGTGAAATTTTCCTATAAACACGTTTTTAGAAAATATATTTAGTTTTTATTTAGATTTAATTATAATAAGTTTATTATTTTAGTGAATATTTTGTATGTTAATATTAATATCTGCAAACCATGGATTCAATTAAAAGTAAGTATATATTTGTAATATTTTATAATTGATTTATCAAAAACTGGAAAAACTCTTATGTTTTGTGTTTCTTTTTCTCGTTTAATCAATTTAGGATCATTAAGAAGAAGATTATTTCAAGAAGAAGAAGATAATAACGAATATTCGATGGATACAAGTATTGTGGTTTGGAAATGGCATCAATTACCACATTGTGTACCTCCCGAAGTCATAATACCTTCAGGAATCCCATGGACTCCAATGAAATGGATTAGAGATGGAGGTAGAATAGATGGAAAAGGGGCTGAAGATATGGAAGATTTTTTGGAAATGGATCCATTTCCAATTCATCCATATTATCGACGGAAGTATTCATCAAAATCAAGCCCTATCCGACTCTATGGGTTTCAAAAAACACCCGAAAAGCCCGTAACTCCCGGCAAAACAAGAAAAAAGACTACAACTATCACAGCTGTACCATATTATTGCCATTTGACACCACCACCACCAACACAGCAACAAAATCAACAAATGATACCACCACCACCACCACCACCAACACAGCAACAAAAACAACAATTGATACCACCACCACCACCACCACCATCACTATCAAAACGTGCGGCCCGAAGAAGAAGAAACAAAGATAACCGGGCCAAAGCTCTTCAATTTTCTCGGGAGGCTGGTACTGTCGATATACGGCAAGAACATTTTCTTAAAAAACAAATTCGCCGAAACGACCGGGTAGCCGCCCGTCACTTAGCCGAAGGTATTACTAAGGCTCAAACAGCATCCCGTATAATGGCCAGCGCGGGTCACATTATACGGGAAAATTGTACGTCTACAGCTCAATACAAACAAATAGCCAACAACATTCCCGATCGTGTGAAATCACGAAAACATTTAGCCAAAGCACGGGTATTTGCGTCATTTGGACTTCGGACACGGGCTGTTTTAGAAGGGCACCAGAGCGGAAAATTACCCGAATCGACCCCATTCCCGTCGCCATCAAAAATATTTTGTCATTTAAATAAATGTTAATTAACTATTATTATTATTATTTTGGTTGATATGGTTATTAGAGGTAAATATTTGTTGAATATCGACATTGTAATCGGGACTACTGTCCTCATAACTATTTAGTAGACTAGTAGCCCGCTTGACATCAATTGGTAACAAATGATTAACACTATTCAATACCAAACGAAACTCGTGTATCAATTGTGACTTTTGTTCAGTTAGTTCATCGATCTTGACTTTCAACTTATGTTGTCTGATATCCGATTGTTTAGCCAATTGTTTCAAATGCTTGCGATAGGTCCGGCCTTCACGATTAAACTGTTGTCTCATTGTATCCGACTAACCATCAATGCCAGCATCTGGTGCTCCATTTGATTGATATGTTGTATAATAGAGTCATTCAATGCAAATAAACTCCGGTTTTGATCCATAAGCTTTTGATTGTTGATATTGAGTCAGTGATTTTTGTGGTACTTGACTTTATAGCTGTACAGTACATCCCGAAGCTCATTCTCGACCAACATATTATCAACTATAACCTTTGATAACTATTGCCTACTGTTGTCTGCCGTTTAAGTCATTTAAATTGCATATGAAAGTGGATTCATTGGACATTTATATGGAGACATACAGTGCCTTCAAACATATGAATCAATTAAACGATTAGATCTTAAGTTGACATTAGATAAAAATAATCAAATGATTGATCGTTCAATGTATGCATCGCTACAATCGGTCAACTGTTGGCCACAATTGACACATTTGACACTCAATTTATCGCATATGGATTACCAATTGTTTACCGATTTAGACCGAAATCTACCAAAACTTGAATACCTAACTATTTGTGATCCATTGGGTGTTTGTGATGGTTTACTGATTTAATTTTCTACTAATTATTTCTTTTAAAACAGTAATAATAATAGTAAGATAAAAACTAAAAAAAAATAATATTAATTAACGTAGTTATTAATAACTAATAAATTTAATGTTTTATTATTATTATCTATTAATTATTTAATTAATTATAATTTTATCAATCAATCAATTTTATGATTAAATCAAATAATTAATTAATTGAATGAATGAATGAATGCATTGAACAATATATTCAACACATTATTATTGGACAACAAATTACATAACATTTGAATAATAAATTGCATTTCATTTGTGACACATAATACAAAACCAATTGTTTTGTATTAATAATAATATAAACACATTTATCTGTTAGTAGTTTTTATTTTGAACATCAAAAGTATCACTCAATCGCTTCCAATAACAACACTAACATTACTATTGATTTTTTATCACCTGTTTATAGCATTTGATTGACAACACAATAGTGGATCACAAATGATAGCAAATAACAACAACAATGTCATACTTTGATCGGTTCGGCGATGATTTGGCGGCACTTATACTAACATATCTGCCATTTGAAGATCAGCTTCGCTTAGAGTGTGTTCCAGTTCCAGTAGTGGGGTAATCATCGGGTAACTAGCATTACATCCGATCTCAGAACAAAAATGAAATTCATTAGCAAAAGTCTGACGAAAAGGAAGTGCTTCGACAACAATAAATGGTTATCACTGATGAAGAGGTGTCCAAATGCTCAGTCTGTAGACATATCGTGGATTGCAGGCCAAGAGTTGTCAGTTTTGACACTAGTTTAACAACTATTGCTTCAATTATTGCAACATCTGTTGCAATAAGTAGTTTAACTACTATTGCAACAACAAATAATGTATTACACTATCATAAAATCTGACTACTCTATAAAATATTTATTATAAAAGCAAAGTGTATACACTATTATTGTATTAGTATTTATTAGTTTTGTTATAACTGATTATTATTGTGAATTAAATTTTTATCATCAAAATGGTTGGCAAAACATTGTTTCAAAAATCCATTTTCAGCAAAACTGAAGGCGAAAACAAATTTGACAAATTTGTTCGTGTATTGGAACACGAAAACGGTGAAAAATTTGTGGACATCCGACTGACTGTTTGCAATGATGGAGAAGATGTCTTCTACACCAAACATGGCGTTTATTTATATGGTAATGAATTCAAAGAGTTGTTGAAAAAGCTAGAAAACCAAGACTTTGGTTCGTTTGGAGATCATCGAGTTATCTCATTCATGCATTTGAAAAAACAATTGTATTGTTTTAGTATCATTAGTAATGGTAACATTAAAAAATTAAATGTCATATTCCCTGAAATTGACAATTTATTGTCAATGAAAGATGAAATCATTAAATATCTTAATTAATGTAATAATTGTATATTATAAAAACATTGTAATAAATAAATAAACAAAACAAATTAATTGAATAAATAAAATAAATTTTATTGATAAATAAATAAAAATTGTATAATTATTTACATTTTAATATGAAAACAAATAGTAATTTTTAATCCATTTCCACAATAACTCACACTTGTGTTGAGCACATCTCATATCAGATTTATCTGGTATGATACGTTCATGAAAATGACATGAATGGCCTCCATACATTCTCTTTAATGTCTTAAGACTAGGACATCCATACTGATCCAATTCAACGTAAGGTATAGCTATATTGGCTAAAAC